AGTTGAGTTGTTGACATCTTTGGTAATAGTCTTTGTTATCGGAATACCGCAGAACAGCTTTAGTGAACCTTCTTTGAACACCTTCAATTCTAATCAGATCAGTATGTCTACAATTACTGTAAACTAAAATACCATATTCAAGAATGGGTAAGATACATTTTCTGTATAGTAACAATCTCGATTCGATATTATTGAAGTTTAGCATTATCAATCCGATGAGCTTTCTAGCTTTGGATACTTGAGATATAATGTGTTCAGAAAAGTTCAGACTGTTGCTATATCTTAAACCCAGGTCACGAACAGTGTTAAGAGGTTTGAGTGTATGTGTCTGTACAGTCAGATTTAAGTTAAGACAGCGACCAATGTGAATAAATCCACTTTTGTCAACATTAAGTGGCATATTCCACGAAATAGTCCATTCGTACAACTTGTTTATTTCCTCTTGGATTACCGCTGCTGTGATTAGTCGGTAATCGCCAATTTTGTCCTAGATGGTTAGGTTATTGAGGTCACTTTGAATCTGGGATATAATTTCACTGAAAGATTTAAGCTTAAATCTGTATACTATCTTGAGGTCATCAGCATATAAGTATGATCTCCCAAATTTTGTAATGTTACACACATCGTTCATATACATGAAAACAAGGGTGGACCTAATACACTTATCTGGATAACTCCACTAGTCCTTGGTGTATGTGATGAGAGAAAGTCATTGTATTTTATCTTTTGTTTACGTTCTGTCTCGAAAGGAGCAAATCATGAATGTAATGGGTTGTTGATTCCAAAGGACTTTAGTTTGACGAGAAGCCTTTTGTGTGGGACCTTAATTAAAGCTCTCTTAAAGTATAAGAATAGGACCAATACAAGAATTCCGTCATTTCGTTTCAGAGTTATGTCGTTCAGGCAGTCTACTAGGCATGTATCTCATGATCTGGACCTAAGAAACCCATACTGGGAGGTCGAGATGATATTACTGGTAAGTAGATTTTGAACTACCGCTGCCTTAATTACTATCTCCATCGCTCTAGATACCACCGGGCTTATATTGATCGGCAAATTATTTTCAATATTTGCTGCAGGAACAATATGTGTAGTTTCCCAGGCAATAGGGTAACACGCCGTAGATAGTGATGTCTCAGACATTTCGTTGAATGAATCACACAGATCATTACGTCAACTTCTTAACATACTGGCTGACATATCAACTGCTTCTTGAGCGTCGGAGTGTTTCAGCTTGCTAATTGCCTTAGAAATACTCCGTTCCTTAAAGTCTACGTTGGTAGTTTCAGAGCAAAGTACTCGAATCAGCTCTGATTCATTTGGTGGTTATTTTCGTTAGTTAATGAGGAAAAAATATTTACTAAGTAGTTCCATGACAAGGTTGTGATATTTGCATACTTGTTTGTCCTTAATAAATATGTTTCGTCCTTTCTATTTTGAACATTAAAGCTTACCTTGAAGGGGTTCGATAAGTTCTGAGGAGTCATTATTAAGTTCGATAGCATATTTTTCCTGTCCTCACACCACAAATAAGCTTGCCTGTGAATGGGAGGGATGAGACTAGTGTGAATACCTCTGATAAAATTGCTATTTCCCCTCTAGATTCGTTGGGTTGATGGTAGACACAGCTGAACAGTAGGAAGACTGAATTTGACGACTCCAGAATAATATACACTGAATCCTTCCGTTTGTTTAATTCAGGCATATCACATAATAGTGAGTTTAAGCTTGAGTGAGTATAAGCAAGACGTTATCCGCCCCGTCCTTTCAGCCTACCACTTCGGTATAGGAAGTACTTGTCAAGAAATATACCTATATCGGAAATTTTACAGTTGCTCCATGCTTCAGATATCATTATTAGTGATGGTTGATAAAGAGATACAAATAGGGCCAGATCTGATTTTTTATTACAGATCGACTGGGTGTTGATAGGACACATATTAAACAAATGGCTCACTAGGTTAAAGAGGGTGTGAGTATCTTCATTGAAGGAGTTATTTCAACTATAAGGGTGTGATATGGGTGAATTAAGTCCCGATATAATTGTTATCACAGAAACTTGGCTCACCGTTTATATAGACTGTTCTGTCATTACAGGCTACATCTGTTTTATAAATTAGAACAACACATGTAAGGAAACAATTGTTTTCAATTAGATCGTCATCAGGATTTATTCTAATGTACATGAATATTTATACGAAAATATTAAACCAATCAAGGTAATTTGGGTCAATAATCACAATGAAATAGAATACGTCACCGCACATAATAGGTTAAAGTACATGTTGATAGCAGGAAGACAGGTGTACAGATAGCAGTAAGAATGGTAAAATACGATAATAAAAGTCCTATCAATAGTTAAACATTGGAAATAGTTGAGAGCAGTTGTTCGCTTACACGAGTTGTTCTAATTTTCACAATGGGAATCTTGAATGTTTTATAAGTGGTAGAATTGCGAGTCGCGAGGGAGGAGGCATACTGTTATATATTGGGGATAACTTTCGTATACAATCATATCGGAGGCAGATATTAGTGGTAAATGTGTGGTAGCTGTTGTGCAATGAAGTTTAGAAATGGGTTAATGACTATAGGAGGAATATGCCGTAGTCCGTGTTGTTTTGCTGACGAATTTATTTTAAGACATCTGTTTTTGAAGGCAGAATGTTATTTCTTTATTGGAGATCTCAACGTGCCCCATGTCAACTGGATAGAGCTTACAGCTTCAGGTAGGGGTTTTAATAGCGACCTTTTATCAACCATTATTCAGTGTGCACTTGTACAATGCATGCCAAAAATGACAAATATTGACTTGGAACATGATCTGTCCTTGCTAGCCCTTGTCCTCACACGCTACTGTGAGGATGTAATCGATGTTCAGCATCTTCCCCCACCAGGGAATAATGATCAGATGGTATACATTATGTATCTGCTCCACTCCGTCTTATATCTGGTGAGCTAATATCCCGCCAGTCAGAGGCTATGCTAACTCGACTGACTGGTCGGTCGATCAGGACGGATCGATATAAGACGAATGGAATAAGTATAAGGCTACACTCGAATCCGTAACATCACTGTTTATCCCATGGTCAACACATTACCATGGGTTTTTGAAGCGTAGGAAACACTTCTGAGATTTATTTTTGTCAACAGGACACGAATCATTAAAGTGTAAATATCAAAAGGTCTGGAGTATATGTAAAAGGACCATAGCTAGGTGCCGCACTATTTACGAAAGACAGTTGGCATATTATATCCGTCCTTGTCCGAAGCGATTGTTTTCGTCTGTTAAACGGCGAACAAAACGTAGTGATGGTATTCCCTTGTTACTGTTACACGAAAATCCAGATTTACTAGCTGAATCAGATCTGGCGAAGGCTGAGACTTATCAAACTCTTCTAGCGAAGTTTACGTGTATTGTTACAAATATTTGTCCTGAACACACTGAGATACCAGCTATAAGATCTGCACATGTTACTGAGGAAACTGTTCTTCCATTGATCACTAACCTCAAACCTTGTAAGATACCGGGCCCCGATGGATTACATCCACGACTGCTGTCGTCTCTTTCTGTCTTCATTTCGAAACCACTCGCGGCTCCCTTCAACATGTTCCTTTCACTCGCTCAACTCCCTAGATATTGAAAAGATGCTATAATCAGTCCTATATTTAATGATGATCGGAGACAAGTCGTATCTGACTACTGACCTGTCAATCTGACTAGCGTAGTCGTTAAGTTACTTGGAAAGATAGTTCAGGTTAGGTTGATAAGTCACATAGATTCGTTAAATCCGTTAACTCCGGAGCAACACGGGTTTCGAAACAAGCATTCATGTTTGACTAACATACTCATTGGGAAAGAGGATTGTACAGCAGCCCTAGATAACGGTCTGTCTGTTGATTTGATATCCATAGACTTTAGCAAAGCGTTTGACAATGTTTCACACATAGGTCTTATGCAGAAGCTCCCGAGCTTCGGAATAGAGAGTGCTGTACTGGAGTGGATAGGAAACTTTGTACGTGACCACAGACAGAGAGCGAATGTTATTGAGACGCTATTTGAATGGAAGCCGGTCAAAAAAGATGTACCTCAAGGAACCATCTTATGTCCCCTACTTTTCCTTCTCTACGTCAATGAACTACCACCATTGCTTCAGTCGTCGACATCATTGTTTGAGGATGATGTCAAAATCCGGAGAATAATAAGAAGTGAGGTTGGCCATTTTGATCTCCAAGCCAACCCAGACGAATTAGTTAGATGGGCTCGAGGTTAGGGCTCAAAAGTTAGTCTCAGGACACGATAATAGTTATCATTATACTATTGATGATACATCTCTTCCATGTGTTCAGGCGCATAAAGACTTAGGAGCAACAATAAGTCAAAACTTGAGAAGAACTATGCATTTCAACGCAACTGCTGCTAAAGGTTATTATGAGTTATAGTCACTTCGTCGAGCATTCAAATGATGTGGCGAGATGTTTCGAATTTTATATCCCACCTATGTAAGATCACACCTAGATTACTGTATCCAAGCAGGATACTAGCTCACTTGAGCGTGCTCAGCGTGTGGGAACAGAACTAGTGAAAGGTCTTTCTAAACTCCCTTACAATGAGCGCTTAAGACGCCTAAACCTTTTCCCCTTGTCGTACTGTAGGATGCGAGGTGACAGAATATTGCTATTTCGTATCTTTAATATGCTTTATCTTTTTGCTCCATCCGGCACTGATAATCTCCGAGGCCATAGCAAGAAGGTTCACAAACCGCGATCTAATCAACTTAAAGTGGGTTTCGTATTTCTAATCGAGTGGTCAACGACTGGAACGCTTTACCCGAACAAGTGGTATCGGTCCCATCAGTGAACATTTTCAAGGAGAAGCTGGACCTTCACTGAAAGGCAAGCTATCATGATTAACACTGGTCCAGCAACCTACTATTACTGAAGACTAATAATCAACCAATACGAATCCAGTGATTTCGCGCAATTTTTAACCGATATCAGGCATGGTTAAGAGGTTTGTTATTCTTGCTGATTTATAACATTGCTGGTAGGAATAAACGTAAATCAAAGGTACTGGGGCCGTGTGGAGAGGAACCTGAAGTTAAAAGTCCCGAATATAATTGTATTACAACTTGTGAATGGTAATTAATGAGTTTTATTATATATTCTGAGGACCAACAGCAAGGAAAATCCGCTTGTACTTCTTTCGCGTCTTACTGAAGTTGAAACTGCTGCCAGGCAATCTCTAGAGAGACATGAACCTATCCTTATTGCAGGTTCTGTTGGCTGTGGGAAATCATCACTTGCAAATAAGCTTGCTAAAGAATATTGCAATGTAATGCGTTCTATTCAGATTAGTGAGCATACAGATGCAAAGGTAAGCGAAGTTTTCTTAGTTCTCTTGGTAGTCCTTACTTTACTTATTGGTCGCAGTAGTCTGAGGGATGATCGGAATTTTTTTTCGTTTTTGTCGTCCACTCTGTATATAAAATTCCAGCTGTGATTTCAGTCATTCAAACTGTAGTTACAAAGTAGTTCACCTTCATAAAAGGACTGTAATCATTTTTGTTTTTCCAGTCAACACCAAGTAATGAGTGAACTGTAATCGGGATACGTACTTATGTTTCGTTTAAAATATTCATTGAGATACCCTAATTTGGGCTTCGAGATCCTTTCAACTAAGGGAAAACTTAAGGTTTCGTTTTAGTTTCCCGTAGATAGATTTCAAAGCCAAGTCCAACGAAGTAGTTGGTTGAATTTCAAACCAACTGGTTCCCAGTGATTCCTCTACAAATGAGGTTACGAATGCTTTAACCAACCTCACCAAATAAATATTAGACAAAGATACTAGATTCCAGTCTTTAATAAAAGCAAGGGGCAGGTTTTGCGTAGTTGTCTTGTCATTTAAAGATCTTTTTTGTACTTCTAAACACACCGCTTTAGAATTAATCGATAACGGTCACTCATAAATGTCAAACCTAATATTAAAATATACTTTCCAAAATAATTATTTTTGGGTTAAAGTAGCTTGCTTGTTACATGTAGTCTGCTAGCGTTAATTCTGGTTGACGATTTAAATACAGATATGTCCCTTACTCATGAATCGTTAACATTTAAAATCATCTTGATTAGAGACTATGGTTATAAAAACAGTATACCCAACACTGCTTAGTAGTATTTTCATTTATTGGCCCAAGGGGTTAGTCTTATACAAATAGTTTGCAGTTTCATACATCAAAAGTGATCCCCAGTTTCTTCTGAAACCGTAGTAGGCTAGCTGTCTTACTTTTTTCTGTTTTGATTCCGCGTTGTCTGTTTTGAAGGAAATAAAATGCTACGTGTCTGTTAATTTTCAAGGAAAGGAGTTAGAATAACAACAAATGTGATCGCTCCTCGTTGTTAAATTAGAGGTTACAGTTCGTGAAGTTTTGAGTTTAGTCCATGACTGTCCCATACTATAACTTATTACTTGTGCACTCAGTGTTTTCATTGGTAAACAGTCGTTTATGCTCACTTTCTTTAGTCCTGTTGTAATAAGTATGATTTAGGAAGAGTTTGCTATTTGGTTGTTGACAATAACACCTTCCGTATATGGTTTCCAAATCTTGGTGACGAACTGTATTTACTTTACACTGTACTGTTTTCAAGTCCAGAGTATAACTGCCGTAATAGCCTACCGTTTTGTTTTGTTAAGATCCAAAAGCGACTGATCAGTCACCTATAAACAAATTATCACTCTCGTTCTCTTTATGACACCTGAAACTCACAACTCATCCTTTCAAGTTTTCATAAATTATAACAATTTCGAGAATGGTATCGTAAATGTACTTTATTCCATTTTCCTCATTACGGCCATATCTTGTTGAAGCTTATTTCTGCAATGTTGCAAAACCATTTTCAAGAAAGTATCAATGAGTGTTTATATTGTTAATGTGTATATTATTGTCATTTCTTAGATTCAATAATTTTATTAGAATACATACATTCGTATGTATGGTGAGTTCAAACAACCTAAGTAAAATCACATGTCAAAAGTTACAATAACTTTAGTTATCAAATGTTTATTTTATCAGACTCTTCTAGGAGCTTACTGTTGTACTGAAATTCCAGGACAGTTTACATGGCGTCCAGGTCCTCTGATTTCATCAATAGAACATGGTTATGGATTAGTCCTGGAAGATATTGATCGTGGGTCTCCTGAATTGCAGCTATTAATCACTTCTGTGTTAAGAAGGCTAAAAAATTATTCAGTCAATTCAAACAATAACATACTATTAAATCCCGTTTCTGGCAATCCAACCACTCATCATCCCAATTTTCGCTTGTTTATGACCAGCGTTTTATTTCATGTCATGGTGAAGATTTTCGCCAAGAATCTGGAAATGCATTGGCTGAGTTTTTGGATCGTTACTGTTTTGTAATCTCACTGCCAAATTTTTCGAAAGATGAAACAAACCTAGTAAGTTGAGTTGTTTCTCTCATAATTTATTTTTGTAAGTAAGCATATGCTCTTTATTGATAAGTTAAACGATTTAGCAAATGAAATACTATTTGATATATATTTGTATTCCCTTTATTGGAACGCACGAGTTATCATTTGTATAAAGTTTCAGATGAACTGAAATTCACTTTAATCGTTAGGGAAATAAAATGACTTGTAGTTGTAAAGCATCCGTAGTTTTTCTAAATATGTTCCCATCTAAATTTTAAATGTTTTACTGGTTTATCAATATTTGTTTAATTTCTAGCTTATTAGTCATCAGTATCCAACACTTGTTCCGTTCATTGATCGCATAATGAATATTTATGCGTTTGTTGTCGAATCCTTCCGAAATGATAATACTGTTATACAGAGAACTATGAATTCTTCTAGACTACGGGGAATATCAGTTAGAGATTTATTAAAATTTGTTCACGTATATCAGCGTTAACCGAAAAGGAGAATTTTTCTGAATTGTTGCTACTAAATGCTGTCGATTGTTTCTTATCCTCAATGTGCAGTTGTATAAAACAACTTGAGATAGCTTGTCGACTAGCTGGTGAATTGAATTTATCAGTTGAAAATGTAGGTTGGATCTTTTTAAAATTGCTTTGATTATTTTTTTTGTAGCATGTTCATGTTGTTAGACCATAAATTACACTTCCTTTTTCAGTTCAAACTAGTATAGATAAGTATATCTTTATGTACTCGACTACAAGTCGAGTTAGTGATAGCTGACCTGGTACGTAGGTAAACCATTTCAACTTGTCACACAATATAAGCACTGATATGAAATTATCAGAATAGATTTCAGAGTAATAGAAATAGCAACAGTATCGTCAGTCGTAGTAGAAAACTTTAGACATGGATAATATATTCGAGAAGGAAAATGAAACCGTGAAGTAAAGAGTACACCATAACTTTGAAAGGGAGAACAAAGAGAGAATAAGTCCGGGTCGTTGTGACGTATTCCGAGTCACACTACGCAAATTCTCCAACCATTGATCAGGATAATCACCAGTAGAGCCAACTAAACCAATTCATCGCATCTGTACATGAAGTCAGTAATCGCTGACCTCAGTTATATTGGTAGATGCAGACTACCTGGTTGAGGTTCATGTGATAACCGAGATGAGTGCTTGGAGAATTTGAGTGACATTTCTCTCAGCGAGGGTGTTGTTTACGAAAGTGAGAGGACGAAATGCGAATGTCCGGCGCTTTAACCGGGTTGGTGGACACAGAGAGTCCACCTAAGGGAGTTGGAAAACCGTGATTCCAACCCAATGGTGCACATGGGCTCCAGTATCCTGAAGGAACAAATGGCGTATGAACCTGTTGTTGGTCACCAGCTACCATGAGGCTGCATCTTCTGACGTTTCTCCACCGCTTTATGGGTCAGACCTTTAGGTGGAAGGCTCAGGGTGTGGCTCCCTAAGAAAACCACCTGCTTCGGTTTGGGCACCCGGGCAGTATCTCACTTACTTACGTCTGTTACTCCCAAGGCAGCATAGGCCGCCGACCAGAATTCTTCAACCCACAATATTCTGGGCATTCCTTTCTAGTTCTATCCAATTTTTCTTCATTCTTCTCATGTCTGTCTCCATTTCTCGCATAATGTGTTCTTTGGTCTTCCTCTTTTCCTTTGGCTTTGAGGATTCCATGTGAGGGCTTGTCTTGTGAGGCAGTTGGGTGCTTTCCTCAATGTATATCCTATCCATTTCCAGCGCTTCTTCATGATTTCTTCCTCCACTAGGATCAGGTTTATTCTCTCCCACAATAGGTTGCGGCTGATAGTGTCTGGCCAACGGATCCGAAGTATTTTGCGTAGACAACTGTTAATAAACACCTGTATCTTCTGGATGATGGCTTTCGTAGTTCTCCAAGTTTCCGCCTCATACAGTAGAACTGTCTTGACATTTGTATTGAAAATTCTGATCTTGGTGTCGGTTGATAATTGTTTTGAGTTCCAGATGTTGTTCAACTGTAGATATGCTGCTCTTGCTTTGCCGATCCGCGCTTTCACATCTGCATCAGATCCACCTTTTTCATCAGTGATGCTGCCCAAATATGTAAAGGTTTTTACATCTTCCAAATCTTCTCCGTCGATTGTGACTGGATTGGTGCATGCTGTTTTGTATAGGAGAATCTTGCTTTTCCTTTTGTGTATATTGAGACCTACTGCTGCTACACTGGTCGTCTCCTGCATTTATTGTTGCGTTTGGGATAGAAGAGCCAGATCATCTGCGAAGTCTAGATCGTTCAACTGCATCCTAGATATCCACTGTATCCCGTGCTTCCCTTCAGATGTTGACGTCTTCATGATCCAGTCGATCACCAGGAGAAAGAAAAAGGGTGAGAGTAAGCAACCTTGCCTGACACCAGTGTTTACTTCGAACGAGTGTGTGAGCTGTCCTTCATGCACGATTTTGCAGTTTAATCCATCACAGGGCAGTATCTCAGTTCTCATACAAATCGAATGATTTATGTGGTGCATATCTATTTGGTGCCTCCTTGTACCAATGTTTATGTGTTTAAATAAATAGATAAATAAAGCTCCAGCCATTCGCATTTCGTCCTTTCAATTTCGTAAACAATACCCCTGATGAGTAAAGGTAGTGGGTAGGATTTCCATGTCACTGGCTGTATACGCGTGGTTATGTGACAGCATTTCAAGAGGGTGAGCGGACTCTCCACACCCTAGGTCTTACCAGAGCATTTGGAGGCGTAGTTTGCCACTGCATTATTCGAATCTCTTGGTAATTTCATATCGTCATACTAATCAAGTATGAGAACTTGAGCCAATGCACATTTGTGGCAGGCCCTAGGTCGATGACGTTTGTTGACTGACCGACAGTTGACTGGTCTGCAACATAGTAGTCTGCATTTGTTCACATGGTTTAGTCCATCAGTTAATAGTTTCAAGGGTTGATACCTTTTTTTGTTTAACTGGCCCTAGTTTTCTTCCAACCTATTCCTACACCAGCCACTCCACATGTCGAGGTAACCAGTAGTTGGGTGTATTTACTACACGTTCCCACCACATCAGCCGAGAGTTTACTACATCATCAATGATTTCCTATCCTTACTGAATAGTTTGTGCTTAACCTTGGCCTTGCTCGCTCGTTTGTCCCAACTCATGCGAGCATTGTGGTCAAATGTTAGCAACCTACGAGTATCTATTATTGATTGTTATGTTTCATATCTATAAATTAGAAAGAAACAATCTACTGAGCAGCACATTCATATTTTGCTTGAGAGATGAACATCTCACCTACTCCTCAAGTGACAAAACTTGGCAAAGACCAAACCAGCTCATGACTCCATAAGCTGGTGATATGACCTGTAAGCAAACCCTTCTGTCGAAAAGTTGAATGCTTCAATCCCTAAGCCATTGCTTTTCGCCTATTGTGTAAAGCTCAACAACAGTCCATGAGTTTTACAACTCCAATTGCTCTATAGCAAAAAAGTGAGATCTGAACAGTTCATTAGTTAACTCAAGGTTCATTCAGTTAGTCAGTTAGCCATCAATGTAGACTTATTCACTAGGTTGTAAAACGTATCTCTTGTATTAAGAGTTTAACGATGTTAATTAACCTCCCATGGGTCATTTGAAGCTAGACCACCATGGAACACCTGGAAGCACTAGAGGGCCATTTCGTCCTGTTGTGGGACTCTTCAGCAGTGCGCATCCACGATCCCACCTCGTAAGATTCGAACCCAAGACCTATCGGTCTCACGCGCGATTGCTTAACCTCTAGACCACTGATCCGGCATCCAATTGTGTTATTGTCTAACTTCAACTAATCCACGAAATTGAACGATACGTCCCGACCGTTGTTGCTACCTTGACGTGGTGGTCGGGCTTGCCTATCGTGATGAAGCAACCGAGCTATACTGGCTGGAACAACCGTTCCTCAAGGTCCTACCATGTCAGACAGGTCGGTTGAAGAGCGGTAAGACTAAAAGCAACAAACCCAAGGTCCGAAGGCGAAGTCGTACTGCTGACTGTACAGAGGTGTGACAGCAGTAAGGTGTTTCCTTCAGACAACCAGCATGACAGCGATGCTGCCTTCCCACAAGGAGGGGTGGGGTTAGAAAAGGTCGACCCTAAAAATGCACACCTCACCTTACCTCACGGATTTCCGTCTCCGGCGGTAAGGCCCTTTGAAGAACGGAGCTAACACGTCAAAAACCTCCCACGAAAAGGCCGTGCGCGACCGGCCTCAAGCAGTTGTCCCTTGGGCACTGCGGTCACGCTCTCAGGTCACTGAGACCACCTCTAATCCAATTTCCTTTTCAGGTACCTCCAGAAGAACCCTTCCACGGTGTGGGCAACCGGGAAGTGATAACCGCCCTCATACCTCTAACAGCACTCAAGACCACTGTATTCATAATCAACCTTCCTCTTCAATTCCTATTATTCCTCCTACATCGACTTTCAACTCTAAACTTCCTCCTTCGGCTTCCTCCTCAAGTGTCACCATAGCCAACGATTCTAGTGCTCAAAACCCTGTCCCAGGTCTACTGAAACCTCGCTCCAAACTACACATTGGAGCCTTCAACGTACGCACCCTATGTCAAATCGGTCAGCAGGCTTCCTTGGCTAAAACCCTAGAGTCTCTTTCCATTGATGTATGCTGTGTCTCCGAAACACGCATACAGGATTCCAGTGTGGTCATTCACTTGACCTCACCTCGGCAAAACGGAGAGCCAACGAGATACACCCTACGTGTATCTGGTGACCCGATGGCCAGTTCTCGTGGACTGGCAGGTGTAGGCATAGCACTAAGCATGAGGGCGGAACAAGCACTGCTAGAGTGGATCCCCGTCAACAGTCGTCTATGTGCTGTTCGGCTAAACGGCTCCGTAAGAACTCGGAAGGATAGGGACACACGTCGTTGCCTTTTTGTCGTTTCTGCCTACGCTCCCACTGACTGCAGCTCAGATGAAGTGAAAGATGAATTTTACAGAAAGCTGTCCGAACTTCTTCAGAAAGCTAAACGCTCAGACATAGTACTCGTAGGGGGTGACTTTAATGCTCAGATAGGTAGTTTAAACCAAACAGAAAGGCATTTAGGTGGATATTTTAGTATTCCGGCACAGCGAACAGATAATGGTGATCGTCTGCTGCAACTATGCTCAGACAATCGTTTATTTTTAGCAAACACAAATTTTAAGCATAAGGAGAGACATCGTCTAACATGGCGACCCCCTACACCAAACCAACGATGGACTCAAATAGACCATATTGCCATCAGTCATCGTTGGAGAGGGTCGGTAGAAGATTGTCGCTCATTCTGGAGTACCTGCTTGGACTCCGACCATGCCCTAATACGGGCACGCATCTGCTTGCGCCTCACTGGACGCAAAAAAGCCACATTAAAAAGACCCATTAGAACTGAGTTGAGTAACGAGAAAACCAAAAGTAGGTTCCAGGAACAACTGAGGTCACACTTAGGTAGTTGTGAAGACGAGGCTGACCCAGATGTTGCTTGGAAAGACATACAAGCAGCTGTGGAAACAGCAGTGACATCTATTAGTGACTTAAACCACAGAGTTACAAAGAACCAGTGGATTTCTTCAAGGTCTATCACACTGATGGATTCTCGCAAACTCGTCCCATCAGGTTCTGAACATGATGAAGAGCGACAACAAATCAGATCTAGGTTAAGAAAAAGTCTAAGGAACGACCGTGAGCAGTGGTGGGCAACGAAAGCAAAAGAGATGGAAAAGGCGGCGACTATAGGGAACACAAGACAGCTTTACAGACTAATAAAAGAAACTGGAATTAATAAGTCAAGTGTAAGTGAGATTATTTCGGAAAAAGACGATACTCTCATCTGCTCCCAGTCCAGACGTTTAGAACGATGGGCGGAACATTTTAGAGAACAGTTCAGCTGGCCTTCAGCTACTCTACAACTACCCTCCATTCCCAGACAGGTGAATGGAACATTGAAGTAGGTCCCCCAACTCTTGCTGAAGTTCAAAAGGCTATAGTTAATCTGAAACGAGGAAGGGCAGCTGGTCCAGATGGATTGGCTCCAGAGGTCTTTAAGGATGGTGGTCCAATTTTAGCGATTAGGTTGACTAATATTTTAGCTAAGATCTGGGAGTTAGACGTTATCCCATCTGACTGGTCACAATCACTTATCGTCCCAATATATAAGAAAGGGTCAAAATCATCCTGTGACAACCACAGAGGGATTAGTTTAACTAATATAATATCTAAAATACTAGCCTCGATAATTATCAGACGCCTAACTAAGACTCGTGAACTGCAAACACGAGAGAACCAAGCTGGCTTTAGACCTGGTCGTGGCTGCATCGACCACATATTCACCATTCGTCAGGTTCTAGAACACAGGCATACTAATCGGCGTCCGACAATGGTGGTCTTTCTTGACTTAAAAGCAGCATTTGACTCTGTAGACCGCGAGATTCTGTGGCAGTGTCTGTCATTGAAAGGCGTACCTCAGAAGTACATAAACCTTGTGAAGGCTCTTTACTCGAACACTACTAGTCGAGTCAGAGCTTATGGCGAACTGTCATCTACTTTTGCAACCTCAAGTGGTGTCCGTCAAGGCTGTCCACTTTCCCCATTTTTGTTTAACTTCATCATAGACCTATTGATGGAAATAACACTCTCGTCGACTGAATTCTCGGGTATTGATCTCCATCCAGGAGGTCCACTTATCGACTTAGAATACGCAGATGACATAGTCCTGTTTGGTGAAGACGCTGACAAAATGCAGAGTCTTCTGGTAGCACTAAGCAACAATGCCAGAATGTTTGGAATGCGCTTCTCTCCCTCTAAATGCAAGTTGTTGCTTCAGGACTGGTCTGCGTCAACACCTGAACTAAGGATAGGGAGTGAAGTAGTCGAACGCGTTGACAACTTCACTTATCTTGGAAGTCTGATCAGCCCTAATGGGTTGGTGTCTGACGAAATCTCAGCACGGATTCGAAAAGCTCGTTTGGCTTTTGCCAACTTACGTCACCTTTGGCGAAGGCGAGATATCCGTCTATCAATAAAAGGACGAGTATACTGCGCGGCAGTCCGTTCTGTTTTAATTTACGGCAGCGAAACATGGCCATTAAGAGTAGAAGACACTCGTAAGCTACTAGTATTTGACCACAGATGCCTTAGAAATATTGCTGGCGTCTGCTGGGATCACCGGGTAAGTAATAGTGAGGTTAGACGCAGGGTATTAGGGAATGATGGTAAATCAGTTGATGAGGTTATGAATCTTCATCGACTGAGATGGTTGGGCCACGTGTTACGTATGCCTGAACACCGATTACCACGACGTGCAATGCTATCCGGTATTGGAGATGGTTGGAAGAAAGTTAGGGGCGGCCAAACCAAAACGTGGCATCAGTGCTTGAAGACACTAACTTCTAGTCTGAGCCATGTTGGTAGATGCAGACTACTTGGTTGGGGTCCGCGTGACTTTCGTAACCAATGGTTGGAGACTCTTGGTGACATGGCTCAGAATCGATCACAATGGCGTCGGTGTATACACTCTCTGTCTTCCCTTAAACTAAGAGATTAAAATCACTTCATATCTTTCTTTCTACGAACCAATTCTTTCTTCTTGTATTATATCTCTATATGCAATCTTTCTCTTATATATTACCACCTTTGACCTAACCACTCCTATGAATCCGGTGTTCATCTTGTTGTGCTGATGCGGTATGGCAACCTGGACCGATGCACATATGTGCCTGGTCCTACGTTGTAGCTGACTGACCACCATTGTCTCTTGTGAGTCACTCACAACAGACCCGGTTGAACTCCACTGATCACTGCTTCTCACTAGAACTCCAGGAATACCTCTTGAAGCCAGTCACCAGTGAGCATATGCTGATTAGCATCAGAAGGGGTTTTCATGGATATTATAATAATTTCAATATTTGAGATCATGAGTCAATTGGAGCTAGACCACCATGGAAAAATAGATTTCTAATTTCACCCCCTTCATATTGTTAAAATACAAGTTTCTAAACTACTGAGCTACAGTACTTGTTGCTAACTCACTCGTGACTTCAGTCTGGTCGTATCTCAATTTCTCGCATTACATGCATTTCTCATAGCTTAGTTAATGGAAGTGTGCCCACTTGTATTATTTGTTATCGTTTATTGAGATTCTTACATTTGTTATTATTTTCAGGCAAGAAATATTTTGTGCTGCCGATCAATTGAAATCAGCTTACATCCTCAAAAAAGTGTTTTAAAGGTTGGTCGTACTATTCTTCCATGTCGGAGAACTCCTGAATGGGAAATCAAAGTGTCTGGGTAAGGTTCTTTTTTAAGATCACTAACATTCTTTGTATGATTTACAATGACAGACTGAATTCTTCACTTTTTGGTTTGTTCATTTTCGTACTTGGTGTTATAGATTAAGTTTATGCAGAGATTAGGTCGGAAGTCAAAAAGGATGTTTGTGGATAATTCCCATCTGGTATTGGTGCCACTTAGAAAAACCTTTAAAATTCAATTGGTATAGTGACTTAATAATATCGTGTCCATCGCAAAAAATTGTGGTTATGGATACAAATCCTCTGTAAGATCTTCGGCACATATTATTGACGCATCTCAAATTGAGATGAAAACAACTCTATAAGATTAAACTTTGTTAATCACTATTTTGCACTAGAACTTTTATGAATCCCTCTACAAGCCATTCAGTGATGAGCACGTAAATTTTATAAAGGTAATTTCCGTTATTTGTTTGTTTATTTTCGACAAAATGTTTTGATCTGTCATGAAAAAGATGCTCCACATAAAAGCTAATGGTGTCAGAAAGGGGAAAGGGTTATGTAATGAGCAAAATTAGTCCTCTTTAAAATATGACTCAACTAAAAATGCAACTATAATAACTTTTTATCCGTTAAAAAGTCTACCCTATTTAAGACTGTGTTCGAGTAATATAAGAAGACTACCATAGACTTCTCTCCTGAGTCATGGCTTATAACGTCGCAAGCCATTTTGTGTTGCATGATCGTTGGAATTTGAATTAGAACGTCATTATAGGTGAACAGATTTCAGTCCTATACAACTATCTTTCATTCCACATGATCATATCTTAAATTGACTACCATCCTAGCGTTAAGAAGTACTATGTGATGTGGAAAGCATTCGGAAGCCTTTTGTAAAACGTGTCCTTATATGGTGTAGGCATCTGAGAAGTGATAACCGCCTTAGACCTATAACAGCACACGACATCGCCTTGTCCATAATCAAACCCCATATTCATCACAAAATATTACTTCTCCTTCTACTATCGATCCTCGTCTGCCTTCAAGTTTTTACGCATGTGCCACAAATACTGTATTCAACTTCATAAAATACTCTCCCAGGTCTGTCTAATTTGCGTCTCCAACTGCGTGTTAGGCTTTTAATTTCTGAACCTTATGTCTTTCAAGTCATTGGAGCCGATGTTTTAAGATAACAATATCAACTAAGTTATTATTACTACATTTAGACACTCGTTGTCGACATCGCTAATACTTTCATGGAGTTTCCACTGGATGTGAGTCGTACATTCTAAATTAACTAACTTGATATTAGCTGCAAAATTATTGATTATTTTTTATCTCTATTTATCCCTTGGACATTTTTTCATGTGCATAGTGGAAATTCCATACTTCAAAGTTCCAACGATATCGTTTGGCCATTTGCTTCTACTCGTTTATCATCTTCCCTATTGAACGATTAGCTGTTGCTGTACAACATAAAGAACCTGTTCTACTTGTTGGTGAAACAGGAACTGGTAAAACTTCTACAGTCCAACGACTTGCCTATCTCACAGGTCATCGTTTAAGAGTAATCAATTTAAATCAACAATCGGATAGTGTTGATCTAATGGGAGGGTAGGTGCCTTTTTTTCTCTCTCCTCTCTCTCTGTGTCTATAAAACAAAGTGTATTCAGTTTTCAGCTTTTTTTTTACATTCCCTTAGTATATTGTCATATTATTTTTTCCCATGTATGGTTTTTCTTTTTCTTTTTTTTTTCCTTTAAAAATTTCAGATTTAAACCTGTAGACTTTCAAGTTTTTGTACGACCATTACGGGAGAAATTTGAATCACTTTTTACGTGTACATTTCAATTAGACAATAATTTAGTTTTTCTTGGTCACATAAATGTAAGTTTATTATAGAATTACATAATAGATTTGTGTATTTATCCTTTTGTACGATTGGCTTCATTTAGTAATAAGATTTTTTTGTTTTTCAATCGTGATTAATATTATTGAGACATTCTATAGAATAAAACAATTGTCAGTTAGCTACAACGTAGGACTAAGCACATATATGCATCGTTTCAAGTTGCTACACCTCATTAGCACAACAAAATGAACATCGAATTCACAAAAGTAGTCACTTCAATGTTAGTAATATACAAAAAAATTGTGTATGAGGATATAGTACAGGAAGAAAGAATTAGTTCGTAGAAAGAAAGATATAAAGTAATTTTAATCTCACGGTTTAAGGGAAGACAAAGAATGTATACACCGATGCCATTGTGGTCGATTCTGAGCCATGTGACCCAGAGTCTCCAACCATTGGTTACCATAGTCACGTGGACCCAACCAAGTAGTCTGCATCTACCAACTTCCATTTTCACTGCCCTTCAACCGATGTAGCTGACATAATCGGACCTTCAAACACAAATCTTTCACTCAATATTAGTTCGGCTGGGTTATCACAATAGGCAAGCACAACCAACCTCCTCAAGGTCTAGGTGCTATCTTTGGGAGGAGGAGAAAGTGGAAAACCTGACGATTTATTAGGTACATTGAAATACCTTACATTGGGTGGTGAAAACTGTCGGTTGGCATTACAAATGAATAAAAACCAATGCAAAACAATTTGACAACCGAAACAAAAAATGCCATGTACATTTTGTAGTTTGATATTGAAGATCGCTTATCTGAAGCTTCAGTCTAGAATCTGCTATTTTCCAATATATTTGTTTAAAATCATATGTATTCTGCTACATTTTTGTTAGTTTAACGAATATGCTTTTGTAGACTTGTTTTCAATCTGGACGTTGGCTTGATTTAATCACTTTGATGCGTCATCCAGCTCGTGTAGCTGTTCAACGTGATTCGTCAGTTGATACTTCAGAATGGATTAAATTTTTAGATGATCTAACTATCCTGGAGAAACGTTTAGAAAATATCACAAAATCAAATAAACCTGGATTAGGATTTGCTTTTATTGAAGGTGCTCTTGTTCGTGCAGTGCAAGACGGTGATTGGATACTGTTGGATGAAATTAATTTAGCTCCAGCTGAGATGCTTGATTCACTAAGTGGTCTGTTAGATTCTGAATATGGTAGTCTTATCTTGACAGAACGTGGGTAAGTCTTACTTGAAATGGTAATTATTTCAAAGGATTGTGAAGAAATTGTTGATTTACTTTAAGATGCTTTTGAAGTTTTAGTAAAAAGTTGTAACCGGTGGAGTTCAAACATATCAAGAGTGAAACAGTTGTCATCAGTGACGTTAGATAATCGTCAAGATATTTCTTAAATTGCTTTGGGATGAATTTTTTCATAGTTCTAGTGGTTAAGCATTTACCTATAGATCTAAACGTCCCAAACTTGATCTCAGGTTGGGTCATAAGTATGCAATGTTGATAAGTCTCATACTAGGATGAAACAACTGTCCAATACCCCTTAATTTGAAATAGTAATAGGACTGAAACGAACCTGCAAATAATACCACCTATAAAATGGTGATTGTTAGTGCTCCTCCTGTTGTATGTACAGGTGTGAATGTATTGAGTGGTTAAACAATTTAATCATCAGGTTTAGAAAAAGAGTATGGTCTATGAAATTAGAAGACACCCGTAGGTTAGAATGTTTTACCCATAGGTGTTTTCGAAGCACTTCTCGCATTTCGTAAAATGTCCGAGTAGGCAAGGTTGAGGTTAGACATCGGATACTTAGCAAAGATGGCTAACCGGTTGGTGAAGCAGTGCACCTTTGTCAGCTGAGATGGTTAGAACATGTGTTACGTTTGCATGACCACTGCATACCTTAACGTGCGATGCCTACTAGTGCAGAAGTAGGTTAGAAGAAAGCCAGGGTCAACCAAACGAGGACATAGCATCTGTTCAGGAAGTCAGTAATATCTGGTTTGAGTTATATTGGTAGATGCAGACTACCTGGCTGAGGTTTATGTGATAACTGAGATGAGTGTTTGGAGACTTCGGGTGACACGGCTCGAAATCATTCAGTGACACCGACATATTCACTCTTTATCTCCCTCTCGATTTTGAATTGCATTATTTGTTCATGTATACCTCACTCTCAATAATTGTCATTGTTAGCACATTATATCGATCTCTTTAGTTATTTTTATTTCTTCGTGCTAATCAGGTATGTCAACTTTGGCCGACTCGACTCACATCTGTCCTCGACTCTGTGTTAAGGATGTCTGTTTGTCATGAAGACTTCTATTCAGTTTTCATGCAGGTATCTAGAACAGACTTGCATGCAGTTTACCTATTAGTTGACTTACATGATAATGTTAGTTCTAAGTATTATTTTCATATTTGAAGATATCAAATATTCTAGTGTTTCACTATATATTTGTTTTGGCAACCTCTGTACAAAAATGATTTCGCACTACGCCATGTTTAAATACAGCTGAAACCCACCCATGTAGTGACACTGGCTAATCGTTATTCTATCTCATGGTTAGTATTCATTCCATTTTCAGTTGACTACTCTCAAGGTTATGTTTTTATAGTGCATTACTTACAATCTCTCATCTATATGTGATTGTGTGTAATCACTAAAAACAACTAAGGCTAGTTGACTAACAGTTTATAGTGCTCTTGATTCAATACGGTAACTAATCGAAAGAATGTTATTAGAATTTTCCGCGCCTATTTAAGGGTATTTGTGTGCTTTATCATTTCGTCTATATAAGTATCTGTATGATTAATCTTTTGGTTATTGGTTTTACATCAGTTTCTATGGTATTCGTAATCAAAATAGTGATCGCCATTTTATTGTTGTTTGTTCCGTTCACGTTCTGGCTAATCTATCAACCTTAATAGTGCTTATGCGTTTAACCTGAATCAGTTAAGTGAACTATGGATTAAGTTTAATTTGATCCTTCTAATGTAAATGATTGAATGGTTCTGAGTATTGTCTATCACCTGTCCGCTTTATTTTTTTTGTCTATTTTCGTTTTTTTTAATTCAGCGACAGTGAACCAATAAAACGTCATTCGGACTTTCATTTATTTGCTGCTATGAATCCAGCTACAGATGTTGGTAAACGTGAATTACCTGTTGGACTTCGTAATCGGTTTACTGAATTTTACATTCCTGAATTGGATCCTTGTATTGATGTTAATAAGTCAGAGGCATCGATTGATTCTGATTCTAGTCGTCATATTGAAATTATACGCTCAAATAATTGTGAAGATTTGGCCACTTTAGCTCGTTCCTATTTAGTTGCATTGAATCCAACTCCATCACAGTTATCGACAATTGTACGACTTTATTCAGCTTTGAGACAAGCTGCTGTTGAGGGCTTAGTGGATGGTGTAGGTCAAAGACCACATTTCAGGTGAATTTATTTGTTTACTCTTGTTCAATTATATCGAACCATATTTTCGGAAGATGGCTCAGTCTATAATATTATATAGATTTCGACGACCATACACACTCGATTCTCAACTGTTTGGTTGGATATTCGGACCCCATTTTATCCAAATTGTATGATTGGGTAGTATAACTAACGTTCACACATAAGTATGGCGTCCGCTGTATTATTTATAACAAAGTAATATGACGTAGTATGTGTATATCATAGTGAACAGAGGATACGTCAGGAATAGTCTGACCTTTATGCAGTTCATTTTTGTACCAAATTCTAAACGACCCATGGACAAAATGAAGTTTTTTCAATACAGTCTCCTCCTCTTCATTTATTTAATCCTATTACTGTTGTCCTTCTTTCTCCCTAGTCTTCGAACATTATGTCGAGCTTTAATTGAAGCTGGTCGAGGCTATCATGGAAGTATCTTACGTTCCTTGTATGAAGTAAGTTGGTTCTTTGTGTTCTGTGCACCAAATTACCTTTTAATTTATGGTGATAATGTAGAAAGTGTTCTTGTTTGAAATATGATGACCAATCAAAACCAATCAATTTAGTTGAACCGCTTTACCTAATTTTGTTCAGTAAAACCTATTGTTTACCCAGTCACTTTGTCTTATTATTTCGGTGTACTAGATCTTCTAAAAATACGTATTATCGTTAGAAGCCTAAGTCATCAATTAGACGGACTGATACAGTAGGCTAATCAGACATCAGCCAGACGATAAAGTTACACAATACCCCAAGATTTAGTTTTTTCTTTTTTAAAGAATAAGACATCCCATCGGAGAAAATATGGTTCAATTTTCTAAGGGTCTAACTGACTGACTGACATATACATGAATGAGTTTGTGGTCATTTCTCGATTCCCATGATTAATAAAAGCTCCCTTCTGAATCGATTAACTAGTTCAGGTTGTTAATAGGAAATTTGTTTATCGATATCAAAACTAGATACTACACAACACGGTAGGCGCCCGCTAAATTCGTGCAGAATAAATTTTTTCTTTTAGATTAGACCAATAATTTTCTATCGAAATTGGGATTTATACTGAAAGTTTAGGGAACAGGTAATTTGTCAGTTTGTTCTTTCACCGTAATCTGTGATTCTGATGACTTGGAAAATAGGTTTTCAGTTATTTTTGAGCAATTAATGTTTGTTGGATAAATAGTTATAAAACTGGTTATTTATTTGTTTATTTGGACACATTAATATTGGTACAAAGGGGCACCGAATACATATGCGCCACACAAGTGGGCTGTGGTACTGCCCGGTTGCCCAGACAGGAGCAGGTGGTTTTCTAAGGGGGCCACACCCGGAGCCTTCGACTTAAAGGTCTGATCCACAGAGCAGTGGAGCAACGTCAGGAGGTGCAGTCCCATGGTAGCCGGTGACCAATAATTGGCTCATACACCATTTGTTCCCTCGGGATCTTGAAGCCCGTTGTGCATCATTGGTGTGGAATTATGGTTTTCCAAGTGCCCTAGTTGGATCATCTATATCCACCAACCCGGTTAAAGCGCCGGACATTCGCTTTTCGTCCTTTCAATTTCGTAAATAACACCGCTGTCACGAGAAGACAGTGAGTAGGACTTCCATGGCTGTGGTAAATTCGCTTGCATTGTTACAAGGCTAGTGTGACCATAAAAAAAATCGGAAATTTACACCACTCCGATGCCATCAATTTTGTTGTTTTATTAGTGAAATTTCTGAGTTGGAAGTGTTTAGCGGCCCTCTCTCTATTTAAAAATTTGTTGGCTATACCATATAAGTTCAACCAGTTCTGTTGTGAGATAGTAACTCACTGAAGACAATGGTGGACTGTGACTCAATTTCGTGGATTAGTTGACGTTAGACATTGACACCGTTGATTGCCGGTTCAGTGGTCTAGAGGTCAAGCGTTCGTGCGCCAGACCGATAGATCCTGGGTTCGGATCTCACGAGGCAGGATTGTGGGTGTGCACTGCTGAGGGGTACCGTACTAGAACGAAACGGCCGTCCAGTGTTTCCACGTTTTTCATGGTGATCTAACTCCAATTGATTCATGAATTCAACTATAAAATTACTAAAATCTCCACAAAACCCCTTCTGATAATAATAATCAAAATACATTATGCATATATAAAAAATACATTTTCATTTTTTTTAACAGCGAATTTCTTTTGAAATTAACAAGCAAAGTTATATCTTTCTTTCAGGGTTTACTTTTCAGTTTTGGTTCACAAATTTGTCGAACATCACGACCAATTTTAGATACTTTAATTCAACGTTATTTATGCTCTGGTTGGAATAAAGATTCATCATCTTTACTACGTTTATTAAACACTCCATTGCCTATACCTCAATTAAACAATTTCCCAGTCAATAATAATATTGATGATTCAGTTGTAACTAATAAATGTCCCAATGATTATTTTGTCAATGTTGAAGGTTATTGGCTACCGAAAGGCTCACAACAACCAATTTCAGTAGATAATAAAGATGAATTACCTGGAAATTATATTCTAACACCAAGTGTTCAAGCAAATTTAAAGGATTTGGCACGTGTTGTCTCTGCAGGGTATGTCCACTTTTTCTAACTGTTGGAATAAATGTATGCTGATTAGATTTCTTTCTCTTACTAGGATATTGATTAAATTTATTATGCCTTACTTCATTTTACACGCTTTTACATGAAGATTACATAAGTAGGAGTTACATAATCTAACTTTCTGTGAGATAACATTCTTTTGGCTTATTAAATAAGCTCTGAGATATCACTGCAGCCGATTTCTAGCTATTTATCTTAAATGATAAGATTTGGTATCATTTTGTTTTGTCAAGGTTAATCCATATCGTAGAATGAAGTGATTATTCTATATCTTATGCACTAAATGTATGGGAGTACACTTATCAATATTTATACTAAGTAAACTGAATTACGTTATGCACAGGTTACCCACAAAATTATGTAAGTGAAAATTTCAAAGGTTCAATATGTAATGAGTCGAATTCGTCCCACAATGTTTTAATTCCTGTTAATTTACAAACGTTTATTATAGTGGTGGAAAATTTCAACTAGTGTTCGCAGCAATATAGCCCAGGTATTATTTCCACATGTCCCTGCGTTGCATTGAGATAGGTTTCTTGAGTGTTGGGTAAGCAGTCCTGTTTACTGTCGATTTATGTCTTTATTCTAGCAGTTCACTTGGTCATATTAAAGTCGAACTGATACATTTTCTAATTTGTATAGTTGTTTGGGATGAATATACATTGGAAGTCGTGAAATGCACCAAAGCTGATAAATAACAACTTTTTTCGTGTTTGATATTTACCTATGTTACATCATCATTTGTTGCTCTAGTTTTGTTTTCAACACTTCATTACTACCACTTTTGTTATATAAATTTCAATCGTAACATCATGTGAAAGATTCTAGCTGATCGGCTGAATTATGCGTAAAATCTAAAAACGAGATTTTTCTGATCATTCTACACCATTATGTAACGCATCAATAGTCACCGAAATTTAATAAACATTGGATAGGAAGAAATCCAGGTATCAACTAGTCTTTTAAAATAACTATCAAAGAGAATGTGCATTCAACAATTAAGTGAATTGAAATCAGATTACAATATATACAATAGATCAGAAAGGCACACTGTTTTGTTGTTATACCGAAACATAAGTAATTTACTACAAGACATAAAATATAAACTGAAATACACAAAAAAAGCTACTTCAAAAGATGAACGAACATATTTTTCAAGTAAGATGAATTTAAGCATTGAAATCAGGTACGAATGAATGGGTTAAATAGTTTGTTACTGTCCAGATACCACACATCAGTGCATGTCATTAAAATGACTAAGGACAAAATTAACTACTGATGATTTGTAAGTAGTGTAATTTACAAAGAAGCCAATAAATGAAGCTAATGCGTGGAATACTGATATCACATGTTTACTTGTTAACTTATTGGTATTACAACAGTTCTGATTTGCTGTGTTCAAGCGTTAACTGATATATTATTGCACAAAATAATATGTTAAATTTATTTGTTCGATTGATTGTGTCTCCCTATTTATCCAGTTACTCATTTTTAGAATTTATTAGCCTGACAAATACGTTGTAGATTTGAAACTAGCATTTATTTATGAATAAAATTCCCCTCTAAATATTGATTGATCATATTTCTTTCAATATATATCCCTTGTCTTTAATCAGTGGAGGTCTTCCAGTTCTATTACAAGGTGAAACGTCGGTTGGCAAAACATCACTTATTACATATTTAGCTAAACGTGTTGGTCAAGTGTGTTATCGAATTAATAATCATGAGCATACTGATCAACAAACTTATTTAGGTACATATACAGTTTCTTCAACTGCATGCACAACAAAAGATAAAGGCAGTGATAATGATACTTTGAAAAAAACATCCACATCATTAGTTTTCAAAGATGGTTTATTAGTGAAAGCTATGCGTAATGGTTATTGGATAATATTGGATGAATTAAATTTGGCACCAACTGAAATTTTAGAAGCCTTGAATAGAGTGAGTTTATATTGTTGAAAATCTATACATTTCTCTAATATTATATTTGTTTAACCGATAGAGACACACATATATTCGAGGTTCTACTTTGCATATGACTGACTGATTGACTTATGTTTGTTGAAACTATTCTCTCAAATTATTTCTACAAATAAATGTATCTATTTATTGTTGTGAACGTTAGAAATCTTGTAATGACAAATGCGTAAATCGGAAAACAGCAGTTAGGTTGTACAAACTTATGATAACTAAGTGAGATGTTCATGCTTATTTATTTAAACACATAAATATTGATACAAGGAGGCACCAAATAAATATGCGCCACATAAATTATTCGATTTATGTGAGGGCTGAGATAATTCCTGGGTGCCCAAACAGAAGCAGGTGGTTTTCTTAGGGGGCCTAAACCTGAACCTTTGACTCAAAGGTCTAATCCACAAGGCAGTGGAGCAACTTCAGGTAATGCAGTTCCCCCAAATGCCCTGGTACGACCGAGAGTGGGGACAGTCCGCTCTCCCTCTCGAAATGCTCTCACATGGACACGCGTATATAGCAACTGCCAGGGAAGTCTTACTCACTGCCTTCTCGTGGCGGGGGTGTTATTTAAAAAATTAGAGGACGAAAAGCAAATATCCGGCGCTTTAACCGGGTTCAAAACCAATGGTGCATTTAGGCTCCAGTATCCTACGGGAACAAATGGCGTATGAACCAATTGTTGGTCACCGGCTTCCATGGGACTGCATATCCTTACGATGCTCCACTGCCTTGTGGATCAGACCTTCAGGTCGAAGGCTCGGGGTGTGGGGCTCCCTAAGAAAAACGCCTGCTTTGGTTTGGGCACCCTGGCCCTCACACATATCAAATGAGTTTTATGTGGCGCATATGTATTTGGTGCCTCTTTGTACCAATATCTATGTGTTGAAATAAATAAATAAATAAATGGTAGCCGGTGACCAACGATTGGTTCATACGCCATTTGTTTTCATTAGAATCCTGGGGCCCATGTACACCATTGGTTTGAAATCAGGGTTTTCCAATTTCTCTCAGTGGATCCTCCGTACCCACCAACCCGGGTGCAGCGCCGGACCCGTAGTGCGAGAAGGCAGTAAGTAGGACTTACCTGGCAGTGGTCTTATGCTCGTGGTCATGTGAGAGCATTAGGTGAGGGAGAACTGACTCTCCTCACTCCGGCCGTACCAATAGAACGTCGCTGCCAGGATTCGAACCTAGGTTAGTTCATTATGATACAAAGTATACTGTATTTAGAGAAATATCAACCATAGAAACTAAAATGATCGACTTAACTAAACTTAACTAAAGTGTTCAATATTAATGTTCCTGGGACCTGAAAAGTGATTTATCATTCAATGTACATGACATAAATTTCTTTGGCATTTCATTTAAAACTTCTCCAAATTCGACAAAATCATTGTTATACCAAAGAAACATAAGTGATTGTTTATTAAGTTAGTCATTTGATATGATGCGGAAAATAATTTTGTGTTATGAGATATCTTAGATATGTTACGACAGTGCACTATACACTCTGTATTGAAATTACCATAATGTTTTCTAGCATGTTTCAATGTAAGAATAAGATTAGCATTATGTTACTCATCTTACTGGATCAGTGATCTCGAAGTAAGATTAAAAATATCTTAGTTTAGAAACTTTAAAACTATTCTAGGTGATTCAATCTTTCTCCCGTCACATTTGCTCGTTAAGGCTAGCTACTTCGCTATCTTATAGTTTACTCGTCAAATTCTGTCATATGAGATTTGCTTGTCGTCCTAAACATTACCAAAATGACTTTTCACTTATTAATTTGTTGCATTTTTATTGTAATTTCAAAGGTACTATATACGTATTTATACATAATATTTATTCGCGTAGTTCAGTTGTTTTTGTTTTCTTCATTTAGTTGTCTGTTTGGTATACGTCTTTTGAATTAACTGAATAAATAATAGTTAGGAGTTATTCAATGTATATTTGTGGTTTATTGGAGGCATAGTTTCCTGTATATTTTGATTTATGCTTAGTTGCTTGTTGTCTTCTTTACACCATTGAATGTATAATATTCTTTAGGAAAAAAAGTACTTTTCATATATTTACATATCTTCTTTTATATTTTAGGTTTTAGATGATAATCGTTCTGTATTCATCACTGAAACACAGGAAACGATTAAAGCACATCCACATTTTCGATTATTTGCTACACAGAATCCACCAGGTCTTTATGCTGGTCGAAAGGTATGTTGTGGCCGAGTTGTAATATATATAATTTAGACTTCATAATTTGATCAGTGTATCATTTATTTTCAAGTCAGATAGTGACAGGTTTGTATTCCTTCTTGATGTTACCCTAGTGAAAACGGTTTAGAAATTCAAAATAGGCTATTATTGATGATTGTATTGAATATAATCACTGGGTCACAGTTTCAGACTCCGCTTTGCTTTTCTCTTTAGGTTTAAGCAGTAGCATAATGTTTCGCTAGGCTTCAAGTATAAAACTGCAGAGCTCAGGTCTTAACATTATTGGCTTGTGAATCGCTTATGGTTAAAGTGACTTCTCATTATATTCAACTCGGAGCTCATAGAAATTTATCATTTTACCATAATTATAATAAAGAGATGATCCTCTGACCACTTGCGTGCTTATTTATCATTCGCTTATTAGAAGTTAGCCTTGTATAAATAATTGGATTACTTGATAGAAGTTATTACTCGATTTATTTGTAACATCTTACATCGTCTATGGACTAGCATTAATATTCATTATTTTAACAATCCAAAAGTGGTCCATCATAAAACACAACTCTTCTCCATATAAACTTATCTATTTCAGAAGGTTTTTTTTTTGGATATTATAGTTATTTTAATAGTTGAGATCATGATTCAATTGAAGCTAGATCACCATGGAAAACTTTTAAGTACTGGGCGACCGTTTCGTCTTACTGTGGGACTTCTCAGAAGTGTGCATCCACTTATCTATTTAACAGTGATTTTTTTTGAAAATCATTTCTGATTTAAGTTAATTTTTCTAATTCTTCCGAAAACGAACCTCAACTACACATTTTCCTTTTATTTAAGATGCTTTCACGTGCTCTACGTAATCGTTTCATTGAATTACATTTTGATACAATACCTCGAAATGAATTGGAAATAATTTTAGAGAAGAAATGTTTACTACCTTCAAGCAGAGCACAACGTCTTGTTGAAGTAATGCATCGTCTTCAGGTTAGTTGTTTTACATTTATTTGTATACTTGAGCTGTTTATTTATTTTCATACAACTGTAAGTAATGCTTCTATTCACTGGGTGTATCGGTTTACTGATTAAGTGTCTAGGCTTTCAACCATTGAGCTTCATATTCAAGTTTCCCTCTTTCTACTCTTCGTTTAAGTAGTCAAATATTATCACTAGTACTAACAATCTGTCAGAAAACCCCACTTATTGGCTGAATAATTAAAGACAATACGTAGGAGCTATTATATTCGAAACCGTTTCTATGTTTTTCGTTTTTGAAACCAAACCAATTCGCAACTTGTATACATGACGTATAATTTTTCTTAGTGACTTCACTTAATTTAAAGTCGGAAATTTACGACATTCAGGTAACTTAAAAATATAGGTTTAATTAAAGAACAAAGAAGAACTGAACTGACATGATTGAACAGTTTTTACCAGTCATTATTGTAAATTTCAAACCGTCATACATTCATGTCTATAATAATTTATCTGGTATACTTTATATTAATTAACTGCCTAGTTCAACCTACTCTCTATGTGAATGAATTAATGATTTAATTAGTAATATAAAATTTGTTAATAGATTACTTCTAACTTCTAGTAAAGTAGGTGAGATACCCGTCTATCAACCAAAGGACGTGTTTACTGCGCAGCAGTTCGTTCCGTCCTACTTTATGTCAGTGAAACATGGCCGGTAATAGTAGAGGATATTCATAGGTTACTAGTATTTGATCATAGAAGTCTTCGAACCATTGCTCGTATATCCTGGAACCAATGGATAAGTAACGCAGTTGTTAGGAAACGGGTACTAGGTAAGGATGGCTAATCAATTGATGAAGTAGTGAAACTTCATCAGTTGAGATGGCTGGGACACGTGTTACGTGTGCCCAACCACCGACTGCCTCGACGTGCGACGTTTTATGGTGTAGAAGTTGGTTGGAAGAAATCTAGTGGTGGCCAGACCAAAACGTGGCACAAATCCATGAAGTCACTGACAAGTGGACTGAGCCATGTCGGTAGGTGTAGACTACCTGATTGGGATTGCTGAGACGATTGCAACCGATGGTTAGAGACCCTGAATGACATGACTGAAAATCGTTTGCAATGGCGCAGGTGCATCCACTATTTGTGTTCTCCCAAATTCTAATCTTCTGAATTCTTCATGTCTCTTTCTTTTTTCTCTTTCCATATTTATTTCACTGTATTATACTCCTTGAATAACATCTTCAAACCCTAATGTTTCCGATTATTGCTTATACTTTTACCAGTTCTACCACTACGGGATTTGAATCGACAATTGCATCTCTGTGCTAATGTGGTATGGTAGCTTGAACTGATGTGCGTACGTACATACGAAGTCCTACGTTTTTACTGACTAACTGACTTAAGAGCCTAGATAATGCAACCATACTATCGTGCTTACCTCTATATAAAAACTACGTTCGGGTCACTGTACTGAATCACAACACTTGTCTTAAAGACAGTTTTAGGTAGTTTGAAAAAATTGCACGATGTATTAAGAGATTATGTATATATCTAATGATTATAAGTGGAAAAACTATTATGTCATTGTGTTTTTATCTAATCATTAGTTGTTTCTACTTGATTTCACAGTTTTTTTTTAACCAACTGATCTATTTTCCAATCGTTTCTAGCTGGCTAGATGTACTTCAAATTTGTTTCAAGGCAAAGATAGTTTCATTACACTACGTGATCTATTCCGATGGGCTGAGCGTTACCGTTTAGCTACATGTGATAAACTTGTAACTGGTCAAATTGATAATAAAAGAAATGAACAAACGATATTTTTCGACTGGGATGGATATTTAGCTGATCAAGGCTATTTATTACTTGCTGGACGTGTACGTAATCCAGCTGAAATTCAAATTGTTACAGATGTCATTGAAAGTGTTTTCAAACGAAAAGTCACTGAATCACGGTAATTTAACTTTTCATAGCTTAAACATAGTTTATGCTATAACATTTTAATACTTTAAGTTAGTTTACCTGGTCACAGTGATTAGTCTGTTGATGTAAGTATATATTTTTAAACAAATATGTTACTGTCGGTTATGAGCTGATCAATTCATGAGATTCGTTGTTTTACCTTAGTTTTCTTCCATGAACTACTTGCATTTATTGACTATATGTTGTAATAAGCGATATTGACCTCCGAAACAGTAAAGATTATAGGTAGGGTGGAAATCATCATCTTGCCATCATTGTTATCTCATGTAACATCATATATTGTTACCCATATACTTAATTCATCTTCCATATCTAGAAATAGAAACAACTGAGACTACTGAAATTTTATGGTGTATTATCGGGTGAAAAACATTTATTTTAATAGGTTAGTATCTGTCAGTATATTATGACTACCTGAATGTGTTGCTGCATATCCTATTGTTTCGTAACTCAGTAACGTGAAGTATTATGTATGATTCAGATGTTCCATATTAGGAAGAAACGGCAGTTCATTATTTCCAGGTTTTAAATGGTTGTCTAACTTTGATCGGTTCGTGATTGCAATGTAATGAACTATTAATCAGTCTTAATTAATGTAGAACCAGCTACATATAAGAATCGGTTTGTTGTTCACCTACCAACATGCTTCGGACTACAACGGTAATTGGTTTTATGAACCAAATATCATTTATTGGTTTGGCTGACTTTCTCAATTATATTATAATTTGTTGTCGTTCACACTTCATACACTTGCTGACTAATTAATTGTGTTTGTCTGTATTGTTTGTTGTTATTTCGTTGTATAGATTATTCGACTTGAATGAGAGTACATCACCGGTTGTATATGAATTTTTACAACCTGTTTTAAACAAAGAAACAGTTTGTTATACTGGATTCGATCATATTGTCTGGACAAAAGATATGAGACGTTTATTAGTTCTAGTTGGTAATGCATTAAAATATGAAGAACCAGTTCTATTGGTTGGTGAAACAGGGTAAGTTATCATATATATATATATATTTCCGTAAATGCCCTGGTAAGGCTGAGAGTGGGAAAAGTCAGCTCCTTAAAATGCTCTCACATGGCCACGTGTATACAGCCACTCTTATAGAAGTCTTATTTACTGCCTTTCATCGTCGGTTTTTTACGAAATTCAAGGGACGAACTGCGGATGACGGACGCGGAAACCGGGTTGATGGACATGGAGGATCCATCTAAGGGAGAGGTGGTAAACCACAATAACTAAACAATGATGCACATTCGCTCCAGGATCCTGAGGAAACGAACGACATATGAACCCATTGTTGGTCATCGGTTACCGTAGGACTGCATCTCCCAATGCTGCCCCACTGTCTTGTGGATTACACTTTTTGGTCAGAGGCTTTGCGTGTAACCCCATAAGAAAACCTCGTGTTTCGATTCGGGCGCACGGGCAGTATTCCAGCTTCACGCATATCGAATGATTTGTGTGGCGCACATGTATTTGGTGCCTTCTTATACCAATGTTTATGTGTTTAAATAAATAATAAATTTTCTGACTTAGTTTATTGTAAAAATAGAAAATTGTACTGCGACCATCATGGATGTGAAAAGTCAATCGAAAATATTGTTAAGTATCAAATTACGCGGTAGTCAAAATATGATTAGAATGAAAATGACATGCAGAACTTAAATCGAGATGTATGAAACATAGTGAGGTGTCGAACATATGTTAAAACTATAGTGAAATAACAGATTGCATATTCCATTTCTGAGCACAAATATCAGACTGACATTAAACCGACTGTAGTTTTTTTGTTGGTATCTCTGAGGATAAATTTTGAGGATATGACCATAAGTATTGATTCGTTTATGTGCTATTGAAGCATGTGCTCAGTTTGTCCATGGTCCAACCTTCTTTCCCACTGAATAAAACTATCTAACTCGTTAAGAGAAAATTTCGGGCACTTATAGTGTTCACTACGACGTAGTAAACATGTAAACGAATGGTAAGCTTTATGCATATGTTTACGAATACAATATTTAGCTTTGTTTTCATTGATAATCTGGTGGCAGGACTTCCGGTCTAATCTTTGTATGAAATTTTGTAAGAATTTTCTGAGGTATTTTGAAAAAAATTGGTTCTGAACATACACGAACCTAATCGGAAAAAGAGGATGGCTTCCAAGCCCTGACGTAATTCAGTACACTTATTTTAAAAAGATTTATTTATTTATTTAATTACATAAACATTGGTACAAAGAGGCAACAAATATATATGTGCCACACTTCATTCGATCTGTGTGAGTACTGGAATATTGCCCTGGCGCTCAAACTGAAGCAAGTAGTGTGGTCACTCTCTGAGCCTTTGATCTAGAGGTCTAATCCACAGGGCTGTTCAGCAACGATAGGAGATGTAATCGGGATCGTGGTTGGGTACTGCTGAGGAGTCTAATACTAAGACAAAACGGTCTTCCAGTGCTTCCTGGTCTACAGTGGTGGCCTAACAATGATTAGTCCATGGCTTGAATGAAACTAAATTATCGATTAATTTGCATTTACTTTTTGATAAATATGCTTGATAATTTTCGGATATTCGTTTTGGTAAGCACACTTTGTTCTACCTATATAACAAGCTAATCGAGAGCTAGTAAACTGATGGATTGGCTGAAGTGGCATTCTATCATTGATATCATGGATGAGATATATTTTTTTGGAGAATTTAGTATGTATTTCAGCTATATAGAATATCTTTTTCAATATGGTCACTGAGATCTTGGAAAATTGATTGTTGCAATAATAAATAAATTTCGATTACTATTTGATTTGTACGCATTTAAATGCAATTCAAGTTATTAGTCCTGGTTTTGTATATTGTTGACTTTTTTTCTCTCATTCATTTAGTTGTGGTAAAACTACTATTTGTCAATTGATTGCTGCGTTGCATAACCAACGTTTGCATTGTTTAAATTGTCATCAATGCACTGAAGCTTCTGACTTTCTTGGTGAACTACGGCCAGTTCGACATTCCTCAGAAGGGAATGAAAAAGAAGTGAGTCATATATTTTTCTTATTTCCATGAAAAATCCTACATATTTAGTAAAATGTTAATCCTTTAATATCGAAACTATTGTGATTTGTTGTGATTTATTTTGAAGTACACTACTTAATTATCGGTATCTTTATAAGTAGTATAATTTTTATAAGTGAATCCAATACTATGGACAAAAAATGTCCTCATTAATCACTATAATTTTTTCATTATATTGAGGACCTTAGTTGTTTTTTAATCATTTCAATGTTATTATGATAACAAATCTATCGTTTTGTCGAAATAAGCTTATTGGTCCATCAGACTTCCTCCTGAACCTTTGTCAGGGTGTGTTATTAATACGTCTTTGTTACTTCTACGTTGTTTAGAATTTTTGCCATAATCTTTTGTTGGAAAACACTTAACGGTTGATTTGATGTGTAAATACTCAGTCAGTCAGTCAGCTACAACGTAGGACCAGGCACATGTATGCATCGGCCCAGGTTGCCATACCTCATTAGCACAGCAAGATGAACACCGGATTCATAGGAGTGGTTAGGTCAAAGGTGGTAATATATAGGAGGAAGATTGCAATAAGGATATAGTATAGGAAGAAAGAATTAGTTCGTAGAAAGAAAGATGTGAAGTGATCTTAATCTCTTAGTTTAAGAGAAGACAGGGAGTGTATACACCGACGCCATTGTGATCGATTCTGAGCCATGTCACCAAGGGTCTCCAACCATTGGTTACGAAAGTCACGCGGACCCCAACCAAGTAGTCTGCATCTACCAACATGGCTCAGACTAGAAGTTAGTGACTTCAGGCACTGATGCCACGTTTTGGTTTGGCCGCCCCATGTGTAAATACTAACTACAACTCAAGTAGAGTAGATTTTAGGGGTTAAAATCCCAGGTTGGAGACTGGGTAAATACCGTTTGTCTAATTTACTATGTTCATTTTATAGTTTATATCTCGGAATTATTTTCTTATAAACGGATAAATCTGTTGCTAGATAATAGTCAGTTCTCAAACATATTAACAAGAAATATAAGTTATCGAAAAACAACTGAGTGAGATCCTGTCTTGATCTCCCTACCAGTATATTACAAATTGACTGGCAGATATCAGGCCCATTAGTAGAGAAGGTATTTTCATGCATTATCAACGAAACAACTTTTAGTTTCTTTACATCAGAAATTAAGCTAATGAGTATGTCGTTGACAAGGTTTTTATTACTATTTGCCAGTCGAAACAGAATTAGTTTGAACAGTATTGGAACCTCCAACCTAACTAATTATTCTAAAAACACTGAACCTCTTACATAATTTATTCTTCCGTCCTTATGAACATATGTACATAGTTAGTTGGTAAATTCGTTGTTTTACCCTTAACTAGTTCACCATTAAAAGTTTAACTTCATTTTTGTATAAACTTCTTCTTTAAAACTAGTCCACAAATAACTGTCGTTTATTTGAATGGGTTAATGGTCCATTAGTGACAGCTATGTTAAATGGAGATTTATTTCTATTGGATGAAATTTCATTAGCTGATGATGCTGTCTTAGAACGTCTGAATAGTTTACTGGAGCCTGAAAGACAATTACACTTGGCTGAATGTTCTGAAGATTTTCTTATTGTAAATAATAATAATGATGATAATAATAATAATTCATTAACAACAGCATATACACAATTATTAACAGCACATCCTAAATTTCGTTTTATTGCAACAATGAATCCTGGTGGAGATTATGGCAAGAAAGAATTATCACCGGCATTACGTAATCGTTTCACTGAAATTTGGTGTCCATCACCAATATTTACTTCAGGTTATATACAATCAACAATTCCATTATCTTATAATGAATCCAATCAATTATCAAATTCATTATTAAATTGTCAACAAATTGTTATGCATAATTTACAATTGAAAATACCATTGTATTTTAAAACGGGTAATGATAATTTTGTTAAACAATTCTCTGAAAAAATGATCAATTTTATTCACTGGTTTGCTGTTTCACAAAATGAATATAAATCAAATGGAATTGGTTCACTTTGTCAAAGGTAAGATTATTCTGTCCTTCTTGTAAGAGTGTCATTTCTTTCTATTTGTGTGTTGGCTGTGATACTGCCCGGGTGCCCAGACCGAAGCAGGAAAGTGTGAACCGCCTTCGGGTGGGCTTGAACCACCAACCTTTCGGTTAATATCTGAACGCGCTAACCAGTTGAACCACGGACTCAACTCACATCCTTTTCTCTTCTCATTCTGATTGTTTTTTATAGCGCATATATGTCTGGTGCCCCCTTGTACCAATATTTATGTGTTCAAATAAATAGATAATTATTGTCAGAGTTGACTCTATTTTAGTGTGTCAGTATTTATCTAATATATGTCTAACAATGGAATTCAGAACGCTCATCTTATTTGATTCAGGACCTGTTAGCTGAATTCTCAACCTCACACTAATAAATTTGATTTCATTTCACCTTTATTCTTTCGACTAGTGGTCTTTTTTCTGTTTTTCTTAGAGTTTAGAAGTGTTACCAAGGCTGACGTTTAAACTGAGATCATGTTGGGGGGCCGACGGATGAAAATACCCCTCTTCAAATTCTCACGAAGCCCAGATGTTTCGTCCAATCAGTATTGAATGAAAACCTCTCAGAAGTTTCTGGAAAAATGACGCATCGCGTTTCACGTTTTTAATTAAATAGTTACCGCATAGCATTACTATATTTAGTTTTTCACCAGGACGTTCTATAAGCCCAAGATCTCATGCGATTTTTTGAACACTTCGATTTTTTTTCCACAAACCAACCTTGAAGTAAAGCTTTTGCTTACATTTCACGCCTTTTCTCTATTGTTCCAGTCGACGTGTAGAACTAGTCTGAGGCTATATGATGAGGCTAGAAAGTCAATAGTGAGCCTTCCAGTAACAGACTGAACTCATTGTCATTTACTCCTGGAAAAATTCCTACTCACAGTGGTCTGTAACGCTACTGTAAAAGTTTTAAATTCAGGGCTTTTAATGTTTATCATGAAAATTACATTTTTATATCGGACAAATATATTGATTTTATCCATTTGTAACCCCAATGCTGTGAATGTATAAAACTTTACAACTAACCTTAACATTATCTTTTTATCTAGTCTTTATCATTTATGCAGTACTTTTGGTAAATTTTATACCTTGTAACTGTGTTTCATCAACAGTCATGCTTACAACTGCGTATGAGCTGTAAATCCTTCCTGTTTTGGTTGAAAGGATTTTGTGGCATGTGATTTAGTTTGTAAGATTTAATCATCACAGATTGATCTTAGTCAGGTTATCATTGAATACAAGGGAGCATTGGATAGTTGTCTTATTCTAGTATAGAATTAACAGTTTAGTTTCATATTTCATCCGGGGATCTAATCCATTAAGGCTTTTTTCGTTTAATAGACATTTTCATCAATACTAACTAAATTTCTATACATCACTATCTCTTCCCTTCATTCGTAAACACTGTAAGTGTTCATTATAACTGATTTCGAACCTAATTTTTTAAGGATTTGATTTTCTATTGAGATTAGATGGTGGTTGGAGGTAGTCAAGAGGAAACCCTGGACCCGGGTTTCGTGCTACTTGGCACTCGTCAGCAAGGTGTACCTGTAATCTTGAGGGAACTGGTGCTCGCCGGAGGATTCGACTAGACACGCATGACATTGATCACCACCCAGTGATCAATTAATTGTGATTTTCTATTGAATATGTAAGATATTTTTGAGCGTTACTTAAAGGATTCTGACCATTGAACTATGACACAATATGTGTTTCAACTCCATCCTACTTTAAACCCACTTCGATTTGACTAGTCGATTACTACTACTTACCAGCATACAAAATCATACAGCCTATGATTATGTTAATAAATCTATATTTAATCACTGAATCAGTTGAATTATTAGTTGATTTACTAAATAACATCAAATTACCTTTATTGTATAGTTAGTTTTATTTGAGTAATCTTTTCATTAAATTTGTATTGGTTATTTCACTAGACCATCGCCAACTATTCGTGATTTAATTGTTTGGATTGATTTCATTCAAACTGTTGTTACAACACAAAATGTAATGAATCTATCTAGTAGATTAAATTTATTCAGTGCTTGTATACATGGTGCATGTTTAGTATTTTGGATGCTATTGACCATGTTTTGCCTAACAGAAATTTTAATGGTATGTTTGTATTTTCTTAATGTCTATGTGGGATCTCATTATTTATTAGTTCGTTTGAAATTATATGTGTAAATCAACAAACAAAATAATGAACTTTTTGTTCAGATTGAATAGTGGATTGCTTAAAACGTTAAATGCGCGTTTCATTCTATTTTGGACTCGTCATTTAGATGTTTCTGCATCCTGATAATATTCATATTGAAACTCGAACTCAGTACTTTTCTCTCTTGTATCATCTACTTACTGATCTGTAGTGCATCCAGATGACAAGTTTCGAACCGAACAAAACACTTATTGTTTTTTCTAATGTTAACGAAAATCCAACTTCATAAAGACGTGTATTTAAATGTCATTTTTTACACAATCGAAACATTCGGTTTATATACAGTTCTTGACATTAAAGATAGGAAAATGCAAGTGTATAGGAAAATTAAATTCTTCCCCATAGTGTTTCACTACATAAACTAAATCTGTGTTACTATGCTTATTGTGAGCTCACTAACCTTATGTATTTACATAAACATTGGTACAAGAATACACCAAACACATGTGCACTACACAAATCATTCGATATGAATGAAGCTGGAATACTGACGGTGCGCCCGAACCGAGACGGGTTTTCTTAGGGGCTACACCCCAAACCTTTGACCCAAAGGTCTAATCCACATGAAAGTGGAGTAACGTTGCTAGATTCAGTCCTACGGTAACCAGTGACCAACAATATGTTCATACATCATTTATTTTCTCAGAATCCTGTATCCGATGTGCATCATTAGTTGGGAGTTTTGGTTTTCCGATTCTCCCCTATATGGATCTTTCATGTCCACCAACCCGGTTAGAGCATTAGCCATTCGCATTTCGTCCACTTAATTTCGTTAAAACACGGATAAGGGAAGGTAGTGAATAGGACTTCCATGAGAGTGTCTGTATAAGCTTGACCACGTGAGAGCACTTCGAGAGGGAGAGAGGACTCTCCTCACCCTCGATCGTATCAGGGTATTGGGAGGGAAATACAGCTAATCTTATAATTTGGTGCTCTAAACAAATAGTAATCATCTTAGTAACTCGCTTCATTGGTAAATTAGTATTATAAAATTGTTATTCTGTTAAAAAGAACAGTATTTGATTAAATATGTCTCGCCATTAAAAATTGTCCATTGTGACTCTTGCAGTAATATGCAGTCTCAACCGTGTAACATCGATTATTACACGCATTTCGAGAGTGATTAATGCCCCAAGCGCTTTGTGTTTAGGTTTACTATTATTTTGTCACTAGACAAAATTTGTTATTCTCATATTTTCCACATTTTCTAGTCTGTCATTGAGTTGTTTTATACAGTCAATTTAATATATTTACGGATCATTCCTTAAAATACCTTCTATGAAATTACACTCACTCCTGTGTAAGACATACTTTGTGCTTGTTCTAGTTTGGTTCACGCTAATCTTCCGTTTAATTATTGAACTTTATACATGTATACATTACATCTTGACATCCTTTAGGTTGGTTGGTTGGGCACCCGGGCAGTGTCACAGCCCTCACACATATCAAATGAGATTTGTGTGGCGCATATGTATTTGATGCCTCTTTGTACCAACATGAAAATAGTTATTATGATTCTCTTTTAAAGATAAATCACAAACATTTCGGTCATATTCACGATTGTATGATCCAATTTTGTGAGGAAGGGGGGTCAACACATTTTCTTATTTTATATGAAGAATTATATCCATGTTGTATCGGTTTGTTTTCATTTGTAGAACAATTAGACGATAAGAATTTCCAACCGACAGCGATACATTACTTAATCGATCAATTATATTCAATTGATAATGATATTTTATTTAAACAAATTCAACTATCAATTCCAAACTCTAGTAATGATATGTACGCTAGTTTTTCCAGTGAATTGAATGAAAAATTTGTATTGAAGAAAAACAATGAATTATTTGGTTGTGAACCGTTTTTCATATCGACAGGTATGTTAATTTTATATCGTAACCAATGTATGACTCTTGTGTTTGTATATTCTACTGTTGTTTTAACTTTTTAAGCAATCTATTTACTTTGTCACTTTCTTTATCGTCAATTAGATACACTGAATTTGAAACATCATTTCGTCTCAGTTGATGATAGAATTCATTTTGTTCGTTTTGCTGTTATACTTGTCATCTAACTGATCTTATTCAATAGAGCTTAAAATTGAAACCGTGGACTTCAATTAGGTAGTCTACATCTACCTACATGACTTACTCCAACAGCCAATGAATTCATGATTTAGTTCCATGTTTGTTTTGATCATCCTTTGCTTTCTTTCCTGAACCAGATAACATCGTTGGAGATATTAGTTATCTTAAGAAAACATCTTACTGTCAGCAGTAAGACTACTCCATTGGATCTCGAGTTGCTGTTTTTGGTCTTGCCGTTCTCCAACTGACTTGCTTGGCAAGATACGGCCCAAAGGAACAAATATTTCAGCCAATATAATAAATCGAGTCATCACAATATGCAGTGTTTATCGTCACGTCAAGTTGGTAGCTACCAACGGATTCAAACCTGTTTTCCGCTGATTGAAAGCCGACCGCTGAGATCAACAGGTTATCTCTCATGCGTCTATATAGATGTTTATGGACTAAACGTTCACGTTCTTTTCGTTACATTCCTAGTGAAGTCGATAAATATTCTTTTTTGCACTAAAGCTTCTCATATTTACTACTGTATTGTAACATCTATTGATTAGCTATGCAGATGTTTATGTCAGCGGTAATTTAAAGTATCTTCTAAGTGTCCTACGTGTCTGTTGCAATCTCCTTCAATATTGATTTTTTTTGTGAAAACTTTCGAATAGTAATAATAATATTGTTACTATATTGTTATTTCGTTTATCTTAGGTCCATTGATAGATTCCTTAACAAATACCAACTTTATTTTTGACGCTCCCACGCCTGCATCCAATTTAAAACGTTTACTTAGAGCTATGCAGTTACCTGCTAGAGCTCTCCTTCTAGAAGGTAGTCCAGGTGTTGGTAAAACTACTCTTGTCTTAGCTTTAGCTAAGGCATCTGGTCATAAAGTGATACGCATAAATTTATCCGAAGCAACTGTGAGTAGTTTAAGCTAATTTGTTGTTGGTATTGTGCTTATCTTTCTATTTCTTGTTTTCACTGTCTTAAAAGCACTGATCGATATTGCACATTGTATTACCCGATCAAAATTTCGCTTATTGATTCATTCACCTATAGTTCTAGTTTACCTGGTAACCCTTGAAACATCAATTTATACATCAATCAATGAACAACAACTATTGCCTCACGATTTATTGGTCATCGAGCTCCTTCTAACTCAGTAGGCAATCGGAAGACCGAGTTAAGAAACAGATTAACTCTTTGTTTTATTCGATACAATCATTACTCAAAACTCATACAATGGTGCACATGGGCTCTCGGATTCTAAGGAAACCAATGGCGTATGAACCTATTGTTGGTCACCGGCTACCGTGAGACTGTATCTCCCCTAACATTGCTCCGAACAATATCCCAGTACTTACACATATCAAACGATTTATGTGGAACATATCTATTTGGTGCCTCCTTCTATCAATGTTTGTGTGTTTAAGTAAAATAAAATAAAAAATAACATACAGTGATATAGTTGAAATGCTTGCTCTCTGCCACTCACAGCATGAATTTGTTCAATGCATACTTTTTTATTAATTAGAAACCATTAAGGAATAGTAAAACGTACAGTAACAGTAAATAGGTTCTTTGAAAGCTTACAATAAAACGAATGTAGATATGCAATAGTACAGTTATGTATTAATTATACAATAGAATTAATGATGGTAATAATCTGAAAAGTGGTCCCAATAGTTTCAACTTTCGTAATTATTGTACCGTTATAACAGTTTTAATATGAGAGAGATCCCTATGACGTGTTGCATATTGTTTGCTACCAATATTACGTTTCTTCTCAGTGGTTGTTAAGCATATGCTTGTTAATTTCACCTGCCGACCCAATCATACTATGAGATGCCAGAATGCTAGCTGACTTAGATTTAGTTTTGAATAAAACACAGTTAGTATGTGAAGTTATACCATATTCTTGTTGTGAACCATGTAGGAGATTTTAGTTTTCCTTGTTTGATATGTGCAAAACAATCTATGTAATTCGAAGCGGTATAATTTTTAGTTTATAGAATGGATATCATCTATTTTGGAACGGTAAATATTTGTGTTTACATCTGCATTATTTACTCTGTTGTATGTTTCGTCTACCATGAATCTCATTACACTTTTTCTTATTTTAATTCAGGAAGTTAGTGACTTATTCGGATGTGATCTACCAGTGGAAGGTGCTGAAGCTGGTGTCTTTGCATGGAAATCTGGTCCATTTTTACAAGGTCTATGTGAAGGTCACTGGATTATATTAGATGAAGTACATACAATGCTTTTTTTAATGTTATTTTGATTAAGAAGATAGTATGCACATTAATTTATCACTGATTAATTTACCTAATTATCTTATAGTATAGACCTTAAATTCTACTGAATTCCTTAGATAAAACCATCATATCGTAAGTAGGTTAGGAGAATCAACCTCACAATGGATGTTGTTTACTGTTCAATGCCTACGAATTAAACTCATAAATACTTCGCTTTCATGATATTCGAAATTCCAACACTTATTAGTAGGATTATCTGATTTAGTTCAATTATCAAGTACAGTGTCATGCACTCAGTTTTATGTCATTTTTTGTAAGTCCCATTGATACTACTCAACTCTCGAAGTACTAATACTATCAAAAACAAAATATACCTGTCACGTGATTGGCTAGATAATAATTGAGAAATTTCTGAAAATATTTGTGAATGCCTAACTCTTGTCTTGAGACGTTAATCAATATAAAGAGCTAAATTCACCAATCAGAATTCTAACCACAATCTTATATTCAATGCTTAACATTTCTCCTTTAACCTGGTGTCTTAAAATTAGCCAATTATACATCCATCTGACATCTACAGTTAACTTTGAGGTGACACAAGCCAAGCTTATACCGGTCCGCTATCAGCAATTTTTTCTCCATTTTTACTATGGCGTTGTGAAAATTGTTGAATTGCATTTACATCACGAGTTGACCTAATCTAGAGCACCATCAAAAACCTGGAAGCACAAGACGGTCTTTATTTCCTAGTATGAAACTCCTCAACAGTGCGCATCTACGGCGCTACACGTGAGATTGAAACACACGATTCTCGGAGTTATTGTGATAAACCGTGACCAATTGAGTTCAACCGTTTCGAGTGTGAGACAGTTACCTCTGGAAGAAGTTCGCACAATATCGTGGATTAGTTAAAGCAAGGTATTAATACCGTTGGATGCCGGCTCAGTGGTCTAGAGGTTAAGCGTTCGCGTGCGAGCCAGAAGACCATGGGTTCCAGTCTTGCATCCATGAGTTGCCATTTCTTCAGTGCTTTTTCTGTTAAATCATTAAATAACGTAATCAGATGTATTAATTAATAAATAGAACGAATGTAAATATTTATTAGAGGGATGTATAATTATTGAATTAAAAGAGAAAGGAATTATTTGTTACCACATCCAATATTGATGCCGGTTATGCTATGTAGTAGTAATAGAATATGTAGTTGTGAAGGTTGCATTAAAACAGAATGACGTGAAAATAAATGGATAAACATTAAACTTCTATAGCCGCAATAAAACGAATGAAATTTCAAAACGAGTTGGCCTACTCATTCTTATATGTTGGTCTGTTTCGATAACCAACATAGACAAAGTAATTATACATAATTCTGTGAAGTGAAAACACTAGACTTGAGCAAGTTGATTACAATGAACATCAATGATGAACTCATAAACTATGTTGTATATTTAATGAAATACGGCGGATAGTTTAAATCAACTTGATATGCTGTGCTGTCAGTCAGTCAGCTACAACGTAGGACCAGGCACATATATGCATCGTTCCAAGTTGCCACACCTCATTATCACAACTGAATGAACACCGAATTCATAAAAGTAGTCACTTCGTTGGTATTAATATATATAAAGATTGCATATTAGGATGATAATAATACAGGGAGAAAGAATTAATTCGTAGAAATAAAGGTATTGAGCAATTTTAATTTCACGTTTTAAGGGAAGATAACGAGTATATACACCTGTATCATTGTAATCATTTATGGGCCATGTCACCTAGAGTCTCTAATTATTGGCTACGATAGTCATGCGGACCCCAACCAAGTAGTCTGCATCTACCAACATGGCCGTACGTTATTATATTGAACAGGAATAAAAGAACTTTGATTGAACTAGCATTTACTTCACCAATTTAGATCAGATTCATCTATACTGTGTGGTAAATAATGAAAAAAACTGATTGGAAATAAGCGTTTTTTCCCACGAGTCATCTTTATTCACTGAATATCATTTTCTTGTTGTATGTAGTCATTTTTTTAATACTTTTAATTATAATATATATATATATATATATAGATATATATATATATCTGTTTGTTTAATCTTTACAGATGAATTTAGCATCTCAATCTGTATTAGAATCATTAAATGCATGTCTAGATCATCGTGGTGAAGTGTTCATACCTGAATTGAATAATACATTCAAAATTAATGCATATACAACACGTTTATTTGCTTGTCAAAATCCATTACGTGAAGGTGGTGGTCGTAAAGGATTACCACGTTCGTTTTTGAATCGTTTCACTCAAGTCAGTGTAAAATATTGATAATAGTTTTTTTGATTTTTGATAATGGATTGTAATTTTTCAGTCTTACATCTTAGTTTAGTTTTTTTTCCTCATTTTCATGAAATACGTACGATTTCAACTCCATGATGAAATCAACGATCTACACAAAATTGTATTCAGAATAAACATGTACTTAACGGTGACTATTTTCAGCAAGTATTCTTATAGTTCTATGAGCAAGCTGTAACCAGTAAACTTCAATGTTGTCAGAAATGAGAAAAATATACTTATCAGTTGGATTGAACGCTACATGGTTGCACAATATTGCGAATTGATTGAAGTTATAAGTGTGAACTATTTTATGACAATTTGTTAGGTTAAAGGTTATGAATTTTCTACAAGATCACCAATAGGATCATTATTGCACACTAAAGCTGCGTCCTATACCAGAACGAAATAACCATTCAGTGATTCATGGATCTCAGTGTTTTCTAGCTGGAATCTTATACCATTGAACTGAACAATTCCTTCACATGGTTTTTAAAAAAAACATTTTCTCATTGTTTGCGAAAATTATATTTAAAATAATCTCAGCGATTGAAATTTAAAAATAATTCCAACGTTTTCTGATTGTCTATAATTTACATTACAAAAACTCTTGAATGATCATCATACTGAACTTGTTCCACGATGAAACTGTAAATTATTTCTCAGAAATTAGATTAAATTGAAATGTCAAGTTATCTGATGTAAGCATAATAACTTGAGGCTTCAACGTGTTGTGGTAGTATGAAACAGTTGAATGATAATCAAATGCTTTTTCCCCACTCCTTCCATATCATAATCATTTCATATATCTTAAAACGGAAAATTCGGGAACCAATTACTCAGTTCTTAACATGTTAGACTTTCAAACACTAAGTTCTGGGTTCGAACCTATCTAATGTTTGGGCAACAGGATCGAACGTAGTACTAGCTACACGTTTTAAATTGTAGCGCAAATCCAGCGACATGAGTCTATAAATCAGTTAATAGAAAATATATTGCAAAAACATATTCTAGATTATTTTCTACAAAAGATAAAAACTACAAGTGTGTTTATTACAAAATTGTCACAGAATACATTCAACAACCTTAAATTATCTCCCATTGGTAATAATTAGTTAGAATATGGGATGAATCATTATGTTTCTATTTATTTATTTGAACACATAGATATTGATACACATGGGCTCCAGATACATATGCGCCACACAATTCTCATTTGATTTGTTTGAAGGCTGTGATACTGCCCGGTTGCACAAACCGAAGCAGGTGGTTTCCTTAGGGGGCCACACCCGGAACCTTTTATCTTAAGGTCTGATCCATAAGGCAGTAGACCAACGTAAGGAGATGCAGTCCCATGGTAGCCGATGACCAACAATAGGTTCATGCGCTATTTGCTCCTTCAGGATCCTGGAGCTCACGTGCACCATTGGTTTGGAATCAGGATTTCCAACTCCCTTGGGTTGACTCTCCGTGTCCACCAAACCCTGTCAAAGCGCCGGGCATTCGCTTTTCATCCTCTCAATTTCGTAAACAACTCCCCCGCCACGAGAATGTGGTGCGTAGGACTTCCCTGGCAGAGGCTATATACACGTGGCATTTGGAGAGGGATGACTGACTCACCCTACTCTCGGCCAAACCAGGGCATTTAGTGGCATCATTATGTTTCAATGATTGTTGTATTGAATTATTAAAGAAAAAACAAATGTAGACAGTGAAATTCTTTTGAATTTCTTTCAAAATATACCACTTTTATTTCTTGATTTATTCTTCATTTCTCTCTCCATCTCACTACTGTTATCATGTTCGTTTTATAGGTCTATATGAAGCCATTGAGTAAGTCAGATCAAGAATTTATTCTCATTCAATTATATCCTGATATACCTGAGAACTATATTCATTTAATGGTCACTTTTAATGACATGGTGAGTTCATTAAATTAATTCATCTTATATTCGTTGTAACGATTACTGCTAATGTGTAAAATTCCCTATTTCATTGACGTCTAATATATATATGATTGCGGTGTGTTACATATGTATCTAATCTTCCTTTGCCTTCACATGTTATATGAACTGGAGTATGTTACCTTTGAAGAAAGTTAGTAGGATACAAATCATGACATGGCATTAGTCTATGAAATCATTGATTGTTAGTCTAAGTCTTATTGTTACTTACTTGCTCACTTACACCTGTTACTCTTCATGGAGGAGCATAGGTCACCAACCAGCTTTCTCCATCAAAATCTGTCCTGAGCAATCCTTTCCAGTTGCTATTCATCCTTTTCATACCAGCTTCCAATTCTCAATGCAGTGTGTCATTTGGCTTTTTTGGTTATTTATTCTCTGAAGAAGTGACTTACACTAAGTCACAAAACGTCAGAAAATCTAATTTTTCTACTCATTGGGATATTACAAATTTATTATTTATTTATTCTTATTCTTAAACTGGTTTAAAATTACTGATTTAGGTAAATGAACAAATCAATATTAAACATGAATTTGGTAATCAAGGTGGACCATGGGAGTTTAATTTACGTGATTTAACTCGTTGGTGTGATCTTTTAGTGAAAGGAAAAGTAAGTATTTCATCAGTACATTTTGTTTAATGTGTGTTTGAATATCTCATTTATATTATTGTCAAGTTTTATTTAGAATAGTTGTACATTGAGACTAAATACTGATAATTCCAACGGATGTAACTTAAACCTTTGATTGGATATATGAAGTTTGAATTGCCTAAATATAAGAAATTTGTTTTAATCTCATAGGTAGCATCAATGTCCTAAACAGTCCACATATATTTTGCTAATCAGTGTCAACTAGCTTGGAACTTTATTTTATTTAAATCCATAAACATTAGTACAAGGAGGCGCCACATTTCGTCATTTGATTTGTATGTGAAGCTAGAACACTGCCCGTGCCCCGCGGACCGAGATAGGAGGTTTCTTAGGGAGCTACACCCCAAGCCTCTGACACAAAGGACAAGACAATGGGGCAACGTTAGGAGATGCAGTCCCATGATAGTCGGTGAACAACAATAGGTTCATACACCATTTGTTTTTTTCAGGATCCTGGAGCACATGTACACCATTGGTTTGGAACCAAGGTTTTCCAACTCCCCTAGATGGAGCCTCTTTGTCCACCAACCCAGTTGAAGCGTTGGCCATTCGCATTTCGTCCTCTTAATTTCGTGAAACCATGGGTAAGGAAAGGTAGTGAATAGGACTCCCATGAGAGTGGTTGTATACGCGTGGCCATATGAAAGCATTCCGAGAAGGAAAGCTGACTCTCCTTACCCTCAGCCATATCAGGACATTTCGGGAGTTACTCGGAACTTAGATAAAGCAGGGTTTTTTGTTCAGCATCTTTAACACTTCAGAATATTTTTCTTATCAGTAATTTACTTGTCGACTGGTATACTTTTACTGTTTATATACATATTTCTGTGTTACATTGCTTTTCTCTCTATTAAATCATTAGGATTTTGAAGGTTTCAATCCTGGTTTATATGTTCATCTATTGTATACAAATCGTATGCGAACGGTGCAAGATAAACAAAAGGTATTTTTCTGTGCAATTCAATTTATTTTTTTGATTAAGATCATGAACCGATTGGTGTTAGACCACCACTGAAAACCTGGAAGCACTGGATGGCCCTTTCGTCCCGCTGTGGGACTCCTCAGAAGTGCGCATTCACGACCCCGCTTGCGGGATTCCAACCCAGGGCCTTCGGTCTCGCGCGCGAACGCTTAACCTACTGGACCACTGAGTCGGCATCCAGTGGTGTTAATGTCTAACCTCAACCAATTCACGAAATCGCGCGACCGTCTTCCATTGTACGGAGGTAGATACCTGTCTCTACCCGACACGGATTAACTCCACTGGTCACGGCTTCTCACTAGAACTCCGAGAATTCCCTCACGAAGCTAGCCACTAGTGAGCACATGATAATTATCAGTATAAGGGTTGTGGAGATTATTATGTTTTTGATTGAGATCATAAACCGATTGATGTAAAATATCATTCTGTCTTTTATCACTTTAGTGTTATTTGTTATTTTCCATACACGAAGTATGTTTTCTGATATCAAAATAGAAATAAATAAATTTGAAAATGTTCCGAAAGATTTACAGTTCATGTAAATGATTACTTCAGTGCTATTTGAAGTAGGCTCGCATAATGTTGTTGTCATTTTTGAACGACAATGGAAGCTTCAAAATTAAATAATCTGGGCTACAAAGATCATTCTATCACCTAATTGAAATAAGTCTATTTTCACAATGTTTTGCTATCTGTTTTAATATAATGTAGATCATGGTTTTTAATTTTAGTCGAGTCAAGGAAACCTAATCAATATGTGTTTGGTAGAAATGATTCTTGGAAATTTTTCTCTAATTTGTAGCTCTTCTAGGGTTACTACCAGTCCTAAGATGGAGTAAAGGAGGAGGGTTGGGCATGGAGTCAGCGACCCCGTCCCATAGGAAGTTAACATGCTAAAACAACGCTAACTAACATAAACAATTTAAACCATTTAAACTCTCCTCCACTAGGAGTATCAGGAGTAACTAAGTTGCTGTTATAAGTCAGTAGTGGTTTACACTGGTGGTAAACAAACCGACATGAAACTCTTCAATTTGAACACATTACATTCTGCGAAGAGGGAGGGTATAAATCGACGACAATTCATCAATTCTTTATTTTTTTGTACAATTCTAGATGGTCGATTTATGGACTCTTGTTTGTAATACAATATTGAATATGCCTGAAATGTTCTATTATGAACCACGTGGTGATATTCGCCTTTTCAATGGATCATCTTTACAATGTGGACTGGCTAATTTCATATGTCATTCAATAAATTATTCAATTTGTAATGAATTTGAATATTTGATAATAATGGATCATCATCGAAGTATCCTGGAGAGTTTTCTTAAAGTTATGGAAATGGGTTGGATGGTGATGCTAAATGGTCCACCTGGATGTGGTAGGTTGTTCATTTTTAGTTTGTTTACTGTATAGTGGGATAGTTTTTGAAACAGTCTGTTATCGCTGTAAGACTGTATTGATATGATAAAATTACTAATGTGGAAGAGATAACATAGTTGACCAAGAACCCACCCTTGAAATCCTAGCTAAATATTTCAACCAGTTACATAGTCACATAATATTGACTACTGCTCATTATTCAATCACTGGAAATATTACGCAACTCGAATATCTAAATAGTAATGTTGCAGATTGTAAAGCCAGTTCGGATGCCACAACATTGAATATCAGTTCCCCCAAGTTTGTAGATATACTTTGTTGATGAACGTTAAATAGCATGAAATTTAAGTAAAGCGGAGTTTTCAGCAGTTTAAAATTCCCCATAGAATATTCAAAATTGGAGAATATTTGAGCAAACAATTGTTTTCAATAACTTCATCATCAGGGTCTACAGTTATAAGTCCATAATTATGAGATTCGCTCATGCCAATCTGGGCCATCTTGGGGGCCTTCGTGATGTTATTCTGATTGTAAAAGGTCGGATCTACAACGCGTCGATGACAGCAGTTCTGCTCTATGCTTGTGAAACTGGCCTCTCCGAGTTGATGATGTTTCACAACTCTCTGTGTTCGATCATCGTTGTCTCCCAAGGATTGCTGACATCCAGTGGCAACACCATGTCAGAAAGCTAAACGCTCAGACATAGTACTCGTAGCAGGTGATTTTAATGCTCAGATAGGTAGCTTAAACCAAACAGAAAGGCATTTAGGTGGATATTTTAGTATTCCGACACAGCGAACAGATAATGGTGATCGTCTGCTGCAGCTATGCTCAGACAATCGTTTATTTTTAGCAAACACAAATTTTAAGCATAAGGAGAGACATCGTCTAACATGGCGACCCCCTACACCAAACCAACGATGGACTCAAATAGACCATATTGCCATCAGTCATCGTTGGAGAGGGTCGGTAGAAGATTGTCGCTCATTCTGGAGTACCTGCTTGGACTCCGACCATGCCCTAATACGGGCACGCATCTGCTTGCGCCTCACTGGACGCAAAAAAGCCACATTAAAAAGACCCGTTAGAACTGAGTTGAGTAACGAGAAAACCAAAAGTAGGTTCCAGGAACAACTGAGGTCACACTTAGGTAGTTGTGAAGACGAGGCTGACCCAGATGTTGCTTGGAAGGGCATACAATCAGCTGTGGAAACAGCAGTGACATCTATTAGTGACTTAAACCACAGAGTTACAAGGAACCAGTGGATTTCTTCAAGGTCTGTCACACTGATGGATTCTCGCAAACTCGTCCCATCAGGTTCTGAACATGATGAAGAGCGACAACAAATCAGATCTAGGTTAAGAAAAAGTCTAAGGAACGACCGTGAGCAGTGGTGGGTAACGAAAGCAAAAGAGATGGAAAAGGCGGCGACTATAGGGAACACAAGACAGCTTTACAGACTAATAAAAGAAACTGGAATTAATAAGTCAAGTGTAAGTGAGATTATTTCGGAAAAAGATAATACTCTCATCTGCTCCCAGTCCAGACGTTTAGAACGATGGGCGGAACATTTTAGAGAACAGTTCAGCTGGCCTTCAGCTACTCTACAACTACCCTCCATTCCCAGACAATGTGAATGGAACATTGAAGTAGGTCCCCCAACTCTTGCTGAAGTTGAAAGAGCTATAGTTAATCTGAAACGAGGAAGGGCAGCTGGTCCAGATGGATTGGCTCCAGAGGTCTTTAAGGATGGTGGTCCAATTTTAGCGATTAGGTTGACTAATATTTTAGCTAAGATCTGGGAATTAGACTTTATCCCATCTGACTGGTCGCAATCACTTATCGTCCCAATATATAAGAAAGGGTCAAAATCATCCTGTGACAACCACAGAGGGATTAGTTTAACAAACATAGTATCTAAAATACTGGCCTCGATAATTATCAAACGCCTAACTAAGACTCGTGAACTACAAACACGAGAGAACCAAGCTGGCTTTAGACCTGGTCGTGGCTGCATCGACCACATATTCACCATTCGTCAGGTTCTAGAACACAGGCATACCTATCGGCGTCCGACGATGGTGGTCTTTCTTGACTTAAAAGCAGCATTTGACTCTGTAGACCGCGAGACTCTGTGGCAGTGTCTGTCATTGAAAGGCGTACCTCAGAAGTACATAAACCTTGTGAAGGCTCTTTACTCGAACACTACTAGTCGAGTCAGGGCTTATGGCGAACTGTCATCTACTTTTGCAACCTCAAGTGGTGTCCGTCAAGGCTGCCCACTTTCTCCATTTTTGTTTAACTTCATCATAGACCTATTGATGGAAATAACACTCTCGTCGACTGAATTCTCGGGTATTGATCTCCTTCCAGGAGGTCCACTTATCGACTTAGAATACGCAGATGACATAGTCCTGTTTGGTGAAGACGCTGACAAAATGCAGAGTCTTCTGGTAGCACTAAGCAACAATGCCAGAATGTTTGGGATGCGCTTCTCTCCCTCTAAATGCAAGTTGTTGCTTCAGGACTGGTCTGCGTCAACACCTGAACTAAGGATAGGGAGTGAAGTAGTCGAACGCGTTGACAACTTCACTTATCTTGGAAGTCTGATCAGCCCTAATGGGTTGGTGTCTGACGAAATCTCAGCACGGATTCGTAAAGCTCGTTTGGCTTTTGCCAACTTACGTCACCTTTGGCGGAGGCGAGATATCCGTCTATCAATAAAAGGACGAGTATACTGCGCGGCAGTCCGTTCTGTTTTAATTTACGGCAGCGAAACATGGCCTTTAAGAGTAGAAGACACCCGTAAGCTACTAGTATTTGACCACAGATGCCTTAGAAATATTGCTGGCATCTGCTGGGATCACCGGGTAAGTAATAGTGAGGTTAGACGCAGGGTATTAGGGAATGATGGTAAATCAGTTGATGAGGTTATGAATCTTCATCGACTGAGATGGTTGGGCCACGTATTACGTATGCCTGAACACCGATTACCACGACGTGCAATGCTAACCGGTGTAGGGGATGGTTGGAAAAAAGTTAGGGGCGGCCAAACCAAAACGTGGCATCAGTGCTTGAAGTCACTAACTTCTAGTCTGAGCCATGTTGGTAGATGCAGACTACTTGGTTGGGGTCCGCGTGACTTTCGTAACCAATGGTTGGAGACTCTTGGTGACATGGCCCAGAATCGATCACAATGGCGTCGGTGTATACACTCCCTGTCTTCCCTTAAACTAAGAGATTAAAATCACTTCATACCTTTCTTTCTACGAACTAATTCTTCCTTCCTATACTATATCCTTATTGCAACCTTTGACCTAACCACTCCTATGAATCCGGTGTTCATCTTGTTGTGCTAATGAGGTATGGCAACCTGGACCGATGCACATATGTGCCTGGTCCTACGTTGTAGCTGACTGACTGACTGACATCATGTGTTCGGGCACAGAGATGATAATTCAATTGGTGTCACCATCTTGAAACACCGACTTCGGTGGCTTGGACATGTTCTACGAATGTCGTCCCAGAGAATTCCACGTCGTGCATTATTTGCCGACTTTGGGACTGGTTGGAATAAGCGGAGAGGTGGTCAGTATATGACATGGTGTCGTGGTATGAAAGAAAGCTGCAAAGGACTGGCTTCTGTTGGTCCTTCACGACTCCCTGGTTGGGGTCCGAGAGATGGTGCGACACAGTGGTTAGAGACGTTATCAGATATGGCTCAGATTGGAAGTCAGTAGCGACTCTGCTGTAACCGTTTACTTTCTTCATAAAAAGTAGTTGTTTCTTCCTTAACTGAAAGAATTCTTCTGATTGTATCTCCCCGTTTCCCACACTATTATTATTATTATTATTACAATACCTTACACTAATCTGGTCGTTATTGCCCTTTTTTCTTATACGCTCCTTGTCTTTTTTTCTCTCTTCGAATTCTCATTGCTTTGTGTGGCGCATATATATTTGGTGTCCCTTGTAGCAATCTTTATGTGTTCAAATAAATAAATAATTAATAAATTCATGTACTCTAATGTAATTCACTTCATCAGAATAAATAAATGAATAATCAAAATAAAATTAACACAAAACGTCAGAATTACCAATTTTTACTATTTAAGTTATCACACATCGATACTTATTTATTCATTTTCTTTCTGGTGCTTAATTCTCTTGGGTTTTTTTAATGAACATTAATTAGAGAACACTGTGTAAACTTCGATTCAGCATGTGTACGATGTATTTCCGATAAACTTGTGTATGGTTAGTTATAATGCAGATATTGACCACACCGTATAAATGTGTTTAGATAAACTGTTTCAATTGATAGGCATCTAATTGTTAAACTATTATAATGTCATCATTTACAATTCATGTTGAAGGAGTTCTTTTCACTAACTATGCTATCAAAGACTTTTGTATTGGAGAATTTCACAAACAAGTTTGGTTTGTAAGTAGTTAAATGGATAGATAAGTGAAATAATACAAACGGTACAATATAGCCAGGGGATGGCTAATAACAAGATTGAAATTTTGATGACAACCGATGAATGAATTGATATTAAAGGTCATGACCTGTAGGCAAAAGTATAGTCTTTTTCTCGAGTAAATTAACATAGTTTTGTGCAAAATATAAAGTAGTAGGTGAACATAATCATTATGACTGATTGAAGAGTATCAGCTTTGTTAGTTATTCATTTGTCAATCATGAATTCGCACTACTTTAGAGTCCCATATTACGATGAAACGGCCACCCAGTGTTTCCAGGTTTTTGATGGTGGTCTGTTTTAGATCGACTTATGATTTCCACTGTGGGAAAAACTTGAAATCTGTCTACTATTGGGCTTGATCCTTACTCATTATATCACTTCCCTCACTAACTAATATTTGAGAGAAAAACTGCCTCCAGTAACCTCACAATGAAAGTCTCGTCATTGCTGCAGATTGATTCCTCAAGTATCGATTCTTTTATTTTGACTTTAATTTATATTGTGTGTTTTAGGTTAAGTTGGAGCGCTGAACTTTACAATCTTACTGTTTCAAAATCGGTTGATCTCACCATTACACATGCTACCAACACTGTTTCACAGAGGTTTACATTTTTAAAAATTAATTATTCTAACTCCGAATTAACTGCTTATTTATCTATTACATTGAATTTTTTTCAAAAAATAGGCAAACGTACTTTATCTCATATAGCATCAATTCTTCTTGGTCAACAACTGGTAACTATGTGCTTATCACCGACATCGGATACAATTGAGTTACTTGGTTCATTAGAACAACGTGAATCAGGCGGTTTATTTGAGTGGATTGATAGTCCATTAGTCAAAGGCATTATGAATGGTTATTGGGTACTAATTGAAAACGCACAATTATGCAGGTAACTACTAATATAGACTAACTAGTTAACTAATGTGAGCAATTTCTTCAATGCTGTTATACAACTGGTAATTCAACACTTAGCTCTAGTTGTTCAATCAATTTCTGGTCTCGAACAAACGACAAGAGATGAAGAGTGTTAAAAGAAGCCTCACTTTCAAGGATAGCTTAAATGTAGAAGACAAAGGTCTTCATAGGCCCATAGGTGACCTTGTATTGCTTGTCATTTGATGCACTGCCCAGTTAAAATCAGCTGAGATCTTTTCGCTTATTGGTCCTCAAGCTTCTAATCTGGCAGCCAATCAGAAGACACAGATTGATTCTTTATTGTATCAGATTCAACTTTGAACCAAAACCTATACAATAATATAGAGAAAAATCTTGACCACACATCAACACGATTAAGGAATTACAATAAGGGGTAATTATCACATAAGTGGAATAGAATGGAGTATTACGTCCAGACTAAATATACCTAATTAGCCGATTGGTCGATTGGTCGTGTCACTAGCAAAAAAATGTCTCAAATCTCGGTACACATCAACATGTCCTTTGTTATTAAGTTACCTTTATTGATTGTATCACATTAGTTGACCTATTGGTTTTTAAAAATACGAAATCATAAACTGAAACTCATTTGGATGTTTCCTTTGATTTAAAATACAAAAAGTAGACGTTCGTATATTATTGTGTTATTAAATTGGTTTTTAATATTAAGTATAGTTCTCTTTCATGAATCATTTATTTGTTCCTTTCTAACAAACTAGTCCTTCCGTACTAGATCGTTTAAATAGTCTTCTTGAACCAAATGGTGAATTGTTACTTAGTGAACGTGGTTTAGATGTAAATGGTAAACTTATTACACTGAAAGCACATCCCAATTTTCGTTTAATTTAACTGTGGATGAATTTGTCGGAGTTGGAGCTAATAGTTCAACTGGAATTTCTCGTGCGATGCGCAATCGAGGTTTAGAAATCACTTTCACTGAACCAGTAAGTTCAATAGATTGTTTTGTAATATTCTAACGTCAATTAAAGTGACATGAACGATAGTTTGAACTCTAGATTAGCGTCTATTTTTTATTATAATTTATTTATTGCTGTGATACATGGTCACAAAAAATATCGGATATTCGTAGATTGCTATTATTTAATAACGTGTCTTGTAAGCATCTCTTGTGTATTTTACGACCATGGAACTAGGAATTCCAAGGTTATACACAGAAGTACTAAACTAGTATGGTAAATCATCTGACGAGGTACTGGGTCTTTAGATTGTGATGGCTACTTAGTACGTATACCTAAACATCGACTACCTCGTTGTGCAATGATAGTTGGTGTACAGTTAAGTTTGAGAGAAGTTAGAGGTGTTGAAACGAAGATATGACAACATTCCTTAAAGACACTATTTCATTGGTCCATATGTATATGTTCACACTACCTCATTGGGTTGTTTGTGATTATGATAACCAGTGGTTACAGACTTTACGTGACATGGTCCATATCCGTTCGCAATGGCGCGAGTGCATCACCTTTTTGTTTTCCTTTAGATTCTAAGTTTCCAAATTATTTTACTAATCCATGTTTACTTGTCGAATGGTATCTAGTACGACTAATACTTTTACCTGCTTTACTACTCTGGGATTTGCCCTCACAATGTCATTTTTCTGTACTGCATAGAAAAAGCATCTTCAAGCGATAGAAATATGTGTCAGGTTTTGCTTTGCTAATGACCAACTGGTTTTTTCTGCTTAGAACTCGTCAGTTGGATGCATCATTTTTACATGATTGTTCTTGCAAACTACTGAATTATGATAACAGCAAAAAATGATTGTTTATTTTATTTGTTGAACAATTAAACCGATAGCCATGTTTCATATTTATCGTAATAACAAAACTTGGATCGGTTACTGTCAGGGCACTATCTTGCCGTCTTCCGATATTTATTTATTAATATAAGTGATAAGCAGCTCTTCAATAAATAATATCTAGGCTAACGAAAGCACATATTCAGTGTAATAAACCTATAAATATCGCATACAAGCACATAAGTGAGCAGTTAGATATGTGACTGGACAGATGAGATACATATTGATTAATATGAGAACTGGTAGCTTACAATTAAACTATGAAATACAAGAAAAAAAAGTTTATGATTAAAAGTAACTACTTACGAGTAGTAACATTGTAATACATAATCTCATACTTGGTATTATTTATAGCTACATGTGCTGCTTTTGCCATTTTTACTGCTAAACATCAACATTTCACTGCAGGTATATTCAGCAGATGCATCATAAAATGATTTGTGTCACACTTGTAACTACCATCCATAAATGTTATAGATAGTATGTTAATGAAGACAGTAAAATACATTTTTTCAAAGGAGCCTATATCCTAGCATAGGCTGATTTATTATACTATTAATCTCTTCAGCAAAGATAATAATTCATAATGTTAGTTGTTTGGAATTAGTTCTTCTTGATGCTGATTAAGTTCTACCGTTCGAGTTTATTGATTCGATGTTTCTTAAAATAGATGATTATCTAGTGGTAGGTTTACGGGTTGTGTCTGGCGTATTTGTCGGAACCCCAATCAGTTGGCTGAGTAGGACGTTTTAGTTGTATTGCACCATTCTTTTTTAAATTTTATTCTTGAGGTTTTCGTGTTCTACCATACGGCATCAACAACATTATCGGAATGTGCTCAATAATGGCATGAACGATCAACATATATAGGTATTGAGATTTGAACCAATTGATCTCAGAAACTGAGATCATAAAGAATATATGATCATTTATCATTCAAACATTTGACCTTTTGTTTTGTAACAAATTTGCTCGAAGAATACTGTACTGCATATAAGTTGTTTTCATTATTATACTTTTTATTATTATCCATTTCTGTGTTACTTATTCTCATTCTAGATTATGCAACCACATATAGACTTACTACGTTTATTCACATCAATCAATGTCCCTAAACAGATTGCTATAGGTTTAGTTCAATTCCAAGGATTATTTCTTGAAGTCTGTGAAAATCAAACATCTTTTCTTGAAGTTTATTCAAAATGTTTCAATGAAAAAGTACAATTTTTAGATAATAACAATAATAATAATACCACACTTCAATCTATAAATTGTCATCATTTGAAAAGAATTCCAATCGGTGCATTAATCTCAGCTGGTTATTATGCTAAACAACTTTTAATTGAATCATCAAGTTGTCCGTTAGTTTCAATGTTACCGATGGGTAATAAAGAACTGGAATTAAAGAAGATAGAAACTAAAAAGAGAAAATTACAAAAAATGACGATAAAGAAACATGAAAATATGAACAGACTGATCGATATTGATGATGATATTACAAAAGATGAAATAAATACAGACGATATTCTGATACATATTTTGCATTATGCCTATTGTCATCGTCAAATGAATACAAAGAGTGTTGAGGTAGCTATCGCTTACGTTTTCGTTTTTATTTTGAAATAGTAAACTTATTCATAATTAAATTTTAGGAAGATTTAATGAAAGCATCTACATTTTATAGGTATTGTCATCAGACTGACTCATTCATTGCTAAGAAACACTGAGATTTCTTCAGAAGTAAGCATTCAAGATTCTGCCTGCAGTAAATTAAACTTATGTCCGACCATCAAGCGTCGCATCTTGCAATTGACCTTCAAACGTTCAAACTACATCACTAACTTATATGAGTTCGTAATATTACAGTACAATTATCATTATTGTCTTCAATTACTCAGTTTAAGTTAATGGATTTTTTAGCCAAAGTTTTGATCAAGTTGACTGCATAAAGTGATATGTACATTTGACGGACTGACTTAATCTGAAGAATTTCGACGGAACAGAGCTTTAGAAATTCTGTTTAGTTATTATTAATGGTGATGACAATGACGTATGATGCTATATGTTCAAACAGATTTTGTCCACTGTTTTCGGGATTTTTATTGTGGTTCTCAGTTATTACCATTATATTCTTATCATTATGAACTGTTCATCTATGTTTATTGTTGATTTCTATATACTTAACCAGAGTTAATGTTTTATGAGATTAATTAAGAACAATATCATTGTGTTAATCTATATATTAGGTGTGTTCCCTTTTATCGTTCTGCTTTGATTACTATTGATAACTTAGTTATCAGTAGTATGTATGTCTGATTTTAATTTCTTCTGTTTCCTTAAACCAAATCACTTTCATTAACATACTATTAATAATATCAGAAGGGGTTTTGTGGAGATTGTAGTAATTTCAATAATTGAGATCATGAGTCAGTTGAAGCTAGTCGTGGATGCGCACTGCTGAGGAGTCCCACAATAGGACGAAACGGCTGTCCAGTGCTTCCAGGTTTTTCATGGTGGTCTAGCTTCAATTGACTCACGATCTCAATTTTATTAATAATATGTATTATATTTCATGCTGGATGAGAATGAATCAAATAAAATAGATCAAAACATAACTATTGTCTTGAATTATGTAAAGCGTGTAAAACTACATGCTTTGAATATATGAATTCAGATTGTGGTCACTTTAACAAATTCAACATTATGCCATATCATTTGTTATGCTAGAATGAACACAAACTTGTTTTATTGTTGTATTTCAGTAGGACGAAAAATAAACATTAAACTAATACCAATCTGTAAAGTTTCATTTTTTGTTATTTAGTCGATTGGATAGGAAAAGTGTATGTAATAAGAATTGTGGATAGTCTACTTATATTCATTGATGTTGGTTAGCTTAACAATGTTGTTCTGCATTGTGTTCTCTTGCAGTTGATTCATGGCTCAGAACCAATCACAATGACGTCGGTGTATACACTCTCTATCTTCCCTTAAACTATGAGAATAAAATCACTTCATATCCTGTACTATGTTCTTATATGCAATCTTTCCTTTATATATTATCACCACTAGATTAACTACTTGTATGAATCCGGTGTTCATCTCGTTGTGCAAATGAGGTATGGCAATTTAAACCGATGTACATATGTGCCTGGTCCTACATTGTAGCTGACTGACTGAGTGACTAATTCATATGTATACATAATGTTGTTTTTCTTTTTGTTGTTTTTAGTTTGTGAAATATTTAATTAATGACTATGTAAAACATATTATGCATACGGATCAATTCCTTACTGAACTACATTCAATGTATCATCTTCCTGTCAATTATCTACATCATAATGTAAATGAAATAATTCAAAATCGTCTACCTACAAATTATCGTCAATCATATACTAATTTAATTCATATAACATTGAAAGAGTATTACAAAAAACCATTGAATATAGATATACAATTAATGATTCAACGTATTCTACTAGAACAAGCTAATGTAACTGATGTACAATTAGAACAAAATAATATACTTTATGATTCAAATGTACTTCAATTCAATGAATCCGATATGACAATGATAAAGCTATCTAATTGGTCAGATTGGCCTGATCTACGTTGGATACCTGGATGGAAACATTTGATTTGTTCATTAGAAAATGAATCGGATGTTTTAATTAATGAATGGGATAGGTAAGTGATTTACGATTTCTTATATCTTTAGTTTGTGTTCGCTGGTGATGTCATATATCCAGAAATCCCTTGGTAAACTTCTTACTTTTGTATTTTTATTAGGGAATTTTGAATTTCTCATTTTCGCATCACAAGCTCCTATTTTTACTATTAGTGTGTGTTTCTCATCTGAAAGATTCTTAAATGTCATTAGTTCGTATCCTCCTTTAATACGCTATTTTGTGATGTTTCCCAAGAACGTTTTTACACTGTATATATACTCTTGAGTTGTGTGCTTGTTGTTCGTTCTTCCAAGCTGCTTATGGAGTGATATATTTTTTCTGCTGAATCTGGTTTTATCTCTTTAGCTAACAGGGATGGGGCGTAGTGGAATATCTTTACATTTCTTTTTGTTGTGTTGCTGACTTTCATTTCGTTTGTCAGTCTTAGGTGATATCTTAGTCACTCGGATATAGTAGAGTTGCATTTGAAGTAATCCATAGTTGTTGGTAATTTGCACATGTCTAGATGATGATGTAGCCTTTTATATTCAAAAACCAATGGTTCCACAAAAGATCCAGAGTTTTAGATTGATGTGGAATTATACTTTGTCACTTCGTTTTTATGAACAAACATAAGTTTTCATTTTTTATGATGGAACCTCACTTTTCTCGATCATTTATTTTGTGCCCATAGTTATAAATAGATAGAATTTTTGTAACTAACATATTTTTTATTAGGGGAACATTTGAAAGCCAGCAATCTTTGACAGGCGTTTTGTTCTAGCATAGAGCTCTTAAACAATATGTATCCATTTATATGCCAAGGACATTTAGATACCTGATTTAATGTGAGGTATTTACTTCCATTTAACATCATTAAATTAGTCTAATTGTTTGTCGTTTTCACTATAAAACGGATTATTGATTTATTTCTTCTCAATCCCTGTTTTGATTAGGGAATTCCCTCAATTTATTTATAGTCATTTCAACTTCTCCACGGTATTCTGAATTGTCTATAAACTATGTTTCTTAGCTCCATCAGAGTTAGACTACAAGATTCTTAAAATAAAATTCAAACCATGGCAACATTCAATTATTTTGATTCTTAATTAGAGCTGATTTATTTAGTTGTTAGTATTTTATTACATCAATACAGTGCTCATATATATAGCTGGAAAATTAAGTTGTAGTGTGTAAAAGGTTGTATTACGTAATATGTAATAGTTTTACAAATAAACTTTTTTTTTCTCTCTCACTGTTGATCTTTATTTGTCGCTCTCTTGATTTCGTCCTTATGAATGGATGCCTGTTTATGCGCCTCACGATCTAATTCACCATTTATGTGCTCTAATTTAAGTCACATGTTTCTTGTTGTTACGATTGGACGCTATCAAGGGAACGAAATAGGTTGTGATACGAACCTGTTTCCTAATGATTGAATGACAAGTGTTTGAACTGCTGCACTGTAGCTTCACCTTAGGATTTATGCAGTCATGATACAATCTATTAATATTACTAAGGGTTTGTACTTCTTACTGCTAGTATCTTAAAGTGGGTTTAATGTCTATCGGCTCTTTCAGTCGATCAACATAGTTTATATTTGCAAGTTTATCACGTTTATGAATAGCAGCTAGCAGAATGATCTAAGTACAACTTTCGTAAGAGTAATAGCGATGGTATACTGCCTTGATGTCCTGTTCGGAGCAGGTGGTTATTTTTAGAAGTTTGTCGCTAGAGCCTTTATCTTAGACATCCAATCTAAAGATCAGTGTATCAGTATTCGGGGACTTAGTTCCATGTCAGCTAAGATCCTATGTAGATCCATACAACATTCCTACTCTTCGACTTCTGGAGTCCATTGACACTGTCATTTAGGAATTAGGGTTTCTCAACTATCTTCAGTGTATTCTTCGTACTGGTTTACCTGGTTAAATCCCTGTATGTTCACTTTTCGTTCTCTCTCATAAAAATTTACTACATGAAGAAAATGGGTATGACATCCTTACTACATGCTATAAACTCATTACCATATAAAAACATTTCGATAAAAGTAGAGCCTAGTGTTCACTATCGGTCATATATCCAGCTAATGAGTTCTAAGTAGAATGAAATGTTTCCTTTTTTATCCACTGTTTCTGGTGTATATTCGAAAGTATATTGAACCTATTATTTGTTTGTTGGAACCAACGTATCGTATCACTTTGCAAATCATATCAAGTATTTAATTAATTAGTTAATTATTTGAACTCATAAATATTGGTACAAGGGGGCACCAGATATATATGCGCCACACAAAACAATGAGAATGGAAAGGGAAAAGGAATGTAAGGTGCGTATAAGAAAAAAATATAACAATAACGACCACAAATTAGAGTATGGTAGTGTAATAATAATAATAACAATAATAATAGTAATAATAATAATGGGGGAAACGGAAAGGTACAATCAGAAGTATTCTTTCAGTTAAGGAAGAAATAACTACTTTTTATGAAGAAAGTAAACGGTTACAGCAGAGTCGCTACTGACTTCCTATCTGAGCCATATCTGATAATGTCTCTAACCACTGTGTCGCACCATCTTTAGGACCCCAACCAGGGAGTCGTGAAGGACCAACAGAAGCCCGCCCTTTGCAGCTTTCTTTCATACCACGACACCATGTCATATACTGACCACCTCTCCGCTTATTCCAACCAGTCCCAAAGTCGGCAAATAATGCACGACGTGGAATTCTCTGGGACGACCTTCGTAGAACATGTCCAAGCCACCGAAGTCGATGTTTCAAGATGGTGACACTGATTGCACTATCATCTCTGTGCCCGAACACACGATGCTGAACCTCTGCATTACTGACATGGTGTTGCCACTGAATGTCAGCAATCCTTCGGAGACAGCGATGATCGAACACAGAGAGTTGTGTAACATCATCAACTCGGAGAGACCAGATTTCACAAGCATCGAGCAAAACTGCTCTCACCGACGCGTTGTAGGTCCAACCTTTTACAGCAAGACTGACCTAACGAAGGCGCCAAAGGTGGCCCAGATTGGCATAAGCCGCTGTTGCTCTCACTATACGTGCATTGATCTCATCACTTACGCCACCACCAGCACTTATGCAGCTACCTAGATACACATAGATTTCTATATACTGAATAATTTCACATTTTAATTTACATTGTTTAATGTTTCCTTTCTATAGAAAACTTTCTTTATTATTGATCAATGAATTAATCCAATCAACTCATGAATGTATTCATCGACAATTAAATGATAATCATTCCTATTCATTATTACAATCTTCTGATCTTAGTCGAATTCCTGTACTCAAAATCATTAAATTATCTATGGAGAATAATTTTCCCACTGTTTGGTTAGATAATTATCCAGGTTTATCTAACCTTAATGAACAATGGTTTACATTTTTAAAAGATTTATACAATCATTTCCTTAACTATAAATATGATTTATCCAAACTATACACAAAGTTCATCAGTAAAGCATGGATATGGTTACGTTTATTTGGTTCAAGACCTTTAGGTGATTCATTTGATTGGCCTGAACGTTTATTATTTCATAATCAACATATTTTATTCAATAATCTATTAGATAATCAACCGTTACCAAATTTAACAATCATTTCACACTGTTTTCAATTAAAATTAATACCATTAAATGTGATAAAATGTCAATTACAATTACATTCATTATCTGTTGATTGGTTACAATTTGGACAATTGATGAATGAATTTTTAATAAGATTTAAAAGTGAATTACATTTGACTGGTAGCAACAACAACAATGATGATGATGATGAAGAAGAAGAAGAAGAGAATAACGAAGAGATGAATATCAATGATGATGGTGATGTTGGGAATTATAATATTAATGATGATAATCAAAATGATATAATGAAATTCTATTGTTTATGGCCATGGACAATGATTTTATTATCGAAATTTATTGATATCAAATTATTAAATAATACATTACAACACAATGATCAATGGAATTTTACAGAATCTTTACGTATTTCTATTCGTTCTAATCTATTATCACTGAATCGTCCACAATTATTAGCTTGTTTATCAATGACAACACAATGTTTATTTAAAACCACTAATTGTGAACAAGCACGTGTTGTGAAACAATTATTACAGGAATTGAATTTAACTACAATGAACAATAGTAATACGAATTCATCCATTTTCTTAACATTTGCTCTGAAGAAGTTAGATTGGAGTCTTGCAAATCAATTATTGAATTTCCATTTAGTAAATCAAGTGAGTTTGTAGATATATAGTCGCTGATTTAGTGGTTCGGCTCGACGTAAAGTATATCGTTTGATATTAAAACTAAGTTTCTGCAATAACTACAATCGGGGGATAAGTCTACTTCCTATCGCGTCCAGGCTATTGGCTTCTGTCATACTTCGTAGGTTATTCAAAACTCTATAAAGATTGACTCGCAAAGAGCAGGTTGGGTTTCGTTCTGGTAGAGGATGTATTGATCATATCTTCATTCTCCGACAAATGTTAGAACACCGTCATACTTATCACAGGCCAACAATCGTAGTGTTTCTTGTCATCAGGGCTACCTTCGATTCGTTGGACAGGACTGTTCTCTGGGTTTGTCTATTGGAGAAGAGTGTGTCTGAGAAATTCATTAACATCCTAAAGGCCCTATATACAAACACTTCAGGTATAGTGAGGGCATACAACCATCTCTCTCCATTGGCTCCATTCGAGTAGTGGGTTTAGGCAGGGTTTCCCAATCTCACTATCCCTCTTCAACTTTGCTATCGATGACATTCTGGGAACAACTCTGATTGATGTAAGTAATGGTGGTGTGGGTCTGTTGACTAGAGAAAGACTTTTCGACCTTGAGTGTGTGGATGATATTGTCTTACTGTTCGATGATACTCAAACCATGCAATCCGCACTTAATCAGTTGGCAATCAATCCAGTGGCAACACCATGTTAGTCTAGTCTAGCCTTCGTTAGTCTTTTAATGCCGATTGAATTCTATAGACCAAGTTGCCTTGCAGTTACTAATCTAAGAGATTCGAAAGTGGTTGCCTTAAGTTTTAAATTTTAGTAATTGAAGTTAGATGGTTGTACTGTGAGGGACATGAATGGTTTAAAAAAAAGATTAAATCCAGTAAGTGAAGAAATCGGTCGGGGAACATCATGTTAATAATAGCAGAATTATGTCGTTTGATATTTTGGGCGATATTCAAGATAAACCATGAGAGGCTCCACTTCTTATCTGATGAAATATATTACCATTAAAAGTTTGTATTTCCGGACTCTCGAGGCGGAAACGGAACGAAACATTAGCCCTGGGACCTCTACGCTAGCCACTGTTCAATTTTAATCACATTATTAACTTAAACTATCAACATCGAATATATAATTATACCTGATTCATTCTTGTGTTATGTATGTATTCTGAATATTTTTCACAAATACAGTTGTTTCTTAACCCTTTTAATTTTATAGCCTGATATATTAGGTGAATGGCGTTCCATAAGTCATGCACTTATTCATATAACATGGCCAATGTTATGTGATTATGGAACTTGTTCTTTCACTGGAAAGCTAACAGTTTATGGTTGGCGTTATCGTCAACAAGCTATACAGAAAGCAAATCATTTATTGTTTTTATCTCCAAAACAAAAAAGGATCAATATGCCAAAAAATGAATATTCACAGTGAGTCAATGTCATTTTTCAATAATTTGGGTTAGTTAATTACTAAATTCTTTTTCAAATATATAAGTATAATTCGATTAGATTATACTGTTAGCAGTTAAGAAAGTCTATTTGAATGCGACAATGTCACAAACACGTACTAATTACTACTCTAGGTTTCCAGTAGGTTAATCCTATCCAGTCGTAGGTGCTAGGGGCAGCCTAACTAAGATATGGCATCGATCCATTAAGACACTGACTATTTTTTTGAGCCATGTAGGTAAATACAGACTACCTGGTTGTGATTCGCTGGATCATTGTAACCAATAGTTGGAGATGTTGGATAATTTTACTCAGAATAGGTCATGACGATTCCTTTCACTGATTAACTGACCATTGAGTTCAACATAGTTATACTGCCTTCATTGTTGATTATTGTACTAATATTTTTTTAAAATTTCACATGTATTTTTCTCACATAGATCTAATAGTCTGGAAAAAATTATACAACATGCCTTTAATATTCTTCATTGTATATATCAAGCTGTTCATTCACTACAGAAGTTTGTCAGTTCACAAAATAATGATACAAATGAGGATACACCCATTTCCATCATTCGTATTAATAATCTTATTGAGTTAATCAATTGGATTCGCAATGTTTTCAATCCATCTATCAGTCTATTAAAATCATATATATCTAATGATAAATCAAACGACTGGTATCATATTATACGTTTGATTGAATTATTAATCAATTATCTGGAACAACTCTCTTCATCTCTATCTAGTCAAAAAAGCAATAACAACGATGTTCATGATGATAATAATGATGATATCCTGAGTTATAAGTTTATTCTATCTAATTGTTGGCTCCTTATCGGCTTTTTATATCTACGGTGTAATTGTCCATACAGTCCATTAGATCCTTATATAGTTTTACAAGTTGAAGAGGAAGCAGTCAAACTTGAAGTGAGGAATCATTTATGTTTTAATTTCACTTCTGATCTTGTGCTTTTTTCTCTCTCTTCATGCACATAACAATTGTGATAGCAAAAATGACTTTGCTATCAGCTGTGTGACTTTATTTATTTCGGGTTGTTTTGGTGAAATTAGTTTACAGATGAACCAATCACAATTTAAGATGTCACCTCTTGGATATCTGAGTAATACTACTCATAACTATAAGAAAAAATATTTTCAGACTTTTCACAGCTTGATATGATTCAAATGCATCAAAAGGGGTTTTGTGGTGATTGTAGTAATTTTAATAGTGCATAAATTTTACTTAGATCACGTAAATATATGTCCATATGTTAGGCAATTGGAGGAATATGGGAGTTAACTTTGGACATTAGTTTTGTGCTAGTCGGAACCCATTAGCAAAATATATCTGTATTGCTGCGGGAAATGATGCTTCGTGTGGAATTTGAATTCACGTCACTTGGTTTCACATGCTGAAATTGTACTACTGTTAAGTTGTACAGTGTCTGTTTCTGATTTTGGCATACAAGCTTTCTGTACGCCAGCCCAACCTGTTATGGTGACAGTAGACTGAGGATGAGAAGGAAGTTTTTTATTATTTAACCAAATCATGAATTTATTACTTTTCATTGTTACAAAAATCCTAACGTTCCTTCTTTTTTTCTGATAGTGACTGTTGTTATACCTATATAAGATATGTTGTTGATAAATATGCTTCGGTATAGAAAACGTATATGAGTTAGAATACAGACTGTTAAAGTAACATAGGCGTGGCATGATGGTATATTGACTCAGATTATTCAAGTTGATGTGTTTAGCTAGATTCACTCTCTAACCGTTGAATCATACTTTTCAAGTAAACTATTTATGATGGTATTTAGATGCAGACATGTAATAGCAACTTATTAATAAGCTAAGAATACTTGTCCTGTTCTATTTCTGTACATCAGCTCGAATATGGAGATGGTGTCATTAGAATTCATACGAACAATTGATAATATACTTTGTACGTGGATTACAATTTACTAGTTGAAGTATTATTCCATTTTTTAATTAATTGAATTATAGTCTGATAATTCAATGACATTTCTCTTCTTCTTTTCGATTATTCCAGATGAATTCTATTAGAAATGAATTACAGTTTCGTGAAAACATGCAAAAACTTGCCACTGGTGCACATGACAATTCTCTATTACCATCTTTAATAAACGCTAATCCTTTGAATATTAATGGACATGTTGATTGTGGTCTGTTACATCCATGGTTAGGTGTACTTGTTAATCGATTGCATTGTCTTAAACAAAAAGCTGAAACATTAAAACAACAATTAGGATCTAGTTGTGATAATATTTTAGTTACACGTCAAAATTCAAATTTTGAAGTAAGTTATAAATTTCACTTCTGTATATTCACTAAATATGAGTTATGTAATTACTGAGACCACTAACAATGGGTCCACTTTACACCATGAATACTAATAAGCTTCTATTGATCAATATTTCTGTTAGGTGTACCGGTACTGATTAACCCGCTTAACTTCTTTCTAGGCTCTTCAAATTTGCCTAATCAGAACAGGAGAAAAGTCAACGTATTTATTCTCTCTGTTTTACAGCCTAAAATTCGCATGATACTGTACATTAATTACAAAATGGCAACACATCACTAATAACAAATCATAACCTGTGTGTATCTAGGTCATTTGTTGTAGAAAATTAGGTAATAGGTACACAATTGATGAACAGTAATTTATACATAGTAAAAGATATACCACCAATTAATGAGTTGAATTGAGTATTTACAATACGTATGTTATAAAAACTGGAAACACTAGTTTTCACAATGTTTATCCCAAATTTCTTGTATGATTATCAATGTATCAACTATCTGCCTATCTTTAATGATGGATCATGATTTTGATCAGAGATATTAAATAGTGTGTAATCTAGTTTCTACTGATTTACACATTGTTCCAATGAAGAGTCTCCTAATGAACATAATTGGCCGATTGGTGACTTTTTTTTTTTTAAATACAAATAATGAAACATCAACCACTGATAAGCTTAATTTTGTAAGGGACAAACGTACGTATATAAATGAATCGATTCAACTTAAATACAGCTTCTTTCTCACTCTTCGTATTTGTGAATCGAAACATTTTGAACTCTGTACACTGTTGGAAAAATGTAAAACCTAAGCAGAATATTAAAATATGACAATACAATGTAACTATGTGCGACAATTGTAGCACTTGCATGTTTTATAGTTTTCACAGAATAAATTGTGTTTCACAAAAGTGATTCTTCTCGAAAATTAGGCCATAACTACTTTGTCCCTAGAGCTTTTCATGGTGCTAGTTAATTTTGTTAACTTATTCACATGTTGATTTAAGCTCGGTCCTCATAGTCCTTCAATAACTACATAAACATATGATTAACTTAGTAATTCACATCAAGTGTTATTGTAGACGTAGAGAAAATTTAACAATAATCTAATGTTTTCTGTTTTGTTACAGTATGTAGAAATTCGTCGACGTATTACCTCATTTATAACTGATTTCACAGAGGAGTTTCTTCTTGGTCACTATTGCCCCGATACAAATAATAATAACAATAATAATATTAAAATCATAGAAAAAACTGTGGAACTGCAAAAAATTCGTTGTTGGATCGAAACCACATCAATACTTGGAGATTGGTTAACGGAACCTAATCGTTTGAATACATTTGCTGATATTATTACACCATTTTTATATGGACTATTTTATGTAAGTAAAATAACTTTTACCATTCTTTATCATTGCCATCATGATTGTTTTGTCCACATTGTTTTTTTTCTTACTACCACACACTTGCCTGTTTATAACATGTAGGTTTTGACATTAATCATCAGTTAGAGCTATAATGTTAAGTTGATTGATCATAGAACAACTTTAGTTCAGTGACTGAATACAAAGTTATTATCATTATCTCAATGTCTGGTTCATATGCTTGATTCTTCTTGATTGAATATTTTTTTAGTTTCATGATGTAGTAATTACAGGCACAATTACATATATATATCTGGATGTTTCGAGTTTAATATCGTTCCAGAACATTCTGTTTGAACTCATTCACTGCTTTTAATTTACTTATAAATTGGGAAAAAAGTTGTGAGATATCTAAAACAAGATATGACACCAGTCCATAAAATTAGTAACACTTTGGGTGAACCATGTTGGTAGGTGTAAACTACCTGGTTTGAGTTCCTCAGAGTTTTACGACCAACGGTGGGCGACATTACACAATATATATATATACACTAGTGCACATGTATTTAATCTTTATATCCTTCTAAAAATTTGGTTTCAGTATTCTTGCATAAATACTTTTTAATTCTATCTTCTTAAACCATATTTTCAAGATGTAATCATTTTTTTGACTGTCGTTGCTACCACTACTAACTGCTACGATTATTTTTCGAATTGTTTTTTGTTCATTATGCTAATTTCATCTTGTTATGTTGATGTTCTGTGTAAACATGCAGCGATCCACTTTTATTCTTGGTTCTACGTTGTTTATGATTGGTTGACTGAGTGCAAATTTACATCATTCCTTATGATTATTGTTCACTGATTTCAATTAATAAGTCATAAGTTCGAACGTTGTAACTCATCTACTTTTGTATAGGGCAGTATCCGGATATTATCACATCTGAGGCACATTGTTCAACGACTTTGTACTTGTACATAAATGAGCTATTGTTGGTAAATTAGTGGATATTTAGAACTCAACGCTGATACTCAGCTCGAGTTTTCAAGATCATTCTACGTAGGATTATGCTTATGTCTTAGTAACAGCTAATTAAAAGAAAAGTAACTTTTCAATATTATTTTTCTTTTGCAGATCTATCGTGGCCTACGTGTTATGTTCCATGAGAATATTGCACAGCATAACTCCTTAAATGTAAGCTATTATAATATGTTAAAGTTCTTTTTTAGCTATCCTGTTTTTCACATTAATTAAAAAATAAGACATGATGGAAATACGAACAAGAATGGTTTGCGTGATAGGCCTAGAAGTTGATTCATAATAAATTTATGTTGATGAGTAGTGGAATTTCAAAGCATATATAACTTTTATTATTCAAATTAGTGGTTAGAGGTCATTCACAGGAAATCCTAAATCTAGGTTTCTATGATAAATGTCACTCAACTCCAAGGTATATCTGCAATCTTGCGAAAACTGTTACTTTCTCTAGGAATCATTTATTTCACTTAATTTATCAGTATATGACATTTGTTATGTCGAGTCTCTTAGATTAGTGGAAACATCACAACTACATTGACAGAATTTGATCGGTACTAAGGAGATTAGACAGAAATCTATAACGCGTCAGACCGAAATTGAAGTTTAAAACTTGCTAATTGTTGACAATCTATTTGCCAGTCAGATGCTTTCTCATATTGTATTCCTCTTAATTCATGTTTATAGTAAATGAATTTCTTGATTATATCACATAATTAAATCATCAGACACTATAGATCGATGGTTCTACGAAAATACAGTTCGAACTCAATATAGTTAGATCCCAATTTGCTGAAGTAAGATCTTTTTAACTTCGATTTGAGTTAGTCGTTCAGTATTGCTATTGAAATGTCAGGAGCTTGTGAGAATTCCTCTGAGCAGTCTTGACAAACTGGAAAAAATGCTGAAGATCCTTCGTTCATACAGCGTTCAATAGAGACTTTACAAGGATTCTTAGATAAAAGAGTGCTGTTGGAGGTGGTCTTGAGTGCTGTTAGATAAAGGATGAATTATGTGTCTTATCTTGACTGTTCCATTAACTTTCTTGTTACTGATTTTATCACGTCTTTGGTATCTTCTAGAGTATCAAAGGCAAATACATACATACCCAATAAATATCCATGTTTTTCGTATGTAAACTAACCATTAAAGCAAAGCTTTTTTTCTTTTATATATGCTTAAAGTTTATAGAGTTTTTGAGTGTTTAAGAATCAATTCTAAAGGATTCAAGTACCTGATTTTTCATGGCGGTCAAGAATTAATAACTTTTAAACGGTATATAAATTTCCGATTGAAAGTTTTATCACACTCATTGGGTTTTTTTCAAACATCTTTGTTGAATTCATTTCTTGGAACTCATAGAATACTTATATGTATTTTTATACAAATTAACAGGTTACTGTGTCTTCTATGATTGTCAGTTTAGTGACTAGTCTTTTACCTAATATACAAAATGATAATGTTATTCTACCGGTTATTTCCGGTGGTCAACGATTATCTCGATCATTATCACTTGCATTAGAACTTGCCAATTCTAAATCAAGACGATTAATTCAACAGTTAGTTAATTCTATTAACAATCCGACTTCATTCTCTGGTAATATGGTTAATGTTTCGCATAAAATCCAAGAAGTCCAGTTTCGGTAAGTTAGTATTTTTTATCATATTTCATTCATTTGTACGCGACTATGTATCACTCATCGGTCAATACTGAAATGACTAGACGATGATTGGACACTACTCTGTGATCAATGAATCAGTCTTTTGGAAAGGACATTCGTTACCCTGATAGCTCAGCTGTCAACATCTAGAATTCTGAAGCTAATTGACACGGGTTAGAACTACAAAGAGATAGCACTAATTCTTTTAGGATTAAAGTTAAATATTGGTGACGCGTGCCAAGTGGTCTGGAACCTAACTCTACAGTATCCTGTCTACTAATTTCAATTAAAAAACATATTTGTTTAAATAAGTAGACTACCGACTACCGACAAATATCTTTCTACTGTACTCAATAACTACCCTAAGTTATAAACACCTTTATTTATGATATATCAAAATACATCTGGTTTATGCCTATATAATGATCTCGGTTTCTTTTCCATCACAACATGGTTGGAGGTTCTTCTGCTACACCTCTAGTTATATGCTCGGGGGACTTTCTCAAATTCAGTTCATTAACATTAATCTGGACAGTGAATCAGAATTTGAACTGTACAAAAACTGCAAGCTTCACACCAAGCTTTTATGAACACTGAAGAATGATCGCCATTGTGATCTTACATCATTCTTTCAGTCGTCACGTTTGTCACTGAAACCTCTATTTCAGTAGGATGAAAATTCGTTAGTTAGTGACTTATCTAAAATTATCTATAATTTCATTCATTTCTGTTGTTCTTCATAGATTTCACCTGTTCGAATAATTATTAGGTAGTCATAAACATTATCATAAATTTTGGTAACTAGTAGTTTGACAAAAACATGTTACCGATGTAAGTTTTGTTGACTCTCTTATAAATACCCTGTTCGGCCTAGGATGGGGGAGAATTCGCTCTTCCTCTAGCAATGCTCCTATGTGACCACGCGTATATTGTCACTGTCACAGTAGCCCTATTCGCTGCCTTCTTGTGATGGGAAGGATGTCGTTTGCGAAATTGAGAGGACGAAATAAGAATGTTCGACACTTAAACCTCATTCGGGTATATGGAGGATCCAGTTAAGCTAGTGGAGAAACAACGATTCCAAAGTAATGTTTCAGGTGGGTCCCAGGATATTGACGGAACAAACGACCGATGAACTTATTGTTGGTCACCGTATCCCTTAACGTTGCTCCACTACCTTGAGGATTAGACCTGTAGGTTGAGGTCTAGAGGAGTGGCCCCTTATTGAAACCATTTATTTCTGTTTGAGCACCTGTACAGTATTCCATTCAACTCACAAATCCAATGATTTGTGTAGTGTATATATATCTTGGTGTCTCATTGTAACAATGTTTATATGTTTAAATAACTAAATAAAACCAGTTTCAGTCTAGATCAAGGTGTTGAGTGTCTTGTTTTGTCCATAACTGATATAATTACCATTTTATTCGATTTGTTTATCAAATAAACTGCATATGTTTTGTTCCACTATGCTATTGAGTTGCATTAGTTCTTGTACGTACAAACGATTTTATAAAATTTATAATCGATATTGGTTGAGCCAAGGACATGTAAGACTGATTAACACTTTGTATTCTTATTTACTTGATGGGCACAGGAAATGAAGTTAATCTGAATAAAACTTTTACGGTTATTCTCTATATTCCATGAAATTTATCACATGGCTTGCAAGTTTGTCTTGTTTACACTCCTAAAGATATCAGAATACACGATCACACACGATGTTTACACTCAAAACAAGTATGTATAATCTTCTTTATCTACATTAGCTATCGTAATAGGGAATGTGTAATTTAGCTACTTTTCCACTGCATGTAGTTGATAAACTGTAGTCTTTTACTCCCTTCTCTTCTTTTTTTTTTGCAGAATAAGTTCATTCATATTGAATTTATTATGGTTAAATAATGCTGAAAAAAATTCATCTTTATATATTACTGATATTGATAATAAATTAATTGGTCGTATTTTAAACTCGATTATATTACCATTAAATCACCATTGGAAACAAATTGAATTAGAACGTAAACAATTCGCGGAATCCCGTGCTAGTCTTTTCTTAGAAGCTGATCGTCGTAAACAATTAATTCGTAATGATTTACAAAATATTAAATCTAAAAAAATTAAACATCAACAATATCATGTACGTTCTACATCACCTGATTTAATAGATCAATCATTAAATGAAGAAGTTGATTGGCGTTTACGATTCTCTGAAGTTGGTTGTTTAAATGCTTACACAGAATTAGGCATTAGTAATAATAATTCACAAGTTGGGAATTTTGAAAAAGAGAAAGAAATTCAACAGGTAATTTTATTTTTTCAACAGGATCATTTGATTTACACATACAGAGAAGTTCATTATTCTACGATTATTATGAATGTAAAATCTTTTAAGCAAAGACGAATGGTGACTAGTAATGGAATCCAGGACGCGCGTTCCGTCCTATTTGGGACTCGTCAGCTGAATGTACCTGCATCCCAGACTTGATGTTCACTCCGGAACTCGAACCCAGTACTGTTCACTTCAAGAACCATCGCGTTATCCACTTAACTACTAATTTCTTGCAGCCACCTGCTTATGCAGTGGGGTGAAGTTTAAATTCACTCGGTGTTGTTTTACATGTATCTTCTCATTGTTATTTAGGACTGCAATTGATTAGTCTCTTATTGGCCATCAGAACTCATTGCCTAAGTGGATAACGCGATTGTGTTTGCAGCGAACGATACTGAGTTAGAGTGCCGGAGTGAACATCAACTCTGGGATGCAGGTACTCCAGATGGCGAGTCCCAAATAGGACGAAACACGCGTCCTGGATTCCACTACCAGCCACTATCCATCTATGCTTAAAATGCTTGTGACTAAAGCTTTATCGAGGCAATCTGCACAGGATGCACATATGCCAACATGAGACTGACCAATTGCAGTCCTAAACATTAATGGGAAGATGCAAGTAAAACAACATCAAGTGATGTAAAAGTTTTTGTTTATACAGTTTCAAAAAATCAATTAATTATTCGTCGATATTTTAAGTAATTGTACTTTGATTTATTTTATGTGTAAAACTCTACAGCTTTCATAGTTTACGCTATCGAACTGACTTAAATTAGATAACGAATTAAAACTAATAAGCTATGGACGGTTATTTCTTTTCATTGTGAGATTCCTCAGTAGTGCATATCCATAACCACTCCAGAGCCATTAAACCCTTTTACTTTTCTACTTGGCTTATTTTATTTTTAGTGAAAATAAAAACATCAAACAATAATTATACATTTTAGTGTTATTTAGTAACTATGTATAGATTCACGCACTCGGGTTTAAGCCTACACTTTTCATGTGTTGGAACAGTGTTTCACTCTTTATGATACTAGACTTTCAAACAATAAGTCAGTTAGATACGCAGTCATTCATAAGAAATAATGACATACGATGTTAAACAATATGTTATGGAGTGTTGTTAGATGTGTGTTAGCAGTTGTTCCCTCCTGGTTTCTTACACCGTGAAAGTGCACTACTTTAGTCACCTAGAAAGGTAATCAGATTTTGGTTTGTCATGGCAACTTAGGAACTTGACCATAATGCCTATTAGACAACAACTTGGGCCGTTATTACGAGATTTCGATGTATTAGTTTTGTTCATTCAGTCCTGACCACCAGCGACAGAATTTCATGTGCTGTTTTTAATGCTAACCTCTTTTGAAACCGTTCTTCCGTCTCGAGAAAACATCATCTTTCAAGATGTTTGTTGCTTTTGAGAAAACACTATTGTCATCACACTATTGGACAGTTAGTAGTACGACTTCACACTGGGACTTTATGTTCACTGTTTTTGGCCTTAATCCTTTTCAGTCAATCTACCTTGCGTAGTAGGACCCAATAAAGCATGTATTACAACCGAAATAGCTTCTTTTATTTCATCATGATAGGCGATTCCGACCACCAGATTAAGGTATCAGCTTCTAATATATAAATAAATCTTATTTTTAGTACAAAAGATACTAATACTATCCGGTTTTTCGAACCGAATTGATCGGAACGACGTCTGAATTTGAAATTTAGTGGTTGAAGTTCAAGTACCTAAAAACGATCATGCCATTGATACTACGTCAGACAACTACTGTTACTTCATAAATCATATGATTATTTTCCACCTAACAAACATTAAATCTTATTGTAACTTGTATGTGTATGTGTAATAATGACAAATTGTTCCTTATATTAACTAGTTAGACAAGTATTTACAACTATTGACAATGTATCTCAATGTAAAATGTGTTCTTTTAACAATAGTATTTGATAATAGCTATGTCAGTTATATAATTAGAAATTTATATCACAATTAGACTGTTCCCAATCTTATAATACAAACGGAGCGGAATTATTTCAGTCTTATTCTGAGACGTAAATTTATCTTTTTCCCATTGACGTGAATGGTTTGTAGTTAAATTTCTCCTATATTCAAATGTTTATTTTTTCGATATATAGACTGTTGCTAAATTAGAAGCAATCGATAAATGGTTGAAAAGTTCATTGAATGGTTCCGGAAAATATTGGATCCCAGAAGAAAACGAATTAGTTTATTTTATAAAACGTCTTGTTTATTTATTATTGTTAAATTCAAATTCTACAATAAATTATCCATTGAATTCGTCATTACTAAACATTGATAAACAAAATAACAGTCAATCAGTAGATATCAGTAGTGTATTTTCTTGGCATTGGCATACAGTTCTATATGGCTTTAATTTAGCCAGTTGGTTATCAATAGAATCGAGATTCAGTTTAGGTAAGTCAAGTTATTATTATTTTACGAGAACGTGCCTTAGAATGCATGAAATTTTATTGTTTACCAATGGGATGTAATTACTTAATGTTGATATTTAAGATTAGAGTTGATCAGTTTCTGCTGCCATATGTATATCATAAACGGGGGTTACCTCGATAATAGCGTTGTTCGACAAATTTTAATGTAACTAAACTATTCGTACCCGTTGAATAAGTTAATAACTAGCTGGACTAAATAACTTAGTGGATAACGCATTGGCATTTAAATTGAAATTCATTTGTTTCAAGTTCTAATGTGCTTCGCATCAAAGCTGAAATGCAGGTACATCCGTCTGGTGAGTTTCAAGTCGGTTTTCCTTGAATTACAATTTGTGATATATATGGATGAAATCTAACTATATTGACAAATGACACAGTCGTTCATCGTAGACCAAGTATTATTGTAAAGACTTCCAACGGTCATTGAACAGTTTACGTTTTGTGTTTTTAACTACAATGGATTTTTACCAATATTATTAACTATATTGTGTATTCCTTATGATATTTTCGGTAAATGTTTTTGGTGTTATCATCTTTCCAATTCCCCCTTTTTGTTTTTACAGATCCGATTATTGATGAACAGACTACTTTACCCTATATCGGTATCACTGCTTATATGGGTCAATATGATATAAGAGCCAACCCTATTTTACCGATCAACAGTTCGTCCAACTTCTCAACTACGTCTTTCAATCATTATTTTAGTACTAAATCACATTGTTACAATATTTACATTGATCCTATTCCATTAGAAGAAGCTGAGAAATTAAATGTGTTAATGAGAAATTTGGAAAAACAAATTAAACATATACTCACTCAATGGCCTGGACAACCTAGTTTATTACGTGTAAGTACAGTTATAATGATTCCCATTCCTCTTCAAAACAGATTTTGTCATAAGTTGTTGTAAAGAAATGATGAACAAAACATCATGGTGGGTGAAAAGAGATCCCATTTTCTTATTTTGTGTACTGTAAGACTTCCATATATGCCAACTAATTTGTCCAAATGGATAAAGTGCCATTGTAAATGTAATATTATGTGTGGTTCACTAATGAATGATTATTATAATCACTTTCATATAAGTTTAAGTTATAGACCGACGGAATAAGCTCGAGCGAGAAGTAGAACATTATGTAGTCTACAAAAAAGTATTTGCAAATTAACATGACTATAGTAAATGACATGATGAAACTGACTGTAATTACCAAAAAATGGTCCCGCGTGCGGGTTCTGTTTTCGGTTGAGGGTTCATTGATACACATTAATGAGAAATCTCGGTGCTTCCACGTTTTGAATAGTTGTCTAACTTGAACCGGTTTGTGTGCTCTAAAGAATAACCGAAAGTTGATCGGAAAAATGAATTTTTTCTGTTACACTGTTCGTTCACATCTTGACAAACCTTTATTCAGGGATGAATCATATTTGTAAGCGTTACTGATCAAATAAACAAACCATTACATGTATGTGGGGGATTCGAAAAATGTCAATATGATGTTGAATGCTATTACAGTTATTAGGTCATTTGTTACTTCAATTTTGCCTACATCATGAAGGCAGATCTCTTCCCAAAGGATCTAAAAAGCACATTGGGGTAGGGATGGTCTTAGTGACCTTGAACTTGGAACTCGAAATCCAATGGGAACCCCTTGATGCAAGTTAGACGCGGAATTTGTGACGTGTTTGTCCCGTACTTTAAAAAGCCTTACTACCGAAAACAAAAACCCTCCTGGTAAGGTGGTGTGACATATTTGCGGTGGATCTTTTCAATCTTTTCTCGTGATTAGGCAGTCTCGTTACAGATGCTAGCTGTCTTAAAGGAACACTTTACTGCCGTCATAGCGCCTCTACAGTCAGCAGTACGACTTCATTCTCGGACCTTGAGTTGATGCTTTCAATCTTACTGTTCTTCAAATGACCGCCCTGGTATGATAGGAGCTAAAAGAACAAATGTTTTAGCTAGTATAGCTCGTTTGAGTCATCACAATCGACAAACCAAATCATCACATCAAGGTAGCAGCTGAAAAATGTAGAAATCAGTTCGCTACATCTCATACATTTGTCTTGAGTTGTTCTTATTATGCAATCAGTTTATTAACGGAATTAATTGCATGAGTTAAGTTACATTTATGATGAATGTTACTTCTTTTGTTTGAAGCTCAGGTGCATTTAGATGGATCTGACTACAAATTATTATTTCAGTGAATATATATTCATAAATAAACCAGTTTTTTTATATATCTTAATTCGTCCGAATTATTTCAGCTGTTAGCTATAATTCATCGTATTGAATCATTCACTGTATCGGATCCATTAATAAAGTTTGTTACTGGAATTGAAATGCTTTGGCAAGTGATCCAGGTAAGTTGAAATTTTATCAAGCTTATTTCTCATCTATCATTTATGTAGTTTCATACCACAAAAACACTTATCAGGTAATGCGATTGTGAATCATTATTGATTAAAGTGATTGGAACATATATTAGTTATTTCGAACCACTTTGATAATGAATATTGGTTAACGCTAGAGTAAATTAGAAAAAAGATGAAATCAGCAAAGCTATCGTTTGAGATTCGTGCTTATAGTCATGGATTATTAAACGGAGCCTTGTAGGTAGGTGCAAACTACTTGGTTGCAGTTCATGCCATATTTGCAATCAGTAGTTGAAGACTGAGTGAAACGATTTAGAATCGGAACAAAATTTTACTAACTGATAGAATGTGATTTCCGAGTTCTCTTGTTGTTCATAAAAATAAAAATTTCAGTGATTATCAGATTATGTACAAAGAATCTCCAACTTTTATCCTAACCACTCCTTTTATAATTTTATTCACGACCAACCTCATTATCAAACTATTAGTTAGACCATCTGAAGTACATTCTAATAATATTTATCTCCAACTGATTAAATCGTCTTAATAAAAGTATTTATCAAAATATATATACACCACACAAATCATTGGATTTGTGAGTAGACTGGAATACTTTACAGGTGCTCAAAAGAAATAGATGGTTTCGATAAGGTGCCACTCCTCGAGACCTCGACCTAGAGGTCTAATCCTCAACGCAGTGGTGACCAACAATAAGTTCATCGGTCGTTTGTTCCGTCAATATCCTGGGACCCACCTGAAACATTACTTTGGAATCGTTGTTTCTCCACTAGCTTAACTGGATCCTCCATATACCCGAATGAGGTCTAAGTGTCGAACATTCTTATTTCGTCCTCTCAATTTCACAAACGACATCCTTCCATTCAAAAGAAGGCAGTGACTAGGGCTAGTGTGACAGTGACAATATACGCGTGGTCATATAAGAGCACTGTTAGAGGGGGAGTGAATTCTCTCCACCCTTGAACGTGTGAGGTAGTTTGAAAACAACAGTATCTCGCTGCTAGGATGCATTTTTGGTAGAAATTTTAGATTTTTTCTTGATCATGTTTCATTTTCGATTATTTTTACAGGAATGGGAACGTGATGCAGCTAAGCATGTTTCTCTTAATGAATCAAGCAAAGAAGTTTGCAATTTGTTGGTTAGTTGGCGTAAAATGGAATTAAGGTAAATCTTTACTGCCAATGTAATACACACACTTGTATATTTCAGTCAGTCAATCATTAACAACATAGGACGTCGTACGTACGTACATCAGTTCGAGCTGTCATACCACATTGGCACAGAAATGCAGTTGTCGATTCAAATCCGTAGTGGTAGAGGTAGTAAAAGTATAAGCAGTAATCGGAAAGATTAGGGTTTGAAGACGTTATTCAGGGAGTATGATCCAGTGAGATAAATTTGGAAAGAGAAAAAAGAGCTTGTATATTTCATCGTACATCTAGTACATTTAAAATATAAGCCCTGTGATATCCTTCGAATACTATCTTTAGATGCTGTGAGATGTTTTAGTGTACTTAGAAAAATTGTAATTCTTCAAAGGCTTTCAAGAGAATTTTTTTAAATAGTGGATGATGATGCTATCATTATTTTGATTCAACGAATACTTTTTGTGTTTTGCTATTTTCACTGTGTATTCTAGAAATTTCTTGAACTTCAAATTCGCATGTAACCCTAAAAACACTCATTTTCTGTACATAAAGTAGCCTTGAAAGGAACTACCCAACCTGCTTCTAAGGATTGGAGATTACTGTGTGAACTAGGACGTTGGTGTCTAAGCATTTAAGGTACAAGTGCTGAGTGCAAACAATGCACATATTTTGATAGTCCAAATAACTAAAATGTACATCTGTAAAAGCATTACATAAAAATTACATTTGAATCGTCCGGAGTCTTCGTGATTCGTTTCCCAATGCTAACTGATTCATTTTCTATCAGTCACTGTATCTCAATATGGGTCTAATGAGTTCTTACAATTTTCTGGGCTCTATCCTGGTAACATAGGTATTATCACTAGCCCTCAAATAGCTGTGTACGGTTTAAATTACAGTACATTAAATTCATATGTTTTGTTTATGGACTATGACCCACGAATAAGTGGTATTCACAATAGAATACAATGTTGCATAACTATTTCCCCACTTGATTCATTATGTAATGTAACTACAGTGACTAGTTTTTTTATAATTGTTGTTTTCTCGATACATATCTCCCGCCTTCTGTTTTTACAGTTATTGGTTGGCTACATTAGATTCAGCTGAAATTCAAATCAGTAATCGTTGTGTAACATTATGGTTTCATCTATATGATTTATTTCTACGTCCTGGTAGTTATAGTCGTCAATTAAAATCTCTTAATTCAAAATATCAATCTAAAATGAGTAGTTCATCTTGTCTGAAAGATAACGCTAGTGTGGATAATAATAATAATGATGATAAGAGACAACGATTACAATTGGAAACTGATCGTTTTGATGCTTTAATTGAATTATTCGAAAAAGGACCTATCGGTGAATTTTCATCTCGATGGAAATTAGTTGCGTCAATTTATTCAGCATTAAATATATGGCCTGGTTTAACTGAAACAGGTTTGTGAATGTGTTGGTCTCGCTCCCCCTTTTTTGTATTTTTCTTTGCTGTTCTTCACTTTATTACATTTTATCTTGTGTTATTTGTCATTTTGCTAAATATTTTTCATATCTGTATTAATTGGTTCTAGTGATTAGTTTAACAGTATCTTATACCGTATGTGCCTACTGTGTTGGGCAGTTGTCAAAAAAAGTGTCATCAACGTGCTCATAGGTTTATCATTCTGCCCTGACTATTTCGGTTTGTGCAAGCAGGTTGTACTACAATACTCCATACAAAATCTTTATCAGAAAGTTTCAAAGTATTTCAGGTTCTTTTTTGTTTTGTCTTTTCGATTGAACGCTACTTGTTATATCTGATCGTCGCTGGTTGTTATGTCGGAATTGCGTATCACTTATATTCGGAAAGAGGAACCTCCGCAATTCCCACGATGGGAAGTATGTTGAGCATAGATCATGTCAATTTGATACAACAATAACGTATGTTATACAGAATAAAATATCATATGAGATCACAGTAACAAATACTACATTGAGTAATCATCATGTTGAATCAAAATGGAAGTCATCTTGAACGAAATTCATAATGAGTAAATGAATCGAATTTCGACTATTCTCCCCCTTCTTTTTTTCGAAGACTCAAAGTTTAGATCCTGACTTTTAATTTTCTGACTTTATCCTCCCCGTCCCACGAAATAATGTTGGGTCCTCATATCCCCAAGTTACAATCAATGTGACTCTATTTAAAACATATTTACCGCATTGAATAGAGAGTCCACTAGAACTGACTAGATGGCGAGGATCAACGACAATTGATATGAGGTCATTAGGGTTTGATTGTTCTGAAACATTTCCATTAAATTTCTTGAAAATCTCATTAGTAGATAATGGATCACTAGGATAATCAACATCTATCAAAATTTCATTAGGTTCCTGATCATCATTTGATATGTCCGATATATTTGTCTTATTTTTGTAAGAAATTTGATCAAAATCATGTAAGTTATTAAGATAACTCATATCTGGTAAAAAAAAAAAAAACTAGAGAATGCTAATAAGTAGTAGATTCATCAGAAACGTGAACCGCTCACATTCGCGATTTACTATGCCAGAATGTTGCACCCAGTCATCGTCTCCAGCTTTAGCCAACTTCAGACTTTGGTAACGAATATTGAACAAAGATGACTGTTCATCAAAAATTTGCGACAAAGTAACGACCGTTGCATCAAATGAAAGGTCTCTGAGATTCATTGCGGTAGCATTCATCTTCAGCTGTACCAAGTTTGTATAGCAGTACTCTGACCTTTGCAGCATCATCAAATTTTTCTAGGTCGACCTTAAATACATCTTATTGCTTGAACCATGTTTCAAATGTAACACCAGCCAAAAGACAGTTCTGTTGAGTATGTACTGTTGATGATATTTTTTTTCTAGCCAATACAACACTGATAACCTTTACTGTTGGTTTTTTTGTTATACATTTCAACGTCAGTCTATTGTTAAATAGACAGAGTTGTAGTATTACAATTTGGAATTTATGGAATATCAAGTCTTTCCCGAGTTCCTTTATTTTCTTTCCTCAATCATATGTGTAATTATTGTTGTTATTGAAGTATTTTTTAAGGGATTAGTTGTCGAGCTCTGTACATTGTTTAGATCTCATTAGTATAAACAGACATCTTCCAGTTCATAGTTTGAAATAATCATAACTTAATGGATAAGTAAGTACTGGATAAATACATTGACATCAGAAGGAGAATAATATTTATCTTCTTACATATTTAATTTTCTGTTTAATTTTTTTTTAAAATTTAAAACATTGACAGAACGTTCATCATCTAAACGTATTGTTGGTAATGCAGTTTGGTTTTATGCACAATTTCTACCATGTATAACTGAGGAATTAAGTAATTTACGACATCCAATTGAAAAAGAACTGAAGGTTTGTTAATAATCATTATAATATTCTATATGTCAAGTGTTTGCGCATGAGATTATTAGTACTGAGTTTGATTCCTGAATTTGGAGTCGTGGACACTCACTGACAAGTTGTCGGAATGGCCATCCAGTGCTTTCAGGTTTTCGGTTTTAGCTTAACTGAAATCAGTTCGTAATTTGAAAACTATAGAAATTCCACAGTCTCCGTAGATCCCTTTAGCTTAATAATATTTATGTCTTTCATGTTTTAATTAATAATAAATTGATGATAATATGTTAATTAAATTAGCATTAATTCAAGTGATATGGTCCAATGAGGTTATCAGATCGTTATACGATATGTAATTTATTATTGATTGTTCGTAACCATAGAATGTAACATTTAGGTATCAGTATTATCTTAGTAGAAAGAGGTAAAATGAATAGTGTAGTAATAGGCAATTGTAAACTAGGTAATTAATCATGCTTGCAACTGGCAGAGTTTTTCTGTTAATTTTGCGGTGTACCAATCTAAGTTGATATAAATTTTTGCCAATTCCTAAGTTGATTACAGCTAATTGATTAAGGTTACTTTATATCGTACTCCTACTACGGTTTAGACAACTAGGTTTTGTCGCTCCGTCTTACAGTCAAAGTGAGGCTCGATACCAAGTATTTGATAATAAACTAATTATGATAGTGTTAAAAATGTCTGACTTTCCACCGATAGGTTGCTCGTTTGAATCCTCACTCTATCTAGTCCAGTTAGCAATAGTAGCGGTCCAGTAAACAGCATCACTCAAAGTTGTACACAGAGATTTTCATTAATTAACTGAGATCCCATCGCTCATTGCTTAATTATATCATGTATTAATTAATAAATAATATTTTTTTTATTAAAGATTAAACGTATCCAAACTCATGTTCACTTAACTTGCATAATCATGCTAACTTTGTTGAACATACCTTTTATTTTGTGGTTTTTCATTCAGGGTCTTGTGAATGTTACGAAATGGGGCCATTACTCACGTTTCTGGTCAGTTAAAACAACTGTAGATCGTTGTAAAAAGTCGATTCATAAACATGTATGTTAGTCTATTATTTGTCGTATAGATTTTACCATTATTATTATTATTATTATTATTATTATTATTATTATTATTATTATTATTATTATTATTATTATTATTATCGATATGAATCAAGCTATCGGTTTTTGCTCGCGATCTGGTGTTTTGTCTTCATATGACGACTACTTAAAACCATTTTAATCATTATACTTTAATTCTATGAAACTGTGTTTCATGATGATTTCTCGGGTCCATGGATTTATTACTTCGCTTAGCTTTAATTATGAAAGTTGAATAGATGAACATATTGAATGATTGTGTAAATAAAGTCATTCCGTGATGATGCAAAACATCATATTCAAGAATCTCCAGTACTCCATATAATAATGAAAATTACTGTCTTTACTGGTAGCTAACCTAAAGAGGTGGTCCTCAGAGTTTCTGATGAGGAACTTCAAACAACGGTACCTAACTGTTTCGGGTGTAAGAGAAATATCACCAATAGAAGTAAATGATTGTCTCATATTATCTCAAAAACGATTACAGTTAGCTACGTATGCCTTTCAATATCACTCATTAGTCTGAAAATTATGTGCTTGCTACGAACACTGACAGTTCTTGGTTCTTCGCTGATGGGGTCATGGATAGGCACTGCTGAGAAGTCTCATACCAAGTGTTCAGTTCTTTTAGTTTCCAATGATTCTCTAGCTGCAGTAGTTCCCTGTTGAAAGCTTCAATTGTAATGAAAGAGTTTTATTTGCCCAAGGTGTTTAATACTTATATGTTTATCACCTAACCATCTTTTTACTCTTCAGGTTAAAAATTGGGAGTCGATACTACAACGACCAGTACGCCCAATATTTGAAAATGCTATCAAAATGCCGACTTACCTAAAATCAAATAATGATAATAATGATCATACATGTTCTAGTTCATCGTTAAAACTGGAAATGACTGATTTATTAGCAATACTGAAGCATTGCTCATTTGAAAAATCATATAGCAATCTACAACAGTTATATAGTAGTTTCAGCGAACAAGAAGATCAACAACCAAAGCTAAATTTCACATTGCATTTGAAGTAAGTTTCATTTGTGTAATTGGTTTTAAAATAGAATAAAATCAGCGATTTAGAAAACATATTACACTACTAAATTGGTTGTGATTGAAAAGACTAGGCTCATGATTTCACATAGACCTAAACATAGGATAAACAGTTGTCTGACACCACATAGCATTTACCAATTCACTTGTTTGTGTGGATACACATACATACGGAGGAGTAATTGAGCAATCCAATCAAGGGTCATGTGACATGAGCTTCAGCACCAGTTATTGTTAGATGCTCCAATGATCGTGAGAAGTAAAATACCATGTTCATAAATGACAAAGCACATAATTCAGACGAGACATAAATTTGACATCATTACAGCTTTTAAAACGTGGTATGGAAATTGTCAAGGACAAATTCCTAGATTTTTAGAAGCCTTAGCTATTCACAAACTGAAATCCTATTTATGTGTACAAAAACATTATGTGGTTTGTTCTCTACCACAGTGGGCTGTTGCTGATGGTATCCGGCCAATCTTGCATAAACAATGGTTGTGGTAGTTCTGTAAGTTTCCGCTCCTTACAGTAGGACTGTCTTGACGTTTGTATTGAAAATTGTGACTTTGATGTTGGCTTGCAGATAGTTGTTTTGAGTTACATTTGTTCTTCACTGTAGGAATGCTGTCCCTGCTTCGTCGATCTTTGCCTTCACGTTTGCATCAGATCCTCCTTGTTCATAGATGACGCTACCCAAATACGTGAACGTTTCCACCTCTTCCAGAGTTTCTCCATCAAGTGTGATTGGGTTGGTGTTCTCAGTGTTTTATTTATGGTTGCTATTTTTTTCTTGTCTACCATTATGATGAGGTCAGTGGATTGAGGATTCACAGCTTAGTGCATGTAATTCCATGTAGTTACTGATTTATTAATTAAAGTTCTTCTATTCTGTTTTGTAATCTGTCTGTACGTAATACATTTTTTATTATTTTCAAATTAGACGTTTACCATCGATCATCAGATGCCTTCATAAACATGTGTACACAATGGTGCATAATTCACCGATAATTCAATGGACAAGACATCTTCGTTCTGGTTTACAAATGTGGATAGATTTTGTGCATGAACTGAGTAGACAGACTGAACGATTAAATTCCATATGTCCTACTAGTAATCAACTGGCAAAATTTAATAAACTCAAATTGAATAAACAAAGTGTAAATTAATATCAAGCAAAAGAAATCATCCACGTAACGATGATAAAGTAGATGAAGATGAGGAAGAAGATGAAGAACTGAAGAAAACTCGTCAATGGTATCAAGAATTTACAGCCTTACAACAACGTAAACGTCTAGCGTTATCTGATTGGCTAAAAGTTGCAACTCTTAAACATTCATCTACTGTCAATAATCAGTAAGTTTATTTGTTCAATGCCTCATATGAATTACATTTTTTGTTGACGTTTTCTTATTTACCGATTTTGAACATTCATCTGTTTCACGTCATCTGTCTACTTCCGTAAATTTGAGCTTCTTATTAGGTTTATATTGCCTCAATAGAGTTAAATTGCACTACTAAAATTAGTCCGGGTAACTTCAAATAGCCTTGATACTGTGTTGTGCCTTTTCAGCCAATCAGAAAGCAGTAAATGTGAATAAATGAACCTACTGTTCTTGAAATAGGATTTTAAGTCATTATTCTAAATCTTGATGCTCAAGACGGAATCTTAACTTTAAAAGCTCGTTGTTTTATTTAAGCAACTCATGATGTTTTCTTAAGTGAGGTTATATCAATATAGTGTATGAGAAATTAGTCCAGTGCAATCAGTCATATGTAGCATTATCATGAGTCGTATCCTAATTGACACATCCTTATAGTTCAACTCTACCTATCGTTAAAAAGGTACCTAATGTCGTTAGGGATTTTTAGGGAGTGAGTAAAAAGTGCACAGAAAGAACATTATTTTTATTATTTCACCTGCCTAATCGATTTTATGTTCGTAGTTTAGGATCAAGATATTACCGTTAGTAACTGTGATAATAATAATAATATGTGATATTCTTTTTTTTCAACAGATCACCTGATATTTCTGATTCAACGCCAAAGTTAGCTGAATCAATTGATTCTGCTGAACTAATTAGTGATGAGAATGACGTCGAAATCCTTTCTGATAATAATGATGACGATCATTTATTCGAAGCATTAAATATGCCCAATCTTGGTTTATCGTATCGCAGAGGTCAACGACAAACACAAACTGGTCATATGAGTCGTTTTCTTGTTCAACTACATGGTGATCCATGGAGTTATGCTAATCAATTTATTGGTCGAAATCTCGATGCTATCAAGTAAGCTTCTATATAATATGTTAAATCTATTTTACATATATTACTTTGACAGTCATATTATATGCTTATTAAATAAAACTTATTGTGTTCTACCACATTTTAGAGTTTAGTGCATAGTTGGTTTAAATTGATAAACTGTAACAGTAAACATTGTCAGTCTAATTAATAGAACCCTTTCTGCATTTCTATGTATTCACTACATTTTAACTAGTAAACCTTACACTTATTCCGTATACCATGTCTATTGTTGTCTTTAGACATTCTGTACTGCTAGGTTCTGGTAAACGTAATGAATGGTAACTTTAGGATCCTTTTGTGGACCAATACTAAACGTATATTTTTATTGTATAATTATTAAGCAACTAAACTATTCATATTCCTCTTATTGTAAGCTTTATTTTGACCTATAAACTATTATTATACGTTTTACCATTCTTGATTTATACGCTGTATTTTATTTACTACCTCCCTCATTCACAGCCATATCTGGCTAATTCTTGTACAAATGTTGTTTCATATTTTATTGGTACGTTGTGGTCTGTTTGATTGGTATATAAACTCAGTATGTTTGAAATAAATGATTCATATCGATGAGGCTGAGACTGGTGTTCTGGATTTAACTGGCTGGGCTAGGCAGAAAGCAAGAACAACCAGGACTCTAGGCTGCTCATACGGGCTTACACGTCATTGCTCTGATCGATAAGTCACTGCTCCCTAATTGACAGTCACAAGTTATAAGATGTACACAATCATGGAATTTTGTGTTGATCATGTCAAGCCAGTTAGTTAGTCAATGGTGAAAATATTATGTTTATAAGTTGTAATGGTTTAACACTCATAAGTGAAATTCATAAAACGAATGCTTTGAAGATTGAAACTGACATTACTTAATGTCATTATTGAATTACTGGTGTCCCAACAAAACGTCTATAGAATTTGGATATTTACACTGATAGGTCACTAAATTGTTCTCAGTATCAACAATATCATATTATCTAGTTTTTACTGCTAATTACATTCTTTTAAATGAAGTTTTTAAAGTGTATGTAAACTTTTAAACACTTTTATAACATAGATGAACAAAATTAGACATTAAACAAGTTCAATGCTTAGAATTGGTGTCTCCTCGTTAACAAAAAATTCAACCGAATATTTCAATGTTACTGTAACCAAGTTATTTGATTGAAATTTGAATTTCTTCTAAATTCATTGTGTTCATTAAAACAATAACCTCTTTTCATCCACTTTTGTTTAGATAGACAAGTAGTGTCTTTTTACTTAGTCCGAAAATGTGTTAGACTAATAGTTCTTTAATTTATTTATTTAAACACATAAATATTGGTACCAAGGGGCACTGAATACATATGTGCTACACAAGTCACTTAATTTGTGTGTGGACTATGATACTGCCCGGGTGCCCAGACTGAAGCATATAGTTTGCTTAGGCGGCCACACCCGGAGCTCTCGACCTAAAGGTCTGATCCACAAAACAGTGGAGCAACGTCAGGAGATGCAGTATCATGGTAGCCGGTGATCAATAATTGGCTCACACACCATTTATTCCCTCAGGATCCTGTAGCCCATGTACACCATTGGTTCGAAGTCAGGGTTTTCTAACTCCCCTAGGTGAACTCTCCGTGTCCAACAGTGCGGTTAAAGCACCGGACATTCGCATTTCGTCCTCTCAATTTCGTAAATAACACCGCTGTCACGAGAAGGCAATGAGTAGGACTTCCGTATCAGTCGCTGTATACTCGTGGTCATATGAGAGTATTTCGAGAGGGAGTGCTGACTCTCTCCACCCTCAATCGTATTAGGGTATTCGGGGGCAGATTAGTTCAGTAGTATAATGACATTTCTAACTTGTAATTTTATTCATCGGAAGTTTTTTTCTAAACACAGGACAATCCTATGGAATTTTTTTTGGATTGTTCTAAATAATTTTATTGTATTACCCCCTATATCACGAGAAGCAGTAATTATCATTCATTTATTTGTATTTTGTTTATTTTCCTTCATTTTTTGCTTGCTGTAACATGTTTAACTCATATCATATATGTTTTTCTTTAAAAAATCGCTGATCAGAGGCGTTAAATAGTCAATGAAGTTTCTTCTTACACCTCAGATCCACTTAGGAATATACAAAATCTGTCATCTGAACACAATTTTTGTTACACACCACGTTTCATACACACTACAGCAAATACTTACTTTAAATATTGTTAACATAAATAGATGATCTATTTAGTAGACAGTTAATCGGAAAACTATGCACCTATTTATATTCGTTAATTTTGATGTTTGACTATGTTTCATTGAAAATGTGTGGATTAGATTGCTGAGCGATACATTGAATTTACTTCAGTGAGATTTTACAAATACATTGTTCTTCCTTAATGAATTACTATTTCTGTTTTCTTTTCTTTTTTTTAACTAGTACTAATTCAGAGGATTACTTCATACATTGTGTATGTAATCGACTATCACGATTAATTGCTTTACGTGCTAGTTTGCCATGTTTTCCTGGACCAGGTGATGGAGATGTTGATACAAGTGTAGCGATTTTAAATGAAATCGGTGGACCGAATAATTTATCTCGATTAATTGGAATAATGAATGATTTATTAAACCAATGTTGTGCAGATTTCAAAGTTTGTTGTGAATTCACTGGTATTAGCAAGAAAATAAATCGATTAGTTATGGAATATGCGAGTAGTTTAAATGTATCAATGATGGTGTCCAACGATAAACAACCGGTTGGTGATGGTAATGAACGAATTATCCAGTATTGTACATATTATCCTTTGGATTTGGATAAGTTGAAACGGATTCGCGTAAGCGTGTGTTTTACTCCTCGTTTTGGTCTAAGTATTTTCATCATTTTTTTCGGGGGGGGGGAATTGAAATCCTTTGTAATTATAATGATTAATAAATGCAACTGATTGGCCACTGAGCAGTGACTAATGTCATGCTTAACTAGCCTTTAATTACCGATATAATTCTGTCAACTAAGCTACACTGCATAGACTGATCTATTTGACTTGACATTGCATGCACTATGTAGGCATGTTAAGTGACAGGAGGTGTTCAATATAATAACTTCGATTAAGTTTCTTTTTTCGATTGTCACTTGTAAATATGGCAGTCTTTCAGGGAATAATGTTCCTCATGCGCACTACTGAGGGGTCCCATACGAGGACGAAACGACTGTCCAGTTCTTCCAGATTTTCAATGACGGTCTAACTTAGATCGACTCATGGATTCAATCATTGAAATTACTATGACCTTCACAGATCCTCATTCAAATTTAGTTTATTAATATGTTATACATATATATTTTTTGTTGTTAGGTATCAACTCAAAATTTAGATCAAATTATCCGTGAACATATTTATCAATGGAATGTATTTTGGATCGTTTTTCAAAACAAACAATCAATGAACCATTTAATTTATCCAAATTATCTTGTCTATTTGGTTCAGAAGGTTGGACATGGTTAACTAAGAATCCAGAATTATTATCAACATTTACTCTAGAAAATTCAAAACAGTTGACTGAAATCACAGAATCTTATATGGAATCATTAAAAGTAGCTTTCACTAATGTATTAAAATGTACTACACAATTGCTTGGATTGAATACATTTTTATGGAATAAGGCTGTACATGAAGCTTATGAAAAATTATCTTCATCATTGAGATATTTACAAGAAACTTTAAATTCTTTACTGAATGCATATAAGACTTGTAATCATGTTGTATTGTTCGTTTCTGTGTTTGAGTCTGTACAACAGCAGATTAATGTTGAATGGAATAAAATTCATAGTGAATTAAGCATCATATCTTATGATGGGATCAATAATGGTAATGATGTAACAAACCCTCATAATACTATTATCACTACTGATAACAATCTAAGTAATATAAATAGTAGTATGTATAAGTCAGATGTGAAATTTGAACAATTAATTAACCGCTTAGTGCATTCCATGCTTAAAGCTATTGAAATTCTGCATGATTCAGATCAAATCAATGACAATACTGATAATAAATTTGATCAGTTAAGTTTATTGCATCATTTTTCTACGATGATTTCAAAATTATTTACTTCAGTATTACCTCAAATTAACAAATACTTGATAAATATCCGTTCAATGTTGTTACAACAACAGCAACAACAACCTACATTGTTAAAGAATGAATATGAAATGGTTTCTCAATCCAGAATAATCATAATTCAATGTATATATCCATTGATGGATGGTTTATCGAAAGCATTATGTATACGTTGTGTACAATTTTGGCATTTGTTAGATATATGGTTTAAACTTGGTGAATTTGCAATGCAAATAACTGGACGTATAATTACTGAAGGATTTTGTCGTCCAGCCAATTTGGCTAGAGATAATCAATTAACAGGTGATGAAAATGGTAGTTCATCAAGTTCCTCGAAAGCAGATAATGAACATCGGTGGATAAAGGTGGTGAATCAGGCGGTACAAGTTTAACATCGAATACAAACGATGCAGTAAATGCAAAAGATGTTACTAATGAATTAGAATGTCAAGAGCAGATTGAAGGTTTATTGAATGATCATAAACAACAAAGAGACGATAACGATTTGAATAAAAATAGGAATGACAAAGATAACAACACAAATGGTATTGAAATGCCAGATGATGATTTTGACGGACAATATGATGACCCAGATTTGGAAAATTGTGATCTTGACAATGATGATTCAGAACAATTGGAACAAGAGAATTTTGATGATAAAATGGATGAAACAGATGGGCATAATGATGACGATTTGGCTAAAGAAATGTGGGCATCAGATGATGAGGAAACTGAAAAGGATGATGATAATAATAAACAGAAACGTGATTCTGATGAGAATAAAGAAAATGATAAAACCGGTGGTGTTGAGGATGATAAATCACGTCATAGCAGTAATAAAAAAGCAGAACAGGATTCTGGTAATATTCAAGAACAAAAAAGTAAACAGAATCCTGAATCTACAGAAGATGATGATGGTGAAAATGACGAAGATCCTTGTGACAAACTTGATGAGTTTGATAATAAATCACCGAAACGCAAGAAACCAAAACATGCACATGATACTCCCGGAAATCGAACTACTGTGGCAAATGAAGATATAATGCAAGATGAAATGGATGATGAATCTGATCAACCTACTAATAATAAATCGGAATTGACTCAAGCAAAATCAAGTGATGATCATGAAACTTCGGATGTTGATGAACATGATCAAGGTTTACCTGTAGATATTGATGCTGACCAAATGAGTAATAAAGAAGATATGACAGAAAGAGATGTTGAAGATTTGCCAGGTGATTTATTCGATGATCAAATGGACTTAGACGCGGACAATGATGGGGGAGAAATCGGTAAAATATTTTCCTTTTATTTCGAATGTACTATACTATGAGCACTAAGCATAGATCACTAAATCACAATACTTGGTCATGCGATACACTCAACTTATATATTCTACCAATAATCAAGATGCAGATATAGGCGAAAATGAGGAGATTTATTAGCACACAGTTCAAAGCAGTAAACCAGTCGGTTACATTCGAAATGATTTTCATATATAAGGGCTTAATGTCACTATCTGGTTACTTAAACTATCGATCGAAGATATGACATAACATCAGTCAATCTTTGTTGAACGTACCTACAAGCTTTCCTAATTATCGTCAGTAGACATCCTTCATCAATTACTTTTAGACTTTAGAAGGCATGTTCAATCTCAATCATAATATATTTGTTTGTAGTCCATGTATTCTTTATCTCCTACTAAATCTTCATCTTCTCAACGTTTTGTATATTTCCACCTTGTAACTACGATTTTATATGTTTCTTCAAGAGTGAAAAAACAAAAACTGTTTTATTCACTTTACATGCCAGTGAGAATAAAAACATTCCTAAAAATTCATCACTTCATTCCTCTATATGTGTGTTTTAGATCCATCATCTGGTCAATTAGACGGAGAGGAAGATAATGAAGAGGAATCTACGCTAAATGCAAATGAAATAAATGAAAATAACAAAATTGAAACTATGGATATTGGTTAGTTGTATGCAAATAATCAAACTTCTTCATTAATTTTTCCAATAGATATATACTCATCCAATTTATATACTTCTCTACAATAAGAAATGATACAAAACGATAGATCACCGTGTCGTGGTAATCACGCCACGTCATATTCATTTAGTCCTTATTACTTGTTGAGTTCTACTGACCTATGATGAAAACATTTTACATGGAGTGTTAAATTATTTTAATCACTACTTACTTTACTACAACTGTAATAACTAGACAAACAATGCCTTCGTTAATGGTCAGTAATCAATCAGTGTGATTACCTCAGTCTTACAGGAGGCCGGTCATGACCTATATAGATCAATGGCAACGTCTCAGGCTGTGAAGTGGGTTTGAATCTCTCAGGAACCATCATTTCCCTCATGGTTGATAATGAATATCAGTACCAATCAGATATTATGCTATAGGATTCTACAAATCTAGTGTACTGTTCAATTAAACATAAATTCTTCAGTCATTATTCTGTAAGAATGTTGATAAATTATTATTTCTAAAGGAATATGTATATTTTAAGAGGAAAACCTCGACCTAACCATTCTTTCCACAAATTTTGTAACATAAAGTAGTCGTAGTTAAAAGAGGGTTCAGACATGAGCGTTTCGTCCTACTTGAAACTCTTCACCTAAATCTACATCCATCCCAACTGAGATCGACCAGAATACAGTTCAGAGTATCAACAAGGAAATAATTCAAACTGTCTCGTAATTTGGCCATTATATCCGTTGAAGAATCTAATGGTTATCTAGGCTCTAGTTCAATAGGTAACGTGTTGGCTTTTGAATTGGGACGTATTGGGTTCAAGTTACAGTGTGCTACACATAAACACTGAAACCCAGGGACATTCGACTGACGAGTCAAAAATAGGATAAAACGCACATTCGAAATTCAACTACCATCTATAATCCATTTCTTTTATAAAATATACATGCTTTTTGAAGAAAGTAAGTCAATATTAATCAAAGTATCATCCACACAAAACATATACTGAGTACCTATACAACAGTTTCGATGACAAGAGTATAACTTTTGAACCAAAATGGTCTTGTAAAGCCTCAACCAATTACTAAAATCAAAATAGGATTATGAATTAGTGTGAAAAACTTAATAGAGTTGGGATTCAGAGTTAGCGTTTCCATCACAAACTGATGTATGAACGAAGGAATCGATGAATCATTTTCTTAAATCTGATTGATTCATCTAAGAATTATAGTCTTGCAGTAGTTTTTCAATTATTCCTCGCATTGTATATTTCCTTCTTTATTTATTTATCATCAGATGAACAAAATACTGACATTTCCGAAAATGTTGAAGTATTTCCTTATTCTGGAATTGGTGCAAGTGATTTGAATAATAATAATCAATCTAATGTAAGTTCTCTTAATGTCAGATATCATGTATTGTTTAAAACAATAATTTTTTTTCAAAACAGCATGAACATTGAAGCATTTGAAAGGTAGCATGTCAGTAGAGCAGCTTTCATTATATTCTAGCGATAAAATCCAGGACCCACCTGTCGTTAGATATACCTCCATCTTGATGTTTATTTAGTCTCCTATTGGTTTGCTCCCACAATGTGTCACTAGAGATGGAGGCACTGGATTGTTCTGTCTTACACGGTTAACACACTCCATATAAGCCTATTGAGTTATAATCATATTATAGTCGATCTATTATATTACGTGATGATCATTGAATCTGATTGATGTCACTATCTATTTTACTCCTGATATGAAGTTACACTTCACTATTCATGGTCGCTTGATAGAAACTTTGAAATTGATCTTGAAACAATCTATTCAATCAGTATCATTCTATATTTTAAATTTTAGGCTTTCGGAGGAGATGAGCACAATTTCCAAGATGATGATAAAACAGTAAGCTCATACATTTTCTTGTTTTGTTAATCTTATATTGAAATTTTACTACAATTGATTTGTACTTCTATAAGAACTGACTTTCTGTAAGTTTACTCAATCAGTCTGTTGCTACATTGACCTAATTTTAACAGAATTATAAACTTATAGACAACAGTTGGATTTCAATTATATGAGAAAGGCAGATAACAAAACTCAGCCCTTAAATTAGTATGATTCGCTTTCCGCACACAGGTTTTTAGCTTTGAAGAAATCATCCAGTTAGTAGATCTAAAACTATCCATAAAACAAATGTACATGACGCTGGGAATAATCAACTTTTTATTGGTAATCTCTTCGTTCATTGCCAGTGGTTGATAAGATCAGATATCAGCAGATGACTTAATAAGAAAGGACCTCCCACAATACGAGTAACCGAATCGTCATAACCATCCCATACCTCTTAAACCACTAAATCACTAGCCTCTACATAAATATCCTTCTTGTAATGTTTAACACAGGTGTGGATTTCATTATTTTATAAATTTGTACGAGCATATTGTACCATCATTTAGACAGGTTCGAAGTTTCCCTGGTACCCGTATATGAGATATGATCTAAGTGTCAAAGCTAATGATTTCGCCTGGTTACTCAAGCCGAAATGAAGCAGGGTTAGGGTGTAAGTTAATCTGCTAATATTTTACATTTTCGACTAATTTATGACTATTAGCATAGGTTAATCTCACTTGTTTTTCTTTTTGTATTTGCTAATCAACTGAATAATCATGAAAGGAATTTAATAATGTCGACCATGATGATACTGATGTTGATTCTTCCAATCAAACTTCTGCACAACGTGGCAATCAAGGAAATGTTTCAGGTGAAAAATATACTACATCCACTAGTCAGTCAAATACTTCCGGAGCCAATGCAGAACAACACAACAGTGTCAGCGAGACGTTAATAGGAATCAAACACACTCTGGTCCAAAACCAACATCAAACAATCGAAGTTTATCGAAGAAACAAAAGGCTCTGTCTAAGGTTAGTCTTGACAATTCGTCTAGCTAAGATCAATCCATGATGTAAACTATAAAATTTAACAATCTTCACAAATCCACTATAATAATGATGTGTGTACTAGTGCCTTATTTCTGGTAATCCTTCCAGGAATTCTAGAGAGAAACCGCGATGAATGGAGTTCACCTAAGTTGGTATGATGTTGTTACCAATGTCATTAGAAGATAGTTGTACAATATCGCAGTTGGATTAAAGTAAAGAAATTTAAACCGTTCCTTATCAACTCAGTGATCTGAAAGTTAAATGTTCGCCTCGGGACCTGTAGGTTCCGAGTTTGATCTCCGATGGGGATGGTAAATGCACATCAATGTGAGAAATCCTATGTTAGAACAGAAAAACTTTCCTTTGTTTCCTAGTTTTCATTGATTATTTAAATTAAGTCATTTCGTGGAGTCAATTATGAAATTATCGTTTTATTTATTGGTTTATTTTCAATTATTTTTGAGAAGAGTTACATTTGTTTGAATAACAATATGTTCGTCCTCATGATAAGAAACATTATATTTACGTATAGTATAGATTCTTCTAAGTATCCCTTATAATTTATACAGTCCTGAACATAAACAACGGGAACTACAAAATCTTATTTAAATAGTAATCTAACAGCTATACAACACTACCTGCGTCTGAAGCGATAGATCCCTGAGTATCGAGTCCTTTATTGTGAACACTGATGCAGGGATACGTAGTTAAACGAAACACTGTCACTGAAATTCGCTTCTAGTGTAATTTTTAGTTTTAATAAATTGCCGATGTCCACTTAATTAACTATACCCATACTGTCGATCACTATTCATCATTTTGTTCAGTGTTTCATCACCTCCCTTAACTCTTTGGAACTTCAACTTACTTCAGTCAATTTGCTTTTAACAATTTATTATCATCTATTATCATGTAATGTGGGGAGAAAATATCAACTTCCAAAGTTAATAAGTAGAACACTGGATTCTTAACTCTTGAATATTAAGTTTAATTTATGCATCATATATGTGTGTGATTTTTTGACTAATCGAGTCATTTCAATCACTTTTTCACAGCAAATGGATACTAAAAACATAAACTCAGTTATGTTTATTGATACTACTGGGTGAACATGGCCAATAAGAGTAGAGGATATTCGTAGATAACTAGTATTTGATCATAGATATCTTCGAATCATTGCTCGTATATCCTGGGACCACCGAGTAAGTAATGCGGTTGTTAGGAAACGGGTACTAGGTAACGAAAGTAAATCAATTGATGAAGTAGTGAAAATTTATCAGTTGAGATGACTGGGACACGTGTTACGTATGCCCAACCACCAACTGCCCCAACGTGCGATGTTTTATGGTGTAGGTTGGAAGAAAGCTAGGGCGGTCAGACCAAAACATGACACAAATCCATAAAGTCACTGATAAGTGCACTGAGCCATGTTGGTAGGTGTAGACTACCTGGTTGGGATCCGCGAAACGATAGCAACCTATGGTTAGAGACCTTGAATGACATGGCTCAAAATCGTTTGCAATGGTGCAGGTATAGGTCCACTTTTTGTGTTCTCCCAAATTCTAATCTTCTGAATTCTTCATGTCCCTTTTTTCCTCTTTGCAAATTTATTTTACTGGATTACACTCCTTAAGCAACATCTTCAAACCCTAGTCTTTGCGATTACTCCTTATACTCTTATTACCTCTACCACTATGGGATTTGAATCGACAATTGTATCTCTGTGTTAATGTGGTATGGCAATTTGAACTGATGTACGTACGTGCGAAGTTCTACGTTTTTACTAGCTGACTGACTATTAATTCCTTTCACTTCCATACTGTTTTCTGCGTAGTATTGTAATGAACGAGAACACAGATTGGGACAACCGACTGCATTTAAGTACATAATTACAGAATCTCTTGGTAAAATATGAGAACTATACACTGAATATTTTATTTGGAAATTTTCATTATTTGTCCTTTACACTTTGTATGATTCTTCCAGTCTACAATTCTTCCCTATTTACTCTACTATTCACTTCAGCTCGATCTACTTAGCCTTCTGCTACCAGGTTTCTGACCTCTGATTGATGTTACGTACTACTTCTGTCGACATACATAAAAAATAACTCATGTTTTGTTTGCATCGTCTTTGTAGGCTGAAACCATAGAAGTAGACTTGGAACATTGTTCAGAAAAACAACAATCACCGTTATCTAATCAAAACTCGGAACTATTTCAACACTTACCAAATTCAGAAGACTTAGATGCTCATAATAAAGATGATTATCCGTGTGTTCGTGATTCGGCTACAATAGATCAAGCTGAACAGCAACTAATGGGCAACAGTGATCCAACGAATAAATCTAATGATAATGATGGAGAGAAGGCGGAAGACATTGGATTAGAAAATGATAATGACAATAACAATAATGATGACGGAAAATTGCCCACATCTGAATTAGAGGTATACTACTATTGTCTGCTTGGTTCATTTCTTTTGGTTGTTTGAATTTTACCATTGATACTATGGGCTGCATTTGATCAGCCTTTGTTGGCATATGTGCATCCTATGTGAATATTCTCGTTATTGCCATAAAGTCCTGATGTGAACATTAACACTGAGATACAGGTGTAGAACAACACATTCGGCAGAAAAGAAATTACAGTGTTTCCATAATATGTATGCATATCATTCGATCATGTATTTGTATCTTGCCATGTGTTCCGCAATCCGAAATGTCTTCTCGTCTGATCATCAAGTATCGTGCCTACTCCGTGCTTTCCTTGTACTGAAACTCTTCACTCCACAACTTTGACAAGTTTGAGGCCATCTTCACCTATATACTACTTATAAGTAATCTTGTGATTAGCATCCCCTATATAGGTACATCCAACTGATAAGTCTCGGACAAGATGGAACAAGCGTCCTGGATTGCACTGCTGTCATCCATCTGACTTTGCTTAATGTGTTTATTTTGTTGTTATTACAAGTTTCTCTTTAAAAAAAGAAGTAGAACAGACATTGCTTCCTTGCGCTGATGTGAATCCAAAAAGGATATTGCGTAAAGGAGATAGTATGATAAAGATGCATGGTTAGTGTAAAGTGAAGTATTCGTCACCGGTAATATTGCATAATAGTCGGACCATATCGCAAATTGATTGATTTCGCAAACATAGACATATCGAACTTCAATTTAGTTCTATAAATGTTGACGCACTCACAAAGATACCTCAAAGTTAAGGATTTTATTTTTTCAGGCGTTGTTGTGGCTCTACGCCTCTTAGAGGAGCTCCATACTGGAATGAAACAGCTATTTAATAGTCTCTAGTCCTCAATGGTTAATTAAAAACATATAAACTTGACTTTAGTAAAATAAATACCAACTTGTAGGTTATGATTATCGAATCAAAGATACCAACCAGTCATTCGATATACAACTGTACGAAAATGGGGAGAAACTTTTTGCCCCACCTTCAATGTACACTGAATACATTTTTTAAAAATACGTATTAATGGGTTGATTTTTTGCATAATTCTATAAATCTTTTCTATAGAAAACTGATGCCTCCACAAATGTATTATCTCAACAAAATAAACATTTAAAACCTTTTGTGAAAGGAAAACAAGTACACGGTGATCATGAAGCAGTTGAATCAGATCCAACAAAAGAATTTGTTCCAACTTTAGGTGCACAAAGACCACCTGAATCAATCAGTTGTACAAGAGTAAGTTCTTGTAGTCGTTTATTAACCAAGTTATCTGTATTTTTTGTTGTTGCCAACTCCTTTGTTAAACAGTTGAAGGTGTTCCACAGGAAACCCTAGCGCTCAGTTTCTTGCTAGTCCGACACTTGTCGGTGACGTGTATTTCTAATCTTGAGATGATTGTTAGTTTCGAAGCTATTTTTGCCACGATTGAGATATTGTTGAATAGCAAACTTGTCATTACCACTTCACACTAGATAATTTTCGCAAAATTTGTGAGAAAGGACTTAACGATAATTATTGACACTGACTGGTTATTAACAGTTTGCCTTGGTAGAATGTAGTTTAGTTTTATACAATGCGTAATATAGAATGAATTTCCTGAAAATCGAGTTGATATTTTTTGGTGATGAGTTTGTTCATTTTACAGACTGAGAGTTGTACCTTTTCTTACAAAGTCGAGGGCTTTCGAAATAAACTGATCACTGATATTGACTCTTCAACATTGCCTAGTTCACATGGATCTCTATTATTCTTGTGTTTTTCCCTTCATCTCATTGTTTATTCTTTATCGAAGTTGAATATCACGATCGCATGATACCTCAAATATGGTGAACTAAAAATGCAAAATTATCTGTAAAAGTACTAGTATAATTATGAAATTACCTGAAATATAATTCAAGCATCAACTTGTGAGGTGTCCACAGTATTTATTGAGTTCGTGTACAATCAGGGAACAGTGCTTCATAAATGGGCACATAGGATTATTTGTAGCAACATACGATAAGACATGTAACAGCTAATAACTCTGTCGAAATGTGATAATTCTTCTAATTGAATGCTAGATTCGGTTCCTAAGCTCTTTCTGTAACCCCCAAGGTTAAGTCTATACAGTGACTTGAACACCGGAGAAAAGGAGAAAAATATGAAAGAAAACGCTTTACTCCAAGGTTCGTTTATGTACAGAAAATCTAGGGTTTTTATAACATTTTAAATGGCCTTGGGTTTCCGGAAAACTCTGGAACGCTACTAGAACATAGTAGCAGTATAGGTAGTTATCCAATCAGAAACTCGACATGTGACTTCTCACTTTCTAGATGTCTCTGGCAAAATTTATATTGAATGCTGATTGGATAAGATGTTTTTCAGAGCCTTTGTTGGCTTTTTTTCGAGGAGTTTTCTGAATCTCCCCAAGAAAATTAAAATGGCAAACAGCCTCAAAATGTAAATAAAAGAACAAACCATCCAGCTCAGAGAACAAAACTCCACCAAAAAAGAACACTAAAGTATAAAAACTGTTACAATAAAACTAATTTTTAACAGGTACCTCTGATAGATAAACTGAATATTGTCAGTTTATGCGAATAATAAAACATATCATATAACAACAAATATGTTTCATATTCTATGATGAAAAGTTATTAGAAATGCAACAGGTTATTGAATATTAAGTAAATAAGCATAAGAGGAAGTGGAATGACATGAGAATTAAGATGGAATGTAAACAAGCTTAACAATCAGTGTGTTTTAATTTAACATTTGTTCCCCTAATTTTTATTTTGTCTATTCATTTTACAGACTGAAGTTTTACTTCAATCAACTAATATAAAGATGTCTACAGAGATTTCAACTGATCTACAAATTTTAGAGAATAAATTTTTAGAAACATCTCTTGAAAATTGTCTTGATTGGTCAATTTATTGTCAACGGTCGAGTAGTTTAGCACGTCAATTATGTGAAACACTTCGTTTAGTTCTTGAACCAACTAAAGCTTCACGTTTACGTGGAGATTATCGTACAGGCAAACGTATCAATATGCGAAAGGTTAGTTTATCTAATAGATGTTGTATTTCTATAAACCTATGAAAATTGTATTATCCATTTAGGTATTTAAAAAATATCTATCCTTAAATAAACTATATATAATGAAAGAATAATGTTAGATATGATTAACAATCGGCTAAATTACCCAGGATAGAATTTGATGAAAAATCGTGGTGGGCAGCCTATGCTCATCCACGAGGGGTAACTGTTATAACATGTAACCGCCGATTAGAGGGCATTGACTTATCGATCGAACCAAGGGCGCGTAAAACAAGTGCGAGCAGTCCTGAGTCCTGATTGGTCCTGCTTTTCGCCTAGCCAAGTCAGTTAAATCCAGAACACTAGTCTCACCCTCTGCAATATAAATCATTATATTTCAAACATACTGAGTTTATATACCAATCAAACCGACCACATCGTACCAATAAAATATGAAACAACATTTGTACAAGAATTAGCCAAATGTGGCTGTGAATGAGGGAGGTAGTAACTAATATACTTGGTATAAATCAAGAATAGTAAAACGTATAGTGATAGTTTATGGGTCAAAATAAAGCTTACAATAAGAGGAATATGAATAGTTTAGTTACTTAATAATTATACAATAAAAATATACGTTTAGTATTGGTCCACAAAAGGATCCTAAAGTTACCATTCATTATTCTTGTCGGGAGATAACAGTAACAGGCGTAAGGAATTAGATTTAGGAAGAGTTCACTATAGTTAGAATAAGACATGAAACCAGTTTATAAACTGATTGATTATTTTTTTTAAATTATATAAAGATGTTCAGTCTTTCGGTTTCAATCTATGGGATATTCATAATGCTTGCTTAAAGACTATGGACAATATAAGTGAAAATAGATTTTGTTGGTGTGAATACATTAAGTTTTCATTTATCTTGAGTTAAGTTAGTTATAAACAAAATAGCATTGTAAACATTTGATTCAAATTGGCTTGACCAATCATTTTATGGATATTCTAAAACACTATCACTTAGCCTCTTTTGAATTTTCATCTTTTTCTTCCAGATTCTACACTCTATCTGTTTACAGTTACAAGAAGCGTTAAATTCTGAATAATTTAAAGAGTTAGCTTGTTTATCTATTTTTTTTTCGTAGGTTCTAGTGTTAAAGTTTGTCAATCTACCCGTTGGTTACTAGTCAAATGCACTTACTGTTGGAGTCTTATCTAGAACTTGAACTTCAAGCTCTCTCGGGTGATGGAGTGTATCTTATGTTTAACATATGAATTAGGTTTCTATGCTCTGTGGCCATTACCATATTTCAGTAAGATGTGTCTACAATTTGGAAATACCACTGTATGAAAATAGTCTTTCATGGTTTACTAATGTAAACAGAAGACGTGAAGGGTATTCTTTTTGATAGTTGAATATTTAAAGTGAAATGTGTCACTGACTTTCCCAATCATGTTAGGGTTCTTTCATTTGATCAATTCATGAGTTTCCATCTAGTCAGTCAGTCAGTCAGTCAGTCAGTCAGTCAGTCAGTCAGTCAGTCAGTCAGTCAGTCAGTCAGTCAGTCAGTCAGTCAGTCAGTCAGTCAGTCAGTCAGTCAGTCAGTCAGTCAGTCAGTCAGTCAGTAACAACGTAGAACTTCGTACATGTGTACATCAGTTCGAGTTGCCACACCACATTAGCACAGAGATGCAGTTGTCGATTCAAATCCCGTAGTGGTAGAGGTAGCAAGAGTATAAGCAGTAATCGGGAAGATTAGGGTTTGGAGATGTTATTTAAAGAGTATAATCCAGTGAAATAAATTTGGAAAGAGGAAAAAAGGGACATGAAGGATTCAGAAGATTAGAATTTGGGAGAACACAGAGAGTGGATGCACCTGCGCCATTGCAAACGATTTTGAGCCATGTCATTCAGGGTCTCTAACCATCGGTTGCTATCATCTCGCGGTCCCCAACCAGGTAGTCTACACCTACCAACATGACTCAGTTCACTTGTCAGTGACTTCATGGACTTGTGCCATGTTTTGGTTTGGCCGCCCCTAGCTTTCTTCCAACCTACTCCTATACCACTGAACATAGCACGTCGAGGCAGTCGGTCGTTGGGCATACGTAACACGTGTCCCAGCCATCTCAACTGATGAAGTTTCACTACTTCATCAATTGATTTGCCATCCTTACCTAGTACCCGTTTCCTAACAACTGTGTTACTTACTCGATGGTCCCATGATATACGAGCAATATTTCGAAGACACCTATGATCAAATACTAGTAACCTACGAATATCCTCTACTCTTACCGGCCATGTTTCACTGCCATAAAGTAGGACGGAACGAACTGCTGCGCAGTAAACCCGTCCTTTGGTTGATAGACGGATATCTCGCCTACGCCATAAATGACGCAAGTTGGCAAAAGCTAGTCGAGCCTTCTGTATCCGTGCTGAGATTTCGTCACACACCAACCACAAGGGCTGATGAGACTTCCAAGATAAGTGAAGCGGTCGACACACTCAACTACTTCACTCCCTATCACTAGTTCGGGTGTCGATGTAACCCAATCCTGAAGCAACATTTTGCATTTCGAGGGAGAGAATCGCATCCCGAACATGCTTGCATTGTTGCTTAGAGTGGTCAGAAGACTCTGCATTTTGTCAGCGTCTTCACCAAATAAAACTATGTCATCAGCATATTCTAAGTCAACAAGTGAACCTCCTGGTAGAAGTTCAACCCCTGGAAATTTAGATGAGGAGAGTGTTATCTCTAAAAGTACGTCAATGACAAAGTTGAACAAGAATGGGGAGAGTGGACAGCCCTGACGAACACCACTTGAGGTAATCAATTCTGATGACAGTTCGCCATAAGCTCTCACTCGACCAGTTGTGTTCGAGTAGAGAGCCTTTATAAGGTTAATGTACTTCTTTGGTACTCCTTTCAGTGACAAACACTGCCATAGAACCTCACGATCAACAGAGTCGAATGCCGCCTTAAGGTCGAGAAATACTACCATTGTGGGGCGTCTGAATGTGTGTCTGTGTTCTAGAACCTGACGTAGTGTGAATATCTGATCTATACAACCACGTCCAGGTCGAAAACCGGCCTGGTTTTCTCTAATCTGCTCTTCACGAGCTTTGATTAGGCGTCGAAGTATTATTGAAGCTAATATTTTAGACACTATATTAGTCAAACTGATTCCTCTGTGATTGTCACAAGAGGACTTTTGTCCTTTCTTATAGACTGGCACAATCAGTGATTGAGACCAGTCAGATGGGATTACGTCCAGTTCCCAAATTCTACCTAAGACCTCAGTTAATCTCATTGCTAATACTGGACCACCATCCTTAAAAATCTCAGGAGTAAACCTGTCAGGGCCTGCTGCTCTCCCTCGTTTCAGATTTCCTATGGCTTTTTCAACTTCGTAAAGGGACGGAGGACCTACATTAACTTGCCATTCAGGTTGACTAGAGATCGTGGGAAACCGAAGTGTGGCTGAAGGCCAGTTGAACTGATCCCTAAAGTGTTCTGCCCATCGATCCAATCTCCTGGATTGAGAATGAATAATATGTCCATCTTTCTCTGAGATTGTTTCGCTAACGGTCGGGTTCCTAATTCCGGTTTCCTTAACGAGTCTGAACAATTGTCTGCTATTACCTATTGCCGCTGCCTTTTCCATCTCTCTTGCTTTCGCTACCCACCACTGTTCGCGATCATTGCGTAGACTTCTTGTCAGCTTGCGCTTAAGCTGACTCCGCTCTTCATTATGTTCAGAGCCAGGTGGAATGAGTTTCCGAGCATCTATCAGTGAGATAGATGCTGCTGAGATCCAGTGTTGCTCCCTAACCTTCTGGTTTACCTTACTAGCAGATATCACTGCTGTTTCCACAGCTTTTCGGATATCATTCCATGCTGCATCGGGGTGGGCATCACATACATGGCTGCCTAACTGTTTTCCTAGTTGTTCCTGAAATATACTCTTAGCTTGACTATCATTAAGTAGGCCCTAAGAGGTTTCCTTGCAGCGTCTTTCCTACGTCCAGTAAGACGCAAGCAAATACGCGCTCGCACTAGAGCATGATCTGAATCTAGGCATGTGCTCCAGAATGAGCGACAGTCTTCTATCGAGCCCCTCCATCGGTGGCTGATAGCGATGTGATCTATTTGGGTCCAACGTTGGGACGAATTAGGGGGTCGCCATGTTAAAAGATGTTTTTCCTTATGCTTAAAGTTAGTATTTGCAAGGAACAGGCGGTTATCTGAGCATAGCTGCAACAGACGGTCGCCATTATCTGTTCTTTGAGCCACGACACCATAAGATCCACCTAGGTGTCTTTCCCTATCGCTTAGTTTACCTACTTGAGCATTAAAGTCACCGGCCACTATTACTACATCCGAGCGCTTAGCTTTTCGGAGAAGGTCCGAAAGCTTTCTGTAAAACTCATCTTTTACATCATCTGAGCTGCAGTCAGTGGGAGAATAGGCAGAGACGACGAAGAGGCAACGACGAGTGTCCCTATCTTTCCGGATTCTTACTGTTCCGTTCAGTCGGACAGCGCACAAACGACTGTCTACTGGGATCCACTCTAAGAGAGCTAGTTCTGCCCTAGGACTCAATGCTATACCTACGCCGGCGAGGCCACGGGAAGCAGAATCAGGGCTTCCAGATACACGAAGCGTAAATCGAGTCGGTTCTTTATTTTGGCATGGTGAGGTCAAATGAATGACGCTACTCGGATCCTGTATGCGCGTTTCGGAGACGCAGCACACATCGATGGCGCGGGATTCTAAAGTCCTAGCTAAGGAAGCCTGCTGTCCTATTTGGCAAAGTGTTCGTACGTTAAAAGCTCCTACGTGTAGTTTCAGGAGACCAGGAATGGCGTTCCACGTACTCGAATCGTTTGCCCTAGCGGTGCGAGGTGATAAAGAGACGTGAGGAGGGTTAGTCATGGAGATAAGAGAGGTATTAGGAGGTGTAGGAAGGATTTGAATGTGACCACCTTGGTCTCTTGTGCTGTTACGGGTATGAGGGCTGATGTCACTTCCCGGCTGCCCACACCGTGGAAGGGTATTTCTTGAGGAACCTGAAAAGGAAATTGGATTAGTGTTGGTCTTGACGACCTGGGAGCGTGACCGCAGAGCCCAAGGGACAACTGCTTGAGGCCGGTCGCGCACGGTTTCCATCTAGTGAACAGTCTCATCCAAGATGTGTTTTTTATTGTTTGATTTTGGACTCATCAGCTGGTTGTGCTTACCATTTCCCAGTGTTGATGTTGAGTTTAATCTTTAAACCATTGAATTCAATAACTTAGTGAATAACACATTCGCTTTTGAAACGAAAAGTACTGGGTCTTAGTCTCAGTGTGAACATCAACAGTGATATACAGGTACAACATCTAACTAACAAGAACGAGATATGTGTCCTGAATTCAACTACCCTAGTCACACCTAATCTACAAGATGACACTCTATTTAGAACGTATATATACCAGCAATGACTGGTCAAACTTCATTCTTGAATATCAACATAATAATCTAATCAGAGTCTAAAATTAAGAAACTGTGTGTAGAGTATTTCTTGAACTGTTTAACAGACGTTAAACATTTCCATTTAAGTATGTTCCTAAAGAAGAAATCGACTTAGAGAGAGAGAGACCTTCTAGCTCATCATCTTGAGCGTCATACAATTTGAGATGAAAATAATCATACATATCTTTTTATTTCTTTTTTGTTGTTGAAAATCAATTAGATCATTCCATATTTGGCTAGTCAATTTCGTAAAGATAAAATTTGGCTACGTCGTTCACAGCCTAGTCAACGTGAATATCGTATTTTAATTGCTGTAGACGATTCATCATCAATGTCTGAAAATCTTTGTAAACAAGTAAGTTATTAATGATATATCTACCCAATCAATATACAGGAGAAAACTTGTGTCTATCTGGGTTAAGACCCTGATACGATAGGCTAATTGGTTTAACCTTTAGATTAGAAAGATGCGAGTTCGAATTCAGACTAACGACCTTGGTCAGAGAGATGAAAAATACCCTATCACCTGATTGATTGACAAGCTCACATGAGAGAAAAGACAAGTCAACTGAAACATTACTCAATTTATTCCTGATTGTCAATTCAGATTTGTGTAAAGAGATACATGAATAAATAGACGACTAACACAATCACAACTTACAAACAAGTAGGAAAATACAATTATGTCCAAACTGGGCATTAGGGCAGAATAATAGAGTACAAGAGGTCACGTTTAAACTACAACAGCTTTGGAACAGAAAAGGGTATGGCAGTGAATCATACATTGAATGGAAGCTTATGGATCACAGGAGCACCAGAGTTAAAATTAAATGTTAGTATTTCATAAACTTTGAATTAAGCGAAATAGCGACCCCGAAAATAGCTTCCGCTGTTTGTCATGTTTCTCTACTCATATCATAATTATACCTTTCTTGTTATCCCAACGAGTAGAAAATTGTATTTCTAATGTTTTCTCCACCTAATATAATTCACTTCTTCAGAGTAAACAAATAAATAACCGAAATGAAATTAATACAAGTTTAAATGGTACAAAGGGAACAATGCAGAATATTTTTAGTACAATCAAAATCATAATATGTCTAAACATGTCAATGTCACGTTATTTATGTATGACATACCATTGTATTTGTTTGTGTATGTGAATAGAGTGGGTTATTCTGATAGATAAACAGCTTACTTCTTCATATATATTTTATTTGTACAAAAATCTGCCCTATTTAGTCTACTCAGATCGTTTTCTTTAGTGGTACATGTAGACGAAGTCGAAGACTCAAGATGTGAGTTATTAAGGGAAATGAACCAAATATTAGGTAATAAATATGGACTTTGATTATGAACGAGATTATCTCGAGCAATGTTTAGGGAATGATAGTGCTTCTAGCATTATAACAGGATACGTCTTATTGAGACACCTGAAAAGTGAACTGCGTAAATGTTGATTTTGGCAACATAGGAGCGTGACCACATTGCCACAACAGATCACTACTTAAGATTATTCACATATATCCTTTTTGTGAGTAGATTTTGACTTCATACTTCCTAGATTTTACTACCGACGTCGTACCGGCGTACCTTTTATAATAGAACCTCAAGAAATAGGTGTTCTAGTTAATATAGATCGGTTGAGCCACCATGATATACAAGGTAGGTAACTACGTCAAGATAACAATTACTGTTAATTCCATGTCGTCGTGCTTATTTGGCATGGTAACTCGGTTCAACTTACATTTTTACCAGATTGACAAATGTTGAATAATTTTTCCCACTCTCTAACTTATCGGAGTTAGTGAAAATCCCCCCAAAAGTTAGGTGATAATCATCAAGTTCAACTTTTGCTTACTTTGTTGTTCTTATACTATTATTCATAGTTATACTTCCACTGTTTTTTTCACATTCTAGATGACTTTTGAATCACTGACAACAGTAATCACTGCATTGAATCTTTTAGAAGTAGGTCGAATAGGTGTTTGCAGGTATGTTCTTAGTTGTATGCAATTTGTTCGGTTACTTTGTTTGATATGAATCACTAGAGTGTAATTTATTCACTAAACATACAGGTTTATATACATGGCTTTGACATATACTGTTTCTGTGAACACTTAAAATACCATTAGCTGGCTGCTTTGATGAAGTCTCAACTTTTAGCCTATTGATTGACAACTGAGTGTTTTAACAGACCGAATCACTTCTGTTTAGGACTATTCGGAATAAGCAATTATTAATTTAATGTATTGACTTTCAAAGAAGAACTCAAGGTCTTATCTTAATCTTTGTATGTGAACTGACGAATGGAGAATAGCCTTACGTACTTACGCCTGTTACCCCTCATGGGGGAGCATAGGCCGCTCACCAGCATTCTCCACCCAACTCTGTCTTAGGCAATCCTTCTTAGTTGCTACTCATCCTTTTCATGTCTGCTTCCAATTCCCGAAGCAGTGTGTTCTTTTGCCTTCCTCTTTTTCATTTACCTTCAGGATTACGAGTTAGCGCTTGCTTCGTGATGCAGTTTGGTAATTTACGCGATATGTATCTCAACACCCGACCGTTGTTGCTACCTTGACGTGGTGGTCGGGCTTGCCTATCGTGATGAAGCAACCGGGCTATACTGACTGGAACAAACTGTTCCTCAAGGTCCTACCACGTCAGAAAGGTCGGTTGAAGAGCAGTAAGATTAAAAGCAACAAACCCAAGGTCCGAGGGCGAAGTCGTACTGCTGACTGTACAGAGGTGTGACAGCAGTAAGGTGTTTCCTTCAGACAACCAGTATGACAGCGATGCTGCCTTCCCACAAGGAGGGTGGGGTTAGAAAAGGTCGACCCTAAAAATGCACACCTCACCTTATCCCACGGATATCTGTCTCCGGTGGTAGTCTCAACAAGTACGGAGCTAACACAAAAATTACCCATAAAAAGGTCGTGTGTGACCGACCTCAAGCAGTTGTCCCTTGGGCACTGCGGTCACGCTCCCAGGTCACTAGGACCAATTCTAATCCGATTTGCTTTTCAGGTACCTCCAGAAGAACTCTTCCACGGTGTGGGCAACCGGGAAGTGATAACCGCCCTCATACCTCTAACAGGACTCAAGACCACTGTATTCATAATCAACCTCCCTCTTCAATTCCTATTATTCCTCCTACATCGACTTCAAACCCTAAACTTCTTTTTTCGCCTTCCTCCTCAAGTTTCACCATAGCCAACGATTCTAATGCCCAAAATACTGTCCCAGGTCTACTGAAACCTGGCTCCAAACTACACATTGGAGCCTTCAACGTACGCACCCTATGTCAAATCGGTCAACAGGCTTCCTTGGTAAGTCAGTTGATGAGGTTGTTAATCTTCATCGACTGAGATGATTGGGCCACGTGTTACGTATACCTGAACACCGATTACGACGTCGTGCAATGCTAACTGGTGTTAGAGATGGTTGAAAGGAAGTTAGGGGCGGCCAAACCAAAACGTGAGGTCAGTGCTTGAAGACACTAACTTGTAGTCTGAGCCATGTTAGTAGATGCAAATTACTTGGTTGAGGTTCGCGTGACTATCGTAACCAATGGTTGAAGACAGTGGGTGACATGGTTCGGAATCGATCACAATGGCGTAGGTGTGTACACTGTGTCTTCCCTTAAACTAAGAGATTAAAATTGCTTCATATCTTTCTTTCTATGAACTAATTCTTTCTTCCTGTACTATATCCTTATATGAAGTCTTTCTTCTATATATTACCACCTCTGAATCAACTACTTGTATGAATCCCGTGTCCATCTTGTTGTGCTAATGAGGTATGGCAACTTGGACCGATGTATATATGTGCCTGGTCCTACGTTGTAGCTGACTGACTGACTGACATTTTCCAAGGTCTTTCCCTAATTTCTTCTTCAGCCGGAAACTCGTTTGTTCTCTCCCACAGTCGGCTGTTGCTGATGGTATCCGACCAACGGACATTAAGTATATTGCGTAGATAATTGTTTATAAATACTTGAACTTTTTTGTTGGCGGTTGGAGTAGTTCTCCACGTCTCGACTCCGTACAATAGAACTATCTTGACGTTCGTACTCAGGATTGTGACTTTGATAGTGGTTGACAGTTGTTTTGAGTTGCATATATTCTTCAACTGTAGGAATGCGGTCCTTACTTTGCCTTACTGAAAACTAAACACTATGTATGAAGATTATACCTACACAGAAAGCGTTGCCTTTGTTTATAAAGTACTTAATTACTTAATGGTCGTCAGATTAGAAGTTTGAAGCTCACAATCTGTCTAATATAGTGGAAGTATGTATTATAGTGAATAAACATGGAATCCACTGTCTTTCTATACGCTCCCTGATTATCAATCGAATGTGAGAAAATCACGTATTAGTAGTAGTTCAAGAGCGAAAAAAATTCAGTAAGTATTCAATTGGCAGACAAATAGACTCCCAAGTTCAAGTCATCACAATGATTTTATTTTTTCAATTAAATCGATTATGTTAGAAATTTTACTGACCAGATCCTTTGAATTGAGACATCTAATATATGGAAAAATATAGAATATGAAATGTCCATGAAAGATGATTAGATTTCATAATTTACACTTCATTGTTTAATAGTTTCGGTGAATCAGTGCGTGTACTTCATGATTTGAAAGATCCATGGGTAACAGATGCTGGTCCACGTGTATTAAGTCAATTCACTTTTGGACAACCGAAAACATCACTTGTTCAGGTATGTGGTCTGATTATTCTTTTTTTTTTCGTATCTAGCATATACCCTGTGTAGTTTAGTCTTAGTAGAAATGACATTGTGATTGAATTTCCCACTAAACTCACGACTCCATCAAAAATTGAACCCAGTTTTCGTCCCTTGGTAGAGTCGCGTGCGTGCATACTAGGACGTTACAACGTCCCAGTACTCTTTCCAATAGTAACACAAGTGAGACCAATCTGTTACAAATATAGCTTACAAATCAAACACAATCTCCACAAAACCTCTTCAATAAAATTCCAATCATTGCCAACTTTTAATATTCATGAATTAATCGCTGATGTTGTCAGAATTACAGTAAAAGCTCTACTATCAAAATATCTAGATCAAAAAACTCAACAACACCAAAAGCATCCACTTGAGGTGCACGTTTTTTTTCACTTCAAAATCCAATATATATGTAATCTTGGAGATGGAGAAGATTTGTAACTTAGGTCCAAGTTTGCTCTCTAAACTAGATCGGTTAATCCTGAAGCTTTCGTTATTCTTGTGAATGATATCATCAGTCCAAACTTCTCTCTAAGGCACTGTTGTTGTTAATGAACAATGAAATCTTCACTATTAAATCATCCAACTCAAAGAATAAAACCCCACCAAAATATATGGTCTTTATTTGATGTGATTAACAAAAGTTTATCATCCACTGTACAGTTATCTTTTCCTATGTTATTACATACAAACCTTTAAAAAAAACACTCCATTTATTTTATTCTAGCTACTACAGTGTACTACTCACTTGATGAATTCAACTGGTTACATGAATTCTACCAGTAATAATGCTATTCCTAGTCAATTATTACTTATTCTATCAGATGGTGTCTTCTCAGAAGATCCACAAAGTCCATCACTACAAGCCGCTGTTCGATTAGCACGTGATTCTCATATTTTCCCTGTTTGCCTTATTCTAGATGATGTTCGAAAGAAAGTGAGTGTACTTTAGTTATTTGTCATTGTCTTATGATGAATAATGATTGTTGATCAATTATACAGTGCTAAAAGTTCAATCACCTGTGTTTCTTTAAAAAAAAATCTAAGAGTACGATGTTCGTCAGAGTAGAATTCAGTGTAACAATTAGCCTTCATTTGGAGTTGGACTAAAATTATATCAGGTTAGCAGGTTGTTGGATATGAGTTATGTGATCTCGCAAGAACCAACAGTATTCTAAAGATTGCAGATATGTCTTTTTGATGGACTTGTTATCACAATTGCCTCCAACCAATCATTCAGATAGTAGATACTTTACAACTTAATTGGTAAAATCCAATTTTTTAACGACCCTACACGCGGCACTCGAACTCAGGACCTTCGCTTTATGGATGCGCACTGCTGAGGGGTTTCATACTTAGACGGAACCGCTGTCCAGTGCTTCCAGGTTTTTAATAATAGTCTATCTTAGATCGACTCGTGAATTCAAATGTAGAAAATACTACAATCTCCACAACTCCCCTTGCTGATTAAGTTCAATTAGACTACTTGACGTCAAATAGCTGTTCATTTCTAGCAAATTATTTTTTTAGTATAGGGTCGTAGAAATTTTTGAATTTTATTAAAACTACAAACTGATCTAAGTTGGACAATCAGTGCACTACACAGTCGTCTCGTCTTGATATGGGACTCAGAAGGGTCCATCCGCAACCGGAAATCGAACGTAGGACATTCAGTTTCGTACCCGAACATGGATTGGTTAAACTTAGACTTGTACATTACTGTGGTCCGTGTCAGTGGTCTAGAGGTTAGGCGTCCGTGAACGAGATTGAGGGTCCTGATTTCGGTTCCCAGTGACGGGGTCGTGGTTAGATACTGGTGAGGAAGAAATGGCTATCCAGCGTTCCGAATTATTTCACTGGTTACCCTACTCAGATCCGTTCGTAATTTGAATAAATTTATTTTCTTTTAATATCATTCTCCTCTATTTTAAAGCATTCGATATTTGATCTTCGGCGATATTGTGGCCCCGGTAAACTACAACCTTATATGGACGTATTCCCGTTACCATATTATTTAGTGTTGCGAGATTTGGCTTGTCTGCCGAATCTACTTGCTGACGCCTTAAGACAATGGTTTGAGTTGGAATCATCAGTTGGACGCTAAGGTGCGTGTATACAGTCAAGCTCCACCACCACCACTCAACAACCAAGCCGCCTTTATTGGATTCCTTCCATATCTGTACAAATTTGTACAAAATAACTCCTTTCTGTAATTTTATTTGTACAAATCACAGATAACTTACCTGTATTTTTTTTTGAGAAATAACACGAATAAAATATGTAAAAATAAATAAATTTATGCACAACATTTGGATTTTAAAAAAATGAACACCCGTTTGTTATTATGGATTGATTAGTGGTGATCTAAAGAAGTTTGTCGGTACTGTATGAACCTGTGACCTAGTAATTAGAGCATTCACTTTTCAACCAGCAAAGCGTAGGTTAGAACTCCAGTTCACTATCTTCGATTCCGACAGGTGAATATTAGTAGCTCATTAGCCTTTACCCAAACGGGGTACATTTTTATTTGTAATTGATAAATGAATTACGATAAGCGATCATTAGCAACAACAAATCGAAGCGATTTTTGAAGTGACTTAGTGCAATTCATCAGCAGTATAGATCATGTCAATATCTACGATGATCACAAAAATGGCGAAAATAATTTATAACTCGTAAGGATGTTGTCTAAGTATGGTTATACAGAGTATACTACAATGCCAACAAACTCTAAGCATTAGAATTCAGTTTTACATTTAGTTGTAAATGATATGTTAGTACGCAACGTTTTCAGAACATAATGCTTGTATGAAATGGGAATAGAAGATGAATTTATGTACAATATCCGATCACCATTATAGATTCCATTTACTACCACCCGGTAAGTGATTAGTGTATCAGTAAATCTATGAAGAGACTATTAATTTTAGACACAAAACAAGTTAAAGTATCTTATTACTCAGTGTCTAGTTTCTAATTGTATTTATTTTACTCTTACCAAGCAGTTTATTGTTTAGTCAGAATTAGTTGGTTAGTACATGAAAACAAATATGTGTTGTTTAGCTTAGCATGTATAGTCAATCAATCGAGTTCTATGTTATGAAGAATCGAGATATTTAGCTAGATATCTAGAGCCGCTATCTCACTCTGTAATGACTCTCGAATGAATGAGCCATGAATATAGATATCCGGTTGACTTTGTATATTCTACATAAGCTAACCTCGTTTGAGTGACGGCAGTAGTAATAAACCAAATACGAATTAGGTTGGGCGAGTTTATTTCAGACACTTGTTTTCTCAGACAAATGGAGTAATATGAGACTCAGATTTTATAAGCGTGAAAAAGACAGATACGTACGTACTAGCAGATACATGTATAAAGCATGCTCGAAGTTACACGTGAGTAATTAGTGAGGGAAAATAGAAAGAATAAGATAATTTATGTCTAAAGTTTAGAACAAATCACGTAGGTGTGTGATGACACAGATTTGGTACAATGATGAACTTCAGAAAGCTAAACACTCAGACATAGTACTCGTAGCAGGTGAATTGAATGCAAAAGTAGGTAGCCTAAACCAAACAGAAAGACATTTAGGTGGGTATTTTAGTATCCAGCTCAGCGAACAGATAATAATGATCATCTGCTACAACTGTGCTCAGACAGTCGTTTATTTTTAACAAGCATTTATTTTAAGTATAAAGAGGAACATTGTCTAACATGGCGACCTCCTGCACCAAACCCACGATGGACTCAAATAGACCATATTGCCATCAGTCATCGTTGGAAAGGCTCAATAAAAGACTGTTGCTTGCTCTGGAATATCTGCTTGGACTTTGACCATACTCTAATACGAGCATGCGTTTGTTTGCGCCTCACTGGACGCAGAAAAGCCACACTAAGAAGACTCATTAGAATTGAATTGAGTGACGAGAAAACCGAAAGTAGAATCCAGGGACAACTGAGGTCACAATTAGGTAGTTCTGAAGACGAGGCTGACCCAGATGTTGCTTGGAAAGCTATACAAACAGCTGTGGAAACAGCAGTAACATCTATCAGTGACTTAAACCACAGGGTTACAAAGAACCAATAGATTTCCTCTAGGTCTATTGCACTGATGGATTCTCGTAAACTCATCCCATCAGGCTCAGAACACGATGAAGAGCGACAACAAATCAGATCTAGGTTAAGCAAAAGTCTAAGGAACGACCGTGAGCAGTGGTGGGCAACGAAAGCAAAAGAGATGGAAAAGGCGGCGACTATAGGGAACACAAGACAGCTCTACAGACTAATAAAAGAAACTGGAATTAATAAGTCAAGTGTAAGTCAGGCTATTTCGGAAAAAGACGACACCCTCATCTGCTCTCAGTCCAGACGTTTAGAACGATGGGCGAAATATTTCAGAGAACAGTTCAGCTGGCCTTCAGCTACTCTACAACTACCCTCCATTCCCAGACAGCGTGAATGGAACATTGAAGTAGGTCCCCCAACTCTAGCAGAAGTTCAAAAGGCTATAGTTAATCTGAAACGAGGAAGGGCAGCTGGTCCAGATGGATTGGCTCCAGAGGTCTTTAAGGATGGTGGTCCAATTTTAGCGATTAGGTTGACTAATATTTTAGCTAAGATCTGGGAGTTAGACGTTATTCCATCTGACTGGTCGCAATCACTTATCGTCCCAATATATAAGAGAGAGTTAAAATCATCCTGTGACAACCATAGAGGGATTAGTTTAACTAATATAATATGTAAAATACTAGCCTCGATAATTATCAGACGCCTAACTAAGACTCGTGAACTACAAACACGAGAGAATCAAGCTGGCTTCAGACCTGGTCGTGGCTGCATCGACCACATATTCACCATTCGTCAGGTTCTAGAACATAGGCATACTTATCGGCGTCCGACAATGGTCTTTCTTGACTTAAAAGCAGCATTTGACTCGGTAGACCGCGAGATTCTGTGGCAGTGTCTGTCATTGAAAGGCGTACCTCAGAAGTACATAAACCTTGTGAAGGCTCTTTACTCGAACACTACCAGTCGAGTCAGAGCTTATGGCGAACTGTCATCTACTTTTGCAACCTCAAGTGGTGTCCGTCAAGGCTGTCCACTTTCTCCATTTCTGTTTAACTTCATCATAGACCTACTGATGGAAATAACATTCTCGTCGACTGAATTCTCGGGTATTGATCTCCTTCCAGGAGGTCCACTTATCGACTTAGAATACGCAGATGACATAGTCCTGTTTGGTGAAGACGCTGACAAAATGCAGAGTCTTCTGGTAGCACTAAGCAACAATGCCAGAATGTTTGGAATGCGCTTCTCCCCCTCTAAATGCAAGTTGTTGCTTCAGGACTGGTCTGCGTCAACACCTGAACTAAGGATAGGGAGTGAAGTAGTCGAACGCGTTGACAACTTCACTTATCTTGGAAGTCTGATCAGCCCTAATGGGTTGGTGTCTGACGAAATCTCAGCACGGATTCGGAAAGCTCGTTTGGCTTTTGCCAACTTACGTCACCTATGGCGAAGGCGAGATATCCGTCTATCAATAAAAGGACGAGTATACTGCGCGGCAGTCCGTTCCGTTTTGATTAACGGCAGCGAAACATGGCCATTAAGAGTAGAAGACACCCATAAGCTCCTAGTATTTGACCACAGATGCTTTAGAAATATTGCTGGCGTCTGTTGTGATCACCGGGTAAGTAATAGTGATGTTAGACGCAGGGTATTAGGTAATGATGGTAAATCAGTTGATGAGGTTGTGAACCTTCATCAACTGAGATGCTTGGGCCACGTGTTACGTATGGCTGGACACCGAATACCACGACGTGCAATGCTAACCGGTGTTAGAGATGGTTGAAAGGAAGTTAGGGGCGGCCAAACCAAGACGTGGGGTCAGTGCTTGAAGACACTAACTTGTAATCTGAGCCATGTTAGTAGATGCAAATTACTTGGTTGGGGTTCGCGTGACTATCGTAACCAATGGTTGGAGACTCTTGGTGACATGGTTCAAAATCGATCACATTGGCGTAGGTGTGTACACTCTCTGTCTTCCCTTAAACTAAGGGATTAAAATCGCTTCATATCTTTCTACGAACTAATTCTTCCTGTACTATATCCTTATACGCAATCTTTCTTCTATATATTACCACCTCTGAATCAACTACTTGTATGAATCCCGTGTTCATCTTGTTGTGCTGATGAGGTGTGGCAACTTGGACCGATGCATATATGTGGCTGGTCGTACGTTGTAGCTGACTAATTGATCTCAGTCCGTTCGATGAATAATGTCCAGGTTTTTACTGAGTTCAAATGCTTTTTATCGTAAGTGAATAATCACTGAATAAGGCTTTAATGAACAGCTATTTTGTTATTAAATAAAGCTTCACAGTGCAAACGCTCGACGTGGAACGATAAGCTTCTATGTTATTTCCACTTCAAACAATCAACTTACTTTTGATGTCTCATATTTGAACTGTGACTTCATCTATGACTTTTCCTCGAATGTCACTACTGCCACAGTTCGTCCTTTTCAATGTTATGTTTCATACCGGATCTAACGAGCCACTGAACGTTAGGTATTGACTTTATATCAAGATATAGTATATTTATGAAAATTTCTCTAGACATCCACATCGTTTCTGCTAATTGGTAAAAAGTCGCGTTAGGAAACAAGATATTTGAAGTCGATTTTTGCTGTAACCCAACCCTATTTTCACGTTTTGCCATTTCAATCAACACGGCGAAGAAAACTGTTGTAACTTTGAACTATTATTCATTTTGACAATATATAATAGAGTGGTTGAGTCCCACAATTATTATATTTGCTGACGGTGTATCTATTTGCATGCAAGTAAATGCATTTTAGGGGATGAAATTGCATTACTAACTATATGAGCAGTAAATGTTTTGGCTTCAATGACTTAATTATATATATATATATATATATATATATATATATATATATATATATATATATAGCGGCCATGGTATATTAATGTATTTGCCAAACTGAGTGCTACTCCGTTTAGTTTGTTTTTATGTTTTGTGCAATCAACGGTATCACTATGTTACTATCACATATAGGAACTTGCACTTGGTTACTAAGT